TTCTACTTCTTTGCAATGAATTTGCTACCACTCCAGATTCATCCTGTTAGCCATCTGATGCAACATTGAATGGGTTTTCTGAATCAATGCCAGTTTCTTGGAAGCCAAACCGTGTAAAGGCTTTCAAAGTTAGAACCTGTACCTATTGTTCTTATGAAGCCAGGGTCCGTGTTGATTGGCTTCTGGATATGTGAAAGTGAAGAATTTGGAGATTGCTTTTGGGATCATTTCCTAATCTTACGCTGAAGCATCAGTTCTGTTTGTCCTGAGGTTATTTCAGGTAGTAATAGATCTGCCTTCTCTTCATTTCACTTGATCTTAGCAAGGCATTCTGATTGTTGAGCATTATTTTGTTTTTATCTTTTTTCTTGTTATCTCTACATTCTTCTGTAATGATGCAGTGTCAGAAGAGGCTCACCGAAATAAAAATCAAAGGACTGTTTTCATTTCTAATACTACCATGTAAATCATCTGATCCCATAACCATCAGTGTTCCACCTTCTTCTTGGCATATTATGAGGGAACCATGAAAGGTTTTAAAAACTCATAAGAGCATTCAAGTGCAAGATTCTTAACAATGGCAAGGAGATAGATGATGTTGTTTTCCAGTTTTGAAGAAGATAGACTTCCAAAATGTTTAAGGTGTGCAGGGAATATTATAGGAGATGAAGACCGACTTTTCTGCACCTGGTCGTGAATGTTTTTCAGACCAAGGATGTGATTTCTGTTCCTCCCGCCTCGTTCTTTTAAATGCTGTAGTCGTTTTCAGTCTTTCTCAGTGAATGTTCTTATTCCCATCTCCCCATACGTTCCACCCAGTATCTATGTTGACCCACAGTTTTTGCCTTTAAAGAGAGTTACCATCAAGGAGGATGAGCAGACCAGAGTCATTGTTGTGGCCAGGTTCATGAGGAGTGGTAGGAATCTAAATGATAATTGTGTACACACAGGTCACCATGGGTGCCTTGTGAATAGTATTTCCAATGTGGAATGAAGAGCATTACAGTCTTTTGATAGAACACAACACAACCAGAGTACTCAGATACAGTTGTCTCTAGAGATTCACATGTGGGAACTTACCACAAGAAGTGGTAGAAAAATGTGACTGCAGGGTCTTAGTGTAGGCTTTGAAAGTAACATTCAGTCATTTCAGTGTTGCTGATGGGAAAAGTACTCGTGAGAATACACAGCATTTAGAATCAGTATTTTATAAAACCTAGTAACTCAAATTTCGTGACAATTCGTGATGCTGGAGTCATTCCAAGTATTATATTGTCATTGTCCATTAGTGGAGACGTGGATGGAATCAGGAGCCTGAAAAGAGTGATGGTCTCTTTAAGATCCTTCAGTGGGGCAACCAAACCTTGCTTTCATTATGGAAACAGTTGTAAAGGACAGCTTCTGACTTCCCAGATTCCACGTCATGGGGCTTCTTGTTCATGTCAGTCATGAACTCTGGGAAGTGACAACAATCCCAGTCGTGAGTAAAAGGCCCATGGAAGTAACACAGATTTGGGAAAGCTGAGAATTTGTTTGGAAGTTGAGATAACGAATCGACTCTATGTATATCAGATGTTTCATACTTTGTTTTTAAAAACAGAATAGTTAACGTGTTTGTAGGAATAGATAGCATGTGAGGATTCAAACTTGACAACATATGTTAGATGTTTTTGAAAAAACTGCTTTGGTTTTCAATGTTTTACTGTATTTCCACTCTTGTAAATTAACTATTCAACTGCTACACAGTCTTGATAACTTTATGTTTTATGTAATTATAGTCTGTTCTACTTCATAGTAAGATTGTACTCCACATAAACTAGAAGCAGTCAAAGAAATAAAGCCAATAGCAGTCAAATTCACATAAGTGAATGCTGGAGGCTCAAGGATGTGTAAATACTGATTTGGTAACATCTAAGTTGCTGCTGGCACAAAACTTCTCTTTATTTGTATTATTAGAAGGATATAGTATAAGTCGTTGTTAATGAAATTCTCGGAAAGGAGGTGATTAAACAGAACAAAATACTTCCTCAACATACATACCACTTACTTGCTGATCGGTATCGGGAAATACTGAAACTGGCCTCTCGTAAAACTTTTGGTCCCAGGGAACAAGGTCTTGTAGGTCCATCTTATTAAAAATTTGTTTAGTTGAAAGGCAGAGTTGACAGGGAGATCTTCCATCTGCTACTTCACTCCCCAAATGGCCACAATGGAAAGGGTTAGGCCAGGCTAAAGGCAGAAGCCTGGAACTGCATCCGGGTCTCCCAAAGTGGTGCATGGACCCAAGCACTTGGGCCTTCATCAGCTGCTTTCACAGGCAGATTAGCAGGGAGATGGAATGAAGTGGAGCATTGGGACTCGAACCTGTGCTCACATGGGATGCTGGCATTGTGGGCTGCAGCTTAACTGACCGTGCCATAGTGCCAGCTCCTATCAGGTGCATTTCTAAAACATTGGAGATCTTTTGGGAAAATCACTTCGGTCAGCCCTGCTTGTTAAAGCAATCCCAACAGAGTTCCTTTCCTCTGCTGCTTCACTGCTCGACTGCCTGCAACTGCTGGGGCTGGGCCAGGCCAAAGCTAGGAGCCGGGAACTCAGTCCAAGCCTCCCACGTTGGAGGAAGGGAACCAGATGATTGAGTCAACATCTACTGCCTCCATGTGTGTGCATTAGCAGGAAATTCAATCAAAAGCGGTGCTTGATGGCTGGCTCTGTGCCTCACATGGCTAATCCTCTGACAGCGGTGCTGGCATCCCATATGGCACCAGGTTTAGTCCCGGTTGCTCCTCTTCCAGTCCAGCTCTCTGCTGTGGCCCAGGAGGGCAGTGGAGGATGGCCCACGTGCTTGGGCCCCTGTACCCACATGAGTGACCAGGAAGAAGCACCTAGCTCCTGGCCTTGGATTGGCGCAGGGCCAGCCATGGCAGCCATTTGGGAAGTGAACCAACAGAAGGAAGACCTTTCCTTCTGTCTCTCTCTCTCTCATTGTCTAACTTATCTGTCATATAAAAAAAAAAGTGGTGCTTGGTAAGGTATGGAATTTGGATTTTAAACCAGGGTTTGGTTCCCAACTGCATCACTTACTCTCATTTGTCATTAAAAATGTTGTAATCTGCATATGCCTTCATTCTCCTTCTGTTTTCTCCATTGCAGCCTTACATTTCTAGTCATCTACAGGACCCTCATCCACCCGGTTTCCAATATTGCACCACCATCCCTCCTACTCTTTGTTAGCTCCAACCTACTTGAGGGCCTACATACTTGCCTCCCACTCTGTCCTCTCTGTATCGTCCCATTCCTTCTGGCCCACCACATTGGACTCACTTTCCTCCCCACCGCCATACCAGTCTCATCATCCCAGTTGGTCCTGCACACCAGCCTCACCCACTTGTCAAGGCCAGCCTCACTCTACCTCTGGTCCACAAAAACAACCACACCTTATCCTCATCTTCCACCTCCGTTGCCTTTCCCTTGTTTCCCCACCACAACTTCACCCTTCTTCTAGACTTCCACATCCGTTTCATCCTTACAGTTTTCTACCATATCCTCAACCTGTCTGTGGGACTCTACACCAGCCTTGACCTCTTTGTGGGGCCTACATCCTGGCCTCCCACCCTTTGTAATTCACACTGGGTTCAGCTTCTTTCTGGCCACCCTACCAGAATCACTTTCTTTCTGACCCTGCAGCCAACTCTCACTCTCCTGGCTCTGAAAACCAGCCTCACCCTCCCCTGGTCCTCGGTACCAGCCTCACCTTCCCTTTGTCCTCGGTACCAACCTCACCCTCCCCTGGACCTCAGTACCAACCTCACCCTCCTCCTGGTCCTCCATGCCACTCCAATCTTACTCTCCTTCTGTTAGTCCACTATAGCCCCACTCTTCTAGCCCTTCACATGGGTTTCGTCCACCAAATCTGCCATAACTCCAACTTTCTGTGGTACTCTACACCAGCTTCATCTTCCTGGTGGGCCTCCATCCTGGCTGTGCGCTGCTTATACGCTGCTGTGAGTTCCAGCTTCCTTCTCATCCTCAGTGCCAGCCTCTCCCTCCTTCTCATCGTCAATGCCACCCTCACCCTCCTCATTTTCTATGCCAGCCTCGCATTCTTTCTATTCCTTGACACTGTCCTCACCTTCCTTTTGTGGCTCATCCCTGGGATAACCCTTCTGGTGATCCCCCACCTAAGGATCACTTTTTCTCTGGTCTTCAGTCCAGTTTCTACCCTGTCTATAGTCATCCACCTAAGCCTAGCCTTCATCTGGTTCTCAACCCAAGCCTTTCCTTTGGACCTCAGTAATAGCCTCACGTCCCTCCTAGTCCTCTACACCAGTCTTCTTGTCCTGTTTCTCCACTGCAGCCTTACCCTCCTTTGAGTCCTCCACCTGTGCCTCACCTGCCAACTCTTCACCATGGCCTCACCTTCCCTGCTGGGCAGTACACCAGACTCAACCACCTTGGAGGCTTCGATCCTGGCCTCCCTCTCCTTGGACTCCATATTGCCCTCACTTTACATCTGTTCCACCTCATTAGACATACTTTCCTTCAGACTCTGCAGCCCAGCCTCGGCCTCAGCCTCACCAGCAGATGGAAGAACCAGTGATGGAATGTCTCTCTCGCTCTCTCTTTCTCTCTCTCTCCCTGTGTCTGCCACCCCTCTTTTCAAAGAAATCATTTTAAAAAAGAGAGATCAGATTCAGGAGCTGCAGGCCAGGATTAAACTCAGGTATTCAGAATGCTCGTGTCCCAACCACTGGACTATATGCCTGCTCCATTTTGTAACATTTTAAATGTTGTTTGTTTAGTAGTTGCCATGGAGTTTGCAACATGCATTTACAGTTAATCTCAGTCCATTTTCAAATATTCTGCTTCCTAGATGCTGTGAGTGTCTCATAATAACAAAATATTCCCCATCTCCTCCCATTCCTTCAACCCTCATGCGTATTTTCCTTGCAGTGACAGAAAAATATATACACATGTAATATAAATATGAATATTATGTATGACATTTTTGTGTGTTGATTACATATATAGCTTAAAACATATATAATCTAATGTGTTGCTATCATTATTTTCAGCAATCCTATTAGTAAATTAAGAATAAGAAAAATAAAATTTATGTTTTACTGCTATTTTTCTTTTCTTCTCTCATGTTCTTCATTTTTACGTAGATCCAAGTTTTCTTCCTCTCCAGAAAACTGTTAGCATTTCTTGCAAGTAGTCTTCTGGCAACAAAATGTACAATTTTTGCTTGCCAAACATTTATTTCTTCTTCACTTTAGAAAGACAAGTCTCAGGGTACCAAATTTCAGGTTGGTAGTTTTTTCTCTCCATGCTTAAAATATTTTTCTCCACTCAGTTTTTCCTTGTGTGGTTTCTGAGGAGAAGTCAGATATGTTTGCTCCCCCATGGATTGTTTTTTCTGCACAAGCTGCATTCAGGACTTGTTTATGGGAGACTGCTGTATATAATGAATATCAGGAAGCCTTTGGAGAAGTTGTTTTTGTTTTTTTTAAGGAAGTATGGGAGGAGATATGGATCAGTTTTTAAAAACTCGGAGGAAGCAGACCTGTTTAAACTACATACTTCTAAGTAATGAAACTAAGCATGGATGTTGGTGAGCTACATCATGCATGAGATTTAAAATAGCACTCTTAATTAAAAACACAACTTTCAAGAGCATCGGTTAACAGAGAGTATTGAATTTGCCTCTATGCTTTTTCAGTGTACTGCAAAGTAAGCATTTTGGGCAAGGACCACGTGTCAGATTTATCTTCGAATCTCTCTTGCCTGCTAAAGGTAGTGGCATGATAGGCCTGAATATGTGCTTAAATGAGTCAATTAAGGAATGTAGTCATGTATTAAATTCAAATCAAACTTCATGGTGTTTGATGTCAGAATTGTGTAACTAAATAACTTTAGGTTCTAAAATATCAACATGGTATTTCACTTGGAGAAAATGTAGATTAATGGCTCTGATTTTGAAACTGCTTCCTTCTTTCTCACAAAGTGCAGTAAACCTTGGGTGACAGTCATGAAGCCTCTTCTTACTGCAGCTAAGTAAGGTAGACCTACTATGGCTCATTTCCCTCATTTGTAGCACTGAGTTAGGTTGTCTGAATAACTACCAAGAGTTTTGCCATACCATTCTTGTTCATTCTGGGTTGTCTGGTCTGCATTGATATCTGTCACAGATTTCCAGTCACTACTGGAAAACATTTAGTTCGCTTGCTGTATACAGAACAGTTCCAGACTCCGCTGCTGGGATAGAAAATATATCTCATTTGGAGTTTTACCCTGGAGATACAATTTGAAATAGAATGAAAACCATTGGCATAGAGTCCCTTTTAAAGATTTACCTGTTGTAGAAGCATTAGAAAGAAAGCATATTAAGGGCAAAGATAAATATTTACTTAAATGATTAAAACATCTTGAGTTTTTTTTGCTATGGGCCTGATGTCATAAAATTATATTTAAGCGATTGTGATAATTTTGAAACCATAGATACAGAGGTTAGTATGCATTGAGAGGTACATAATGTGTATACTGTTAGCTTGCTTGAATTAAGGGTAGCCATTGTATATTTTAAATTACTTTAATATTTAAATTTGTATTGGTTTAGAAAATGGAAGGTGTGGTCTTTTGAGAGTTGGCCTTAATCCTCAAGTAGGTTGGCTTACACTCAATTTCAGGGAAACAACACACATATGCATAGTAGGATAACTCAAACAGTAGGCTTTGTAAGGCAAAAAGTCTATGAATATCATGGAGAATAAGAATTCCAGGCTTTTATTTTTCAATATTTATTAATTTATTTATTTGAAAGGCAGAGTTACAGCGAGTCAGAGAAAGAGAGAAGTCTTGCATCTGCTGGTTCACTCTCCACATGGCCACAACAGCTGGAGCTGCATCTGTTTGGAGCCAGGAGCTTCCTTCAGGTCTCCCAGGTGGGTATAGGGACCCAAGGACTTGGACCATCCTCTTCTGCTTCCCCTGGCCATAGCAGAGAGCTGAATCAGAAGTGGAGCAACCAGGACTCAAACCAGCATCCATATGAGATGGCGGCACTGTAGGTGGCAGCCCTACCAACTATGCCATGTCACTGGCTCCAGAATTTCTATTTTAACATTTTTTCTTACTTGCATTTCCATCGAAGCATTGGTTGATGATGACATGTTAGGAATCTATTATTAAATGATGGATAACAGTCCTCCTGCGTTACTCCTTGTTTCCAGCTTGGGCAGATTGAATTTACAAATGGTTTTGGTGCTTCTATCACACAGTAAATGATTTTTCCAATGTAAGCCATATTCATTCCTATTTTACTCAACTTTAGCATTAAGACTTAATGATAATGCTGACTAATTTTTTAAATTTAGTTAAAATTACATTTGCATATGAAAGTGGAGACAAAATTACCTAATTTATTCTACTTCTAAATATACCTAAAATAGTCTTGAGGAAACATGATGGCATTCAGGTTAGAGAAGACTAGTTCTTGAAAAGGAAGTTGTAATACTTAATCATTTAGGAGCGGCCATCTGGAGGTATTGATGCTCTTCACTCTTCACAATCATGTAATTATGTTCTAGGTGGCATTTCATTGCTTGATGCCTTTTGTGGATATATCATACTTTATACATCCAGTTGCTGAATCACAGTAATAGGCTGATTCCATATTTCAGCTGTTGTGAGTAGCACTGCCGTCAACATGGAATGGAGATATCCTTTTGACGCACTGATGTCATATCCTTTGGACACATACCCAGTAATGGAACTGGGGGATTTTACTCGGTTCTGTTTTGCTAAAGAGACTTCCATACTATTTTCCATAATGGTTGTGCTAATTTGACTTCCCACAAATACACTAAAAATTTCACCTGTCTTGAAATCCATGCCACCCTTTGTTATTTTGTGTTTTCTCCATGGTAGTCATTCTAACTGGAGTGAGATGATAATCTTATTCTGGTTTTAACTTGCATTTTTCTCTTGATTAATGATGTGGAGAATTTTTCATGTAACTATTGGACATGTGCATGTCTTCCTTTGAGATGAGTATGTTAAGTTCTTCAGCCTAGATGAAAAGTTGTTGTTTTTTTCTGTTTTGTTTTGTTTTGTTTTGTATTTTTTAGCCCTGGGTTTTTTGAGATAATTGTGTAGTCTGGATATTAACTCCTTGTAGAAAACCTGAGGGGAAGTACTGTATGGCATTGTATTGGGGACAGGTTTTGTTACTTACTTTTTGACATAGAAGCACAGGCTAGACTGGCCTGGGTAGGTGGCTCGGGGCTGCTCCCACACCAGGAATCTGAAGCAGTGTTAGTGGCCGCGGGCTTAGCAGGTTGGAGCTGGATGGACCTGATGCAAGGTGGTGGGCACCACTGGCACAGCACCCCAGCTGGCCACATGGGGGGAAAGGCCCGGGCCCTGCTGCCCACGTGTGACTCTTGGGGTCTCGGCTGCGTTGCCACTTTGTCCTGGGAGGCCCTGCTACATGCTGCTGCACTCTAAGAGCTGGGAGCCCAACAATGCCCTGCAGGTCTAAGGAGCCTGCCCTGGTCCCTGCACTGACTGCAACCACTGGAGAATGAAAGAGCCCCAGATAATAGCATCCGTGGGCTTGGACAGGGAGCTCAGTGACCTCCTAGACTTCAGCATGATGTTCCTGCTGCCCGTGGCCAGTCGAAAGGGCTGGCCTGTCTCCTTGGCCAGCGCACAGTTCAGAGGAGCAGGTCCGGAGGACTGGCCTGGTTCAGGCTCCTGGGACACTGGCGATCAGAACACCTCCTCCTTCAACCCTGGCCAGAGCTACAGTGAAGGACCCACTTCAGTGAGTCCCACAGCAGCCTTTCTTTCCCATTTCTGGGACCTGGGACCTGGGCTTGGAGGCAAGGGCGGCCAGTGGGGCGGGTACCCCACCTTCTGGAGAGACACGGCTGTTGGCGGCTTGACTCAGGTCAGGTTCCTGACTGGTGAGCATTCCCTCTGCAGCCCCGGGCCACTGTCCTTCTCAGACATCAAGGGAGCACCCAGTACAATGCCTCCTAACTCGGCAACCCTTGGGCAGAACCTCAGGTGGCCACTGGGCCCACAGCCCAAGAATGTCGAGAAGTTTCTACCTGTTCTTCCTTCCTCATTGTACCCCCCACCCCCAATATAATAAAAATAACTTTTTCATATTTATTTATTTAAAAAGCAGAGTTACAGAGAGAGAAAGAGAGAGAGAGAGAGATATTCCATCCACTGATTCACTCTTCAAATGGCCACAACAGCTGGAGCTGGGCCAATCCGAAGCCAGGAACCAGGAGCTTCCTCCAGGGTCTCCCACATGGGTGTAGGGGCCCAAGCACTTGGACCATCTTCTGCTGTTTTTGGACCACCCTCTTCTGCTTTCCCAGGCATATTAGCAAGGAGTTGGATCAGAAGTGGAGCACCCAGAACTTGAACCGGAACCCATATGGGATGCCGGCACTGCAGGCAATGGCTTTACCCACTGCACTGCAACACCGGCCTCAATAAGAATCACTGTCTTTCTCTCTCTCTCTCTTTTTTTTAAATAAGTCTTTTTTAACAATTCTTTTAGATTTTTGTTTATTTAAGAGAGAGCGTTACAGACAGTGGGAAGGGGAGACAGAGAGATCGTCCATCTGCTAGTTCACTCCCCAAATGGCTGCAATGGCTGGAGCTGCACTGATTGGAAGCCAGGATCCAGGAGCTTCTTCCGGGTCTCCAGTGCGGGTACAGGGGTCCAAGGGCTTGGGTCATCTTCTACTGCTTTCCTAGGCCATAGCAGAGAGCTGGATTGGAAGAGGAGCAGCCAGGACTAGAACGGGTGCCCATATGGGATGCCGGCGCCACAGGTGGATTAACCTACTGAGTCACAGCACCGACCCCTGAATCACTTTCTTTCTAAGACCAGACTTCTAAGAAAAGGGCAGGTGAGTGAGTTTTTAAAAAAAAAATGTTTTTAGTGTCTGGAGTTCCTGCTTGATAATAAACACTGGCTTGAGTTGCGTTGTGCACAGTAGTTAAGACACTGCTCATGATGCCTGTATGTGCCTGTATCCGCGTACCTGGGTTCAAGTCTTTGCTCCACTTCTGACCCAGCTTCCTGCTAATGCACACCCAGAGAGGCCAGATGTTGGCTCAAGTACTTGAATCCCTGCCACCAGTGTGGGAGACCTGGATGGAATTCTGGGCTCCTGGCTTCAGCCTGACCCAGCCCTGGGTATTTCAGGCATTTGGGGAGCAGATGGATGGTCTCTCTCTCCTTTTCCAATAAAAAACAAATAAAAGAAACTTTAAAAATGAAAAAGGTTGACTTTGCTTTTTCCATAAGAAGTATTTTCATTATTATACAAGGGGGCCTCAGAAAGTTCATGGGAAATTCAAATTGTCATTTGATTTCTTTTTTCCCTAAACTCTTCGAAGCCCACTATATAAGGAAAGCACATTTTTAAAAGATTTGTTGACTGATTAACTTGAAAGGCAGAATGATGGAGGGTAAGGGAGACAGGGAGAAAAAGAGATCTTCCATCATCTGGTTCACTCCCTCAATGGCTGCAATAGCTGGAGGTAAGCCAGGCCACAGCTAGGAGCCAGGAATTCCATCCGGGTCTCCCATGTGGGCGGCAGGGGCCCTAATGCTTGGGCCATCATCTGATGCTTTCCCAGGCGCATTAACAGTAAACTGGATCCGAAGCAAAGCAGCAAGGACTAAAACCAGCACTTGCTATGGGATGCTGGTATTGCAGGCACTGGCTTAACTCTCTGTGCCCAAACTCCAGCCCTGGAAAGCACTTTCATGTTTTAGGGTTGAGTGGGATGTTGAGGTACACACTGCAGGTACTGTGCATTTGTCACAACCAGACTGCAAGGGTGTATGTAAAGACACCCCTCAAACTCAACCTCTTAAAATAATAGTGATAATAGTGCCTGTTTTTTTAGGGTTATTGCAATGTCCAGGTCTGGACCAGGCTGAAGCTGGGAGGGAGGAACTCAGCCTGGGTCTCCCGTGTGGGTGGCAGGGAGCCACCACTTAAGCCATCCCCACTGCCTGCCTCTCAGGAACTTCATTAGCAGGAAGTGGGACTCGAGGGTTAGAGTTCGGTAGCGAACCCAGGTTCTCCTTTGTGGACTGAGGGCATCTTAACCACTAAACCAAATACCTGTCCCTTTTTTAAATGCCATGATTTATACAAATTGCCAGAAAGAAGAGGACAAGACAAATCCCATGAAAACATCCACTTTTTCAAATTATTTTATTTATTTGACAGAGCGAGTCAGAAAAGTAGATAGCTTCCAGCCACTGGTTCACTCCCCATGTACTTCCAACAGGGCTGGAACCATGCTTGGCAAGTTGAGGCCCCTTGGGGGCGTTGGGCTGGTGACCTGATGCGGCCATGGTTTAGACCTGTGTGGTCAGGGTGTGGAGGGTACAGTCAGCCCACCCGGAACATGTGCCAGGGGAGAGAGGCTGTGCTGGGTGACCCAGGCACTGAGCTACCCCAGCCAGAGGTGAGCCAGGAGCCCCCAAGGGCAGTGTGGAGGTAGCCAAAGGCACCCAGTCTCAAAAAGGAGTTGAACCCCCAGGGAGAAGTCAACGGCAGTGGAGACCAAGATTCCTTAAGACCTTTTAGGCCCTAGGAGGGCATGGAGGACGCTGGTGAAAGAATGTTCTATGGGAGGCATGAGCCAAAGGCAGGCTGTAGGGGGCTGAAGTATGAACAGGGAGTACGATGTGCAGGCCAGGCAGCGTCAGGTGCCCTGTTTAACTCTGCACCGCAGTGGGCAGGAGGGCAACCGTGGAGGAAGCGGACACGGCCCGAGGGGGAAGGTTTTGTTGGCTTAAAACGGGACAGGATTGAATGTGTTTATACTCGTGAGAGACCCAAGCCGGTAGAAAGAACAGAGGCTGAAGGAGGAGGTGGCGATGGGAGACAACTGCAGGGGCGGGAAGGGGGTGAGTCCTGGGGAGGCAGGGCCGGAGTCTGTGACCTGCGACGGAGAAGCCAAGCGTGGGGCAGTGCCGCTGGGGGCGAGAAGGCCAAGTGAGGCTGAACATGAAAGTTTAGAGAAAAGTGGGGGCCTCAAAAATACAACTGAACCAAGGATGAGAAAGCCAGGCCAGGGTGGAGGGTGGGGGTTGGAGCACAGGGTCCGCCCAGCTAGAGACCATGACCTTGCAGCAGCTGAGTGCGCGGGAACCGTGGTCTCCACCGCTGCCCGGACGCGGGCCCAGGGACCTCTTTGCCAGCCCTGCCTGCCAGGAAGGGAGGGGTCTCGGCCTCAGCCACAGGGAAGGCCAACAGGTGGCAGTCTCCCGCCCTCGCTCGCTCCTCTGCCACAAGGCTAAGCTCGAGGCCACAGTGTCTTCTAGAGAAGGTGTCAGGAAGAGCTGCAGAGGAGGAACAGGGGCTGGAGGTAGACAGGCGGCGAAGGAGGCGGCGGCGTGGGTGGGCTGCTGCGTCTCCAGTGATCCTCGAGGGAACAAAGGCGGTGCGAGTGGGGCGCCTCTGGGAGCCTCCTCCCTGATACAGTGTGCATGATCCCCGGCGAAGGCGATGAGCGCGCGCCCACTGCACTCTCCCCGGCGCGAGGGAGCCACGCGGCTGCAGGAGCGGGCGGCGGGCTCGGGACCCCACGCGCGCAGCGTGTAAGCACCCCCCTTGTCCTTCTTTCTACCCGCCTGGCTCTGTTGGGGAGCCGGAGGGCCCCGGGACTAGCGGTGCGGCCGCCTCGGAGCAGCCCCAGCCCCTATCCTTCTTCCGCCGTGTAAGCCCCGGACCCCGGAGGGAGCGTGGGTCCAATGGCAGAGGCCGAGCGGGACATAAGCCGGTCCTGCAGGTGCCCGTAGTCACCCCGGTGGGACCCGGTGGCACGCTCCTTCCTTCTGCGCTGTGCTAGGACACGTTCCTAGCGGGGACCCAGCCTCTGAGCGTGCGCACTGCCCCCCACTGGGCCATACTGAGCGAGGCGCAGGGAAGCGGGAAAAACCCAGGGCACCGTGCCGCACGCCTATTGCCAACGGAGCCGACTCCCGCGCCTCTCCGGCTCCGCTCATTGTACAGTGTTTATCCTGCAGATTTTTAATAGTCTTTTAAAAAGCATTTTTTCCCTCGGCGCGTCTTCCTTGCATCCTTTTCACTTGGGAGTTTGCAGCGGGCCGTGGGTGGGAGAAGAAACGTCGGTTTCCATCGGAGAACACCGAGAGACGAGGCCGTTCTTTCAGCAGCGAGGAGGAGCGAATCGGTGCCAGATGCACAAATCGCTGCGCCTCTCTGGTGCTTTCTGAACGCATTCCTAACAGTGTGGAAGTCAGTCTCAGCGGGCAGGCATGGGGTGATTGGGCAACAGCAAGATGACAGAAGACCAGGGTGTCGATGAAAAAGAACGATGCGAGGCCAACAAAAAGATGGAGAAGCAGTTGCAGAAAGAGCGCCTGGCTTACAAAGCGACTCAGCGCCTGCTGCTGCTGGGTAAGGGCGCAAGGCGGCTGCAGCCCGGCGGAGCCCGCGGCCCCCCCAGAACTCTCCGCTGGGAACAGGACGAGCCGGGGCAGAGCAGGCAGGGCCGGCCGAGCCCCAACGGTGCGGGGCTGAGCTCCTGCAGCCAGGAGCAGCGAGGACGCGATAGCCCCCTGTTTAGGGGAAAACTCGCTTGGTCAGGTTTCAGGGTGAGCAGGGTGGGCAACAATGTCAGGACGCACATCACAACATTCTGTCTGTCTGTCTGTCTGTAGGGGCTGGTGAGTCCAGGAAAAGCACTATCAAACAGATGAGGATCCTGTATATCAATGTGGCTGAACAGTTCATTGGATGGGGCGGGGGTAGGTGAGGGAGAATACGAATCTGCTGCTGAATTTAACGTACCCAGGCAAACTCTTCTGACAATATCTCGGTTAAAAAAAGTATCTTGGCTGGCGCTGCGGCTCAGTAGGCTAATCCTCCGCCTGCGGCACCAGCACACCGGGTTCTAGTCCTGGTCAGGGCGCCGGATTCTGTCCCGGTCGCTCCTCTTCCAGTCCAGCTCTCTGCTTTGGCCCAGGAGTGCAGTGGAGGATGGCCCAAGTGCTTGGACCCTGTACCCTCATGGGAGACCAGGAGAAGCTCCTGGCTCGTGGCTTCAGATCAGCAGCTGCCACTGGGGGGTGAACCAACGGTAAAGGAAGACCTTTCTGTCTCTCTCTCTCTCTCTCACTATCCACTCTGCCTGTCCAAAAAAAAAAAAAAATCTTGACTAACAAAATATTCGATATTCTTATGCTATTGGTTTGCAATACTGGTACTGCTCTGAGCCCACCATGAACGCAGTTTTTCCCCAGTGCTGATGGGCGATGGGTTCCTGGACCCCTCAGATCTGGGTTTGCTGAATTTTCTTATGTAAAACACTGCGCTATTTGAACAGAACCCACGCACCTCCTCCTGCCCACTTGAAGGCACCTCTGGATGACGTCCAGTATTAACACAGTGGAAACGCCCTGTGCGTAGCTGCTTACTGAGGACGGAATGATGACAGGGGGAAAGGTGGTACGGGTTCAGTGCAGACCCAGTGTTTTTCCCCCAAATGTTCTTGATCCACAGGTTCTGACTGTGGACACGGAGAGTGACTGCACCTCAATATACGCTTTCCTTCATCATATCATTAGCTTGAGTCTACTTCAGTGTGTATGTAACAACATACAGGAGAGATTGAAGTAAACGTATTTACAAATATAACTGAAGTTGTACTTATATGGAGTATTCTTAGCAATTTTGCCGCCTTTTGAAGAAACTTGCATAAAGTTGAAGTAACTTATTTAAAGCTATCGATTATAAAATGACTGTTGGAAAGCAGACATTGAAGTTTGTTTTGAGTTCAGTTTAGAAAGGGGCAGTATTTTCCTTTCCCAGATAAAAACTGCACAGCTGTTGTCTTGGGGTGGTGGAAACCATCTGTGAACCAGTCTAGCCCCACTCCACAGTGGGAAACTTAAAATCCTACTCAGTTGATTCAGATCAGTGCTAAGGGGAAATTTATATTAATACCAATTCTCTTTCAACTCAAGGAAAAGAAACAGAAAATGTTGGACATCCAGAAAGATGTTAAAGACGCAATTGTGGTAAGCACCTTTCGTAATGGTTGCTTCCTAGGAAGTTGAAGCACTCTGCACCCTAAAACTGTGGAGACAGAAGTGAATACATATTAGAGTAGCGTCCATAGAGCCCAAGCACTATGTTTATCCATCTTTCTTTTCTTCACTCTGTTTCAGACAATAGTTTCGGCGATGAGCACCATTAGACCCCCAGTTCCACTGGCCAACCCGGAAAACCAGTTTCGATCAGATTACATCAAGAGCATCACACCTGTCGCTGATTCTGAGTATCTGAGTATTTACATGCACCCTCTCATTTCATCCTCACGACAAAAGGCGTAAATGCTATTACAGACCCAACTTTCCTGGGTGCCCCTGAGGTGAAGAAATTGGTATCAGTTCTGGGCGCAGCACCAGGTGTGTGTGTGCTACCCTGCCCTAAGCTGTCCCACATGGGCTCACAGTGAGATGCAGGGTGGGCTCAGGGAACAGGAACTCTGGAGTGTGCAGATGGACACAGCAGCAGCCCCGGTGCTCGGAGCCTGGCCAGGTGCGCAGGGGTGTGGACCGACCTTGGACTAAGAGATGCCCACAGCCAGGCGTGGACACGGGGATCCCGGCTCAGGCACACCCAGGCTGTGTGACCTTGACCAAACACCTGCTCCCCCGGCAGCCCCTGTTCTCTTTACTGTGGACAGAGCCAGTATGGCAGCCGCACCGCCTGAGCCAGGAGTCTCTGCAGCCCGGGTGGTGCAGAGCAGAGCTTAGAAACTCAGGTCAGAGCCTAGGATCCGACGGCACTCAGCACCGGGCACCTCTGTGGCGGCGCTCAGGAAGCACAAGCCAAGCCAACTTTGTGTCCTTGGGGCTGAGGTGGGCGTGGCCTTCCCCAGGGACTGCCTGGGACACTGGGCACTTGCTGCACCCTCCTCAGCTCCCCAACGTGGCCCCCAGCTGCCTTCCCCTGACTCGAGGACACTCTGTTTGCAGGCACCCCTCCCCCCAGGAGGCTCTGGGCCACCTCCTCCCCAGGGGTGCACAGGCTATGCAGGGGCTGTCACTGCCTCTCTGCCACTGGGCAGCACCGTGCACGCGGCCTCAGCAGCTGGGGGTCCCTCGGCCCACACTTGCTCTGGAGTGGCTTAGACAGTGAGCGGCCCCTGCCTATGGGAGCTCGTGAGTATGGAGCCCTCCTTACCCCAGGCCCCCCCAGCCTGTCACACCCTGTCCCCATGGAGCCCACAGCAGCCCTCCTGGAACTCCCGTGTGGGTGGAGACGGGGCGGGGCCAGGGAGGAGTGTGCCCCAGACACAGCTGTGGAGCCAGAGCTGGGAGGAGACCCAGGAGAGATCCAGAGTTCCAGCTCCCTGCTAATGCGACTGGGAAAGCAGCAGGGGACAGCCCGGGGGCTGGGCCCCTGCACAGGCATGAGAAACTTGGGAGACGCTCCTGGCTCCTGGCTTTGGATTGACCCAGCTCTAGCCAATGCAGCCACCTGGGAGTGAGCCCGCAGATGGAAGACTTCTCTGTCCCTCTCTACCTCTGCCATTCAAATAAATAATAAAGCTTTTTTAAAAAAAAAAGAAAGAAGGACACAGTGTGGCTTCTCTGAGCGGATGGAATCCCGAGATCCCGAGTGCCCATGCACGTGGGGACAGTGTGGGGGTCAGGAAGGAGGTCTGGCTTCCTGAGGGAGGTGGCCTCGCTGCCTCCTTGACTCAGAGTTTTATGTGGCCATACCATGAGACCCTACCATGAAGCACCCAGCACTAGGCATTCGAAGGCTTCTCTGGAACATTAGGGGTTGTGGGAGATGAGGGTCAAGTTCATATCTCACAGATGCTTGGGGACTGTTCTCACAGAGATCGGAGCACACATCTCTCTGTCCCCAGCCCTCGGTGACAGGGCTGCTGGGACAGAGGCTCACCCATGCTTTGAGGCCGCACCACCCTAGGTGCCCTGTCCCAGCAGGTGCACCCAGAGGTCGTCTCCCACAGTGCAGCATCTCCCCAGGTGACAAGCCGTGGCCACTGGCAACAAGCTTCTACTGCTTTGCCCATAAAGCAAGACTCGGGCGCACGTCACACTCAGCAAGCAAAGCCTCTTCATCTGGGGTGTGGGTGCCGAGAGGCCGGGCTACAGGGGAGGCAGGGACAAGGTGCTCCTGCAGAGAGCCTGATTCTGGGGAGCGGGCAGCGGCAGCATCCTGGCGGAAGGCCTGGCGCACCTGTCTGGGAGGTGGTGGCACTGGGGACACCAGATGAGGGGGAGACTCTCCAGGCTGGGTTGAAGGCAGAGGCTGGAGCTGCTGGGGGCCTTCATGAGGGCGAGGTTGGGCCACCTCTCCTGGAGGGAAGAGAACAGAGAGAGGGGGCTGGGGCTGGCGTATCCACTGGGCCAGAAGGCAGTGGTGGGCGGGTCAAAGGGATGGGGCAGGAGCATCAGGACCCAGAGCTTGGACCTTGGTGAAGCCCCTGGTGGCCCGGGGCTGGTGGCCCCCGAGCCTGGAGGCCTCCTTCCTGACCGAGCACAGGTGCCAAACACCTGTCCCTCCTGGTAGGCTGAGTAGAAGCTCAGAACGATGTCCCGTCCATCATGCTGAGAACCTGTGTCCAAGTCCCTGGCCAGGCGGGAGGTGCTTGGTGCCTGTGGCTCTGGAACCTGGGCTGGGCTGCTGGAGCAGATTGTGTGGGCGTGCTGATGTAATACCAGAAGTCCCCATCAGGGGGAGGCAGAGGGAAGCTTGAGGACAGGAGAGAAGAGAGCCTGGGACCAGTGTGGCATGGAGACCAGGGAATTCTCTGCATGGCTGTCTCTGTGGATGGACAGAGGGGCCAGCATCCAAGGAAGGAGGGGCTGAGCTCTAGAACTGGGGAAGGCGAGGGGTCCGGACGTCCAAGAGCCTCGGCAGGGAGCTGAGCCCTGGGCGCTCCTTGATTTCTGCTCAGTGAGTGCTTTTCAGATGAGCAGGAGCCGAAGCCCCCGACAGGTGCAAAGGATGAGGCTCCTGTGGCGTGCGGGGCCGGCACTGGGCGCTGAGTGCAGAGCTGAGGCCCAGCTGCATTTGAGTCAGAGCTGAGAGCAGAGACACAGTGACCCCCACGCCCTCATCCAAACCCTGGAGGGGCTTCCAGGACTGAAAGGCGGAGGGGGGGGGGGTGCACAGGCAGCCACAGCAGGTGGGCCTCCCAGTGACACACCTGTCCCTGGCTCTATTCACGGTGACACTGGGCTGGGTGCACTGCCTTCCTCCAGGCCCTTCCAGTGCTGCCTGCCCCCCGCGCTGCTCTGGAGTGTGGGGTTCCTGCCTCCCTGCTGTGTGCCTCCCAGCTGTGGGCACGCCCCTTCAGCATCTGGGCATGAGGGAGGGGGAGGGCCCTGGGCTGGTCAGTGCTGGCCACAAGCAGCTGCTACCACGTCCCCAGCACTGCTGCCCCAAAGGACTGGCCACGGCCATGCATGGGGCAATGAGCAGGAGCTGTCAGCTTTGTGTCCAGGGCATTCCTCTTGGCACCTGCCAGCCCTGACTCTGAGCCATGGTCCCAGCGGGCAAGTGTCAAGGGCAAAAGCAGTGGCTGTTGTGCCCCAGGGAGCATCCCTGAGCCCGGCTCACCTGGCCCCTGGCCCGGCACAACATCATCGGTGAAGGGTGGCAGGTGGGCTGGATGTAGTTGTAGAAGCCGTCCAGGGTGCCCTGAAAAGCAGACGTGGCCGTGAGCAAGCCCCCTGAGCATGGACCCCACCTCCAGAATCCCGGGACCAGGCTGCAGCCTCCTCCTGGGCGGGGCCGGTGCCTGCGTGTTTATGGGGTGCTGGCTGCCCGTCACGCAGAGTTTGGGTCTGGAACAAAGCAGCCTCTTTGGAGCAGGAAGCAGGGAATTCAGGACTGGCCTGAGGGGGGCGTTCACGGTGGAGGGATACGTGGGGGACGGGGGGCACGTGGTGCGCATCAGGGCCTGGGCAGGAGCGGGAGGAAGGGGGAGGAGGCCTGCATCTGGGGTCGGCACAGGGAGAGCCTGGTAGGGGCCCTGTGCATGCCGGGGGGACAGGCAGGTGTCTGACAGCTGGGGCAAGAGGGGAGGAAGCAGAGCCCAGGCCAGAAGGAGCCCTGTGGGGCCCTGGGGAGGGCAGGGCCGCGCCCTGCAGGCTGATAGGCCTGGGCAGTGGTCGGCTTCCCTCCCCGGTGGGTGTAGCTGGGCTGTCTGTGTCCAGCATGGTCAGGGGACAGGCAGCGGAGCCGGGAGCTCCCAGGAGTATGCCAGAACCCCACTTATTGCCAAGTATCCATCCCTGTGTGCACAGTATTCGTGATGGCCTTTTAGGGTCCTGTGTCCTCCAACTGGTGTAGTTCAGTGCCCCCGGCTCAGCAGGCATCAAGACCAGGGACAGCTGTTTCCCCCCAGCCTAAGGAGCCTACAGCCGGAGCTGGCAGGGCCCGGCCTTTCTGGCGAGCATCAGGCTTGGAAGCGCACAGTGAGGCCCTCACATGTACCCCTTCCCTGCACGGCCTGTGAGCAGGACAGCTTCACGCACACACCTGCTAGCAAAGGGCTGCACACCTAACCGCTGCTCAAGCTGGCAACATCCCCTGTGACACCGAGGTCAGCCCCGTGTCTACAGCCTGGGCCCTGCCAGAGGGGAGGCTCTGGTTTGGGACAGCCCTGGGGGCAGAGCTCCTCAGCATCCTGTGGTCCCTCCCCTGGGTGGGCCTGGCGGTTTCCATGGGAACAAAGCGATCTCCCTATGTGAGGGGCAAGCACGCAGCCCCAGACCTGGGTCCTGTCCCTCCCGCAGGACCCTCCTCACCTGGGACACTCTGCTCACCCACACCCCCTGGCAGGCACAGCAGCAGACGATCACTGTGGGACACACGGTCACGGGGGGCGGCGGGGGCGGGGGCGGTGGAGGAGGCACTTTCTTGGGCTTCTAGAAGAGAAATGCAACTGTCTACTTCCTTGCCCGTGGCTGTCGGGGAGCAGGGACGTGGAGTCCCATGACTGCACAGGGCTGGCTGATCCTCTATATTTTGGGCTGAGTGGAGGTCGCACGAGGAGCTGCACCCAGCACAGGGCACAGCCCTATGTGAGGACCTCCCACAGCCTTCTTCCAGCACTGCCACGGCCTCTCCCCAGATGCCAGCGCCTCGGCTCCTAAACTCTTGCCTGTCCTGGGGCCGCCCTTGCTGTCTGAGGCCTGGCCTACAGGCTGTGCGGTCCCAGACACTGGCTCAAGCCTTTGCCAGCCCACACTGCAGCTCCCTCTGTCCTGCTCCTGCCTCCCTGCTCCTTCTGTGCCCTGTCTGGGCATGCTGGGAGCCTGGAGGGGTCTTCCGGGGACATCACTGTGCATCCCAGACCCTGGGGCCACCCCTTGCCCCTTGGGAGGGAGATGTTGGGCCCAGGCCTCAGGATGCTGTGGGTGAGGGTCCCCGTCCTCTCCAGGCAGGGAACAAATGAAAACCAAATCCACACTGACCTTTTCTGGGGGTGGTGGCGGCGGTGGCTTCCTGATTTTCTAGAATGTTAGAGACAAAAATGGGGGCGGCATGCCGATGGGTGGGAGCCTTGTCTGGGGCAGCAGCACAGGGCATGGCCTTGGAGGTGTCCATCTGGCACCCCGTACCTGTGGCGCTGTGCCCAGCAGGCTCCACCTCCAGGAGTGTCAGGCCTCCCCTCCCCCGGGGGCTCCTCATCCTCCATGGCCTGCCTCCCCCTCCATCTGGGGCCCTCAGGACTTCCCAGGACACCCACAGAGGTCACCCACTGGCTGCTGAGAGCTAGCCCTGGTCTCAGGGACTGGGGTGGCCCTTCTTCATGGACCAGAGTAGACCTTGGTCCAGAGTTCAGGTGTCCCAGGCCAAGTTCCTGGGACCAGCCTGGGCAGGAAGCCAGAGTGAGGCCAGACTCAGAGACAGGTGCAGCCACAGTGGGAAGACAATATCTGTGACTGCACCAGCTCATGAGATGACCACAGAGTGGCTGGGACACTGGCCAGAGGCAGGCTCAGGGGCCGGGCCAGGTGCAGGTCCCTGTAGTGGGTGTGGCCTGGGCCCCCAGCTGGGCAGGAGGGGGCACTCACCCTGCAGCACAGCCACCAGAGCCACCACAGCAGCACTGAGATCAGCGCCAAGGCCAGGGCGAATGTGGTGATCACTAAAGCTAGGCTGGGGTGAGGCACGGTGATTACGGTGCTGCCTGGTGGATAAGGGGTCTTGGGGGGTTTCGTCTTTGGGGGTGCTGTAGTCTGTGGGGGAGGGGGAGGAGGAGGAGGTGGAGGAGGGGGAGGGGGAGGCGGAGGAGGAGGCGGTGGGGGAGGGGTCGTTGTCGTGGTGGTAGGAGTCGTGGTGGTGGTCAGCTTTGTAGTAGGTATGGTGGTTGGTTTTGTAGTCGGTGGGGGCGTCGGGGGCGGAGGTGGTTTCGTAGTAGTCGTGGTTCTGATGGTTGTAGGCACGGTGGTCGTTCTCCGAACAGGCTGCAAGAAAGAGCTCACCATGCAGCCAGCCGGCGCTCACGGCCGCTGTGGCTGAGGCCCAGGGAAGGCTGTGCTCTCCTTGGAAGCCCCCCATAGGCATCCCCACCACCCACTCCCCTTTCTCCCACGTCTTCCCGGATTCGTGAGGGCATGGCATGTCCCCGGGGTGGGAGCGCCTAGCTGTCACTCTTCTCCTGGGATTGGTGTGGTCCACCAGCCCCAGGAGCACACACAGCTGAGTTTTGGGCCCCCGAGAGGCGTGGGCCCAAGTGCGGGACAGCAGACCTGGGGCTACATTCCAAGGCCTTCTCTCCACACTTCCTGGCCTGAGCACCCCTCTGAGCCTGTTTCTAGTTTTGCTGAGGGACAGGAGCAGCTCTCCCTGTGGGTGCATGGCAGTGTGCAGGGAGAGAAGGGGCGAGCCCAGGTCAGGTCACGTGGGCCATGGGGCAGGGCCCCCGCCGCCCTCCTGCTCATTCTTCCCACCTAGGGAGCTGGAGCTGGAGCTGAGGGGCAGAGGCAAGGCTGCAGAAAGGAGTCTGTGCTTGCGGGCAGAGGCTGGTGGAAGGCGGGGAGGAGGCTGCAGGCAGCTGCAATATGACAGCAGATTCTGCACAGCCACAGGGCCTGGGTCATTAGTGGGTTGGGGGCCGGGTCACCGGCAGGACACTGAGTCAGAGGCACACACGTCCTGACTGCAGCTGGTGGAACCGTCCCGATGCTCTATGTCTAGGACACCCTCAGGGCTGCCGGCTTCCCCCGAAATCCTGGACCCTGCTCTTAACAGACAACCTCCCCACTCTGCAACTCCCGCCACCCACCCTCCTGGAAGCCAGCACGGAACTCTCCCAAGGTGCCTGTGTGTAGGAGCTACTTCCTGGGTCAGCCCAGGGACCTGCTGCCCTTCTGGTCTCCCCAGGGTGCAAGTGCACACAGCACAGGCTCTGGACCTCCCACGGGGACTGCAAACCCACTGGGTACTCACGCAGTGCACGACATTCATGCTGACATCATTGGCTAAGAAGTTCCTCCCTTTGTTCAGGCTGACTTCCACAATGATGCTCCTAGGGCACAGTGAGGGCAGGAGGTGAGCTGCGGGGCGGGGAGACCCAGGACCTGCCCTCGGTGGGCCCCAGCCCCTGGCGCCCCTCCCTCCGTGCTTAGGACCCTGCAGAGGGGGTAGTTAGGGCTGCAGAAAGTGAATGGGCCAGGTCACGAGTGCTTGGCTCCCAGGCTCTCAGCTCTGCAGCCACAGCCAAGGGCATCCAGGTCAGGCCCTGAGGATTTCATGGCACCTGACACCATCATGGCCCTGGATTGAGGGGACAGAGAGGGCTGCCTGGTGTCCTGCTCTTGACTGCTGTATCTGCAGGGGGCCTTTTCTTGGCTGCAAAGAGGTGCTGGAGGAATTGCCCCATTCATGGGATCCCTCACCTCCTACATCCTGTCCTTACCCCAGCCTGGGCCACTGCGGGAACCTGAACACCTTGGGCCATTCACAAGGTCTGGGGGGTAGAGGGCGTCCTAGGCCCACCCACAGACAGGTGCGTCCCACACTGTGCACCTGGGACAGGCACACACTGAGCACCTGCTCTCCTGCCCACGGGCCCCAGCCAGGACACTTACTGATTAGGTTTCGCTCTCTTGGGCAGAGGGCACTGTATCTTAAACCTGCCTACTAAACGTACCGCTTTTTCCTCTAAAAAAAAAAGATAGGAGAAGAATGTCAATGCACGTGTCCCATCACTTGGTCACCCTGTGCTGCCCTGAGCAGGCAGAGTCACACTTGGCCCATGACCCCTTCTCCTCTCTGCCTGCCTCTGCTCACAGGCACCTGCTGGGCACTATGGGGGCCCCTGGGCTGGGCAGTGCTTTCCCTTTAACAAGAATGACAGGAGGAGGCCCTGCTTTGGAAGGAGTCACCTGTCAGGGACTGAGGGTGACAGGAGACAGGGTCATCATTCACTTCCTGCCACTTTTGTGTACTGCTGACCACAGCCACTGCAAGGCGTCCTCTCTGAGGAGGGGAGGGTGCAGTGACACCACATGGGGCACCCCAGGGGAGCGCTCTGGAGTGTGCAGCGGCCTGTGTCAAGGCCCTGGGGCAGTCATAGCTGGGCTTGCTGGGGAGGGAAAGAAGGGAGCCAGGAGAGGTAGGCGGGGCCTCCTGGGAACAGGTTGGACTCCAAGTTCAAGTTGGACTCCTGCTGAGGTGGCACAGGTGCTGGCCAGAGCTTGGACAAGAGGCAGCAGGACCCACACAGGGGCTGGGTATGGGGATGAAGTTCAAGGCTGACATCCAGGACTCTGAGCAGAGCGAGTGGGGGGAGCTGTGCCACTGAGGTGATGGGGCAGCCGGGGGAGGAAAAGGGCTTTCCGTGCTTCTGTTCTGGTTCTGTTCCTTCCTCTGTGGGAGCTGGGGGGTCTCAGGAGATCCTTGACTTGTGGGCGGAGTCTCCTCAGTCCTGAGCCCACTCCCTTGTACCCCTGCGCTGTGCTGAGGAGCTGAGAGCCAGCTGTACACCTGTCTGGCTCTGGCGTCCTGGGGCCAGGGCTCCCCGCTGCAGATTGGAGTGCAGGCCGCAGAGGGCCCCGTGGGTCGGCCCCTATGCCTGTGGGAGGACAGCCCCTGCCCTGTCTCCCTGCACCTCTCACACTCCCCCAGGCTCCCCAGTGGAGCTGGCACGGCCCAGACACCTGAGCTGCAACTCTACACCTGCTGAGCCCCAGGGAAGACCCAGCAGGGAAGGCCCCTCCCTGGCCACAGTCCCAGGACTGGGAGGACACTGCTGCCTGGGGTCCAGCAACACTTCCAGAGCCCTGTCCCTAACACTAGGCAGTCAGCTTGAAGGTTGTTGTTGCTGTTGTTTTAACAAATGGGTTTCCTGTCTGTTTAGAAACGTTCCCAAATTTTGCAAGACAGGAGTCTGCCTGTGACCACCTGGACACTTGGCCTTGGAAACACACATCAGAAATCTCGCAGGAAATCCTGAAATCACAGGAAATCCCTGTTTCTTTCCGTGGCCTCTGATTTTGTTCCTCTTACTTCCTGTTCACTGGCAGGGCATCTCCTAGGAGCTGATGTGAGCCAGGTAGAGCCGCCTGGGAGACACGATTCATACAATCTCACCCTAGCTTCTTTCCTTCATCCCATTCCGGGCACATCACATCATGATGCCCAGGCTCCCTTCACTGTTTGACTAGGGCTCATGCTTGCAGTCTCGGTCTGTTTTCAAGTTCACTGTCTTCCGCTGTATAATTTTTATCATAACAACTTATATGGGATACATTTAAAGTATTTTAAAAACATGAATACAGAAGTAGAAAGTGATGCAACTATAGCAACAAGTTTATACCTCCAAGTATCTTCTCTTAGTCTTTGTTTTTCCTCTGGAGTCAAGGTTGCTTGTCTGAAACACCACATTTCTGCCTGCACCACTTTGCTGGCCCTGGGCACACGGTCACGTCACCCAGGAGCCCGGGAAGTACTTTAACCCCATTTCGGGGCTGACCTTGACAATCAGCACAGACAGCTGAGATGGTTTGCCCTGGGGGTGCTGTAGTTGGGATGAACTGTAAAAAGCTGCCCCACTGAGGCGTGAGTGACAGCAGAGAGGTGCTCCTGGATGGGAAGACAGGTGCACCTGGCACACAGGGGCAGTGGCTGAACGCAGGACGGGCAGGGCACCCAGCACCGCCAGACTAACCAGAAAGGTTATCAGAAAAAAAAAAAAAAAAAAAAAAACAAGATTAGCAGTTTAAAACTAATACAGTCAAGGGGCCGGCGCTGTGGCCTGAAGCGCTGGCATCCTATATGGGCGCGGGGTTCTAGTCCCGGCTGCTCCTCTTCCGCTCCAGCTCTCTGCTATGGCCTAGGATAGCAGTAGAAGATGGCCCAAATAGCAGTAGAAGATGGCCCAAATCCTTGGGCCCCTGCACCCGCATGGGAGACCTGAAAGAAGCTCCTGGCTCCCAGCTTCGGATCAGCGCAGCTCCGGCTGTTGTGGCCATCTGGGGAGGGAACCAGTGGATGGAAGACCTCTCTCTCTCTCTCTGCCTCTCCTTCTCTCTCTGTGTAACTCTGACTTTGAAGTAAAATAAATTTTAAAAAATCTTTAAAAAAAAAAACTAATACAGTCAAAAATCTTTTAAGTACAAAAGCCCAGGGCTGCAGAAAAAAAAAAGCATAAAATATATAGAAACACGTTTTACAATTGATCTTCTTAGTACTCCTCTCCCATTCCTAATACCCACTGTTCTACAGTGAAAAATGTCAGCAAAAGCAGCACAAGTCATCCGTCCTGCTCTATCATCTCAGCTGCAGCCATAGCCATGAGGAGCTGAGTGTGGCCACCTCAGGCCAAGCCCCAGAAAACAAGCAGGTGGCCGTGGTGGAGGTCCCGGCACTGCAACCTGGGCTCTCCTGAGGTTCCTGGGCAGGCCCATCATGGGGAGAAAACCAGTGACTTCTAAGCCGGCGCCGCAGCTCACTAGGCTAATCCTCCACCTAGCAGCGCCGGCACACTGGGTTCTAGTCCCGGTTGGGGCGCCGGATTCTGTCCCGGTTGCCCCTCTTCCAGGCCAGCTCTCTGCTGTGGCCAGGAAGTGCAGTGGAGTATGGCCCAAGTGCTTGGGCCCTGCACCCCATGGGAGACCAGGAGAAGCACCTGGCTCCTGCCATCGGATCAGCGCAATGCGCCGGCCGCAGCGCACCGGCTGCGGCGGCCATTGGAGGGTGAACCAACGGCAAAGAAAGACCTTTCTCTCTCTCTCTCACTGTCCACTCTGCCTGTCAAGAGAAAAAATATAGAAACAGTGACTTCCAGAGCTGCGGTGCTGAGTGCTGCCAGACCTAGGCTCCAACCCGAGTTACTACACCCTCCTCTGCACCACCTGGACTGCAGAGACTCCTGACTCAGGCAGTGTAGCTGCCATACCGGCTCTGTAAAGAGAACAGGTGTTCCCAGGGGAACAGTGCTTGGTCACACAGCCAGGGTGTGCCTGAGCCAGGATCCCAGTGCCCATGCCTGGCTGTGGGCAACCTTGTCAGTCCAAGGTCAGTCCAGACCCCGGTGTACCTGGCCAGGCTCAGAGCTCTGGGGCTGTTGCCATGTCCTCTGGAGAGCCCTCAGTGGGTGGATGAGACACAGCAGCCTACTCAAGTTCTGGGCTCTAAAGTTCAGGTACAGCTCTGTGGGCAGGGCTTGCACCACCACCACCTTGGCCAGGCAGACAGAGCCCTGGCCAGGCAGACAGGGCCCTGCCCCCAGAGGCCCTTGGTCAGCAGGGTGCTGCTGAAACTATGATTTCTCAGCCTTGCAGATTAAGGGATAGAAACCAGACGGGCGTCCAGGTCCATCCTCCAGTGCCCATCCTGCCAGTAGCCACTGGGAAGCCCCACCCGAGTGGGAAGCTTGGCTGATGCTGGGACCGGGACATGGTGACTCGGAGGCACCGGCAGGCTACTTACCAACCACATCACTGTCACTGAACTTGAACCTACAGATTATGTTGTCCTCGGTCTTGGCGTTATGAAAGCCGTAACCAATGAAGTTGACAATGTCATCTGTAAGGGCAAGGTCAAATGTGTGAGCGAGGAACGTTGCAGGCAGCGTCTCACATCTCAAGGTTCCTGAACGTCCACCCCAACAGGATCCCAGGGCTCCTCCCCCCGCTACTGTGTCTTGTCCACCCACTGAGGGCTCTCCAGGCCAGGTTCTTGGTCACTTTCAATCCATGCTGGTGGGTTGTACACGTGGATATAACCCAGCTCGCCTGAAAAAAAAGCCCATAAACTGTCCCTGGGTGGCCCCTTGGCAGAGGCCTTTCAGAGGTTCTTGGTTGGAAACCCCCAGGAGCACAACCAGGAAGGTAGAGGTAATGGAGGCAGAGGAGGCCAGTGAGGCATCTTGCACCTGCTCCCAGAATGCCTCACAGGAGGAGGACCGGTGTGAGCTGCAGGTGCTCAGACCACAGCCCCGTCCTCCTCCCCTGCTTCTTCCTGACCCTCAAGGACCACGCCCACCCAGCCTGGGGCTCAGCAAGCCCTTCCCCTCTGTGCCATCTGCCTGCCCCTGAGCCAACCCCTGAGAGAGAGGCAGGGCACAGGGCTGGACAGGATGGCCCAGGGCTTCCGGTTACACCCAGCTACTCCCCCTCCCCACTGCTGCCTTCTTGCCCAGGCCTGGTCCATTTCCAGTGACGCCGGAGACGCTCATGTCTCAGGACCTAGGGGCACCCCTTACCACAGTCCTTGCCCAGGCTCGATGGCAGCCCGAGGAATCGGCTCCTGGTGATGGTTGGGGGTCAGGCTCCTGCATCGGCCTTGCCCTCTCGTGGCTGAGACCCCCTGTGTGGCAGCTTTGGACAAGGCCCCCAGTTTCACAGTCAGGCCGGTGACAGCACAGCCTGACAGGCAGAAGCCATGGGGGAGCTGGCAGCCGGGGGTACCTGTCACCTGGGCTCAGTGCCCCAGGAAGGAGCCCCGACTCCCATCCTCCTTGCCGCCCTGGCGCCAAGGCCTGTGTGTACCAAGGGGCAGAATCTGAGCAGCGCAGGGCCAGAAGCAGCAGCAGGACACCCTGGGGAGGCGGCCTCTCCCCACCCCCAGTACTGCGCTCACCCCCTACCCAACCTGTGTCCCACCCGGGGGCGTGCAGGGGAGCCCAGGGCCAGGGAAGGGCAGTGGGAGGACCAGGGGCAGTTCCAGGGGCCGGCACCCAGCAGCCTCTGCGTACCAAACCTCTCACTGCACACACCCATGGCTTCAGTCTCACAGCAGCGGCCCGAGGGCCCCTGTGGACAGTAGGCAGGGCGGCAGCCCCCACACACTGGGCACTTGGCTCCCATTGTGTGCACAGCCCTGTCTGTCCCCACAGCCCAGTGTCACAGAGCCTCACACCTGGGAACCCGCAGGCCAGAACCCAGTGCCTGGGCCTGGATGCAGCCGGCTGGGCTGGGCGCCGTCCCCAGCGCGGGAGGACGCCCGTGGCTCCTTTCTCCCTGTGGACCGCAGTGGGCGAGTGGCAGCTGTGTGCCCCCAGCCTGCACAGAGCTCCTCAGGGCGACAGCCGCACCTGCCTGACCGCAGCGCCCTGGGGCAGGGGCCCAGGCTGGAGGCAGAGGGGCCTCCTTGTCAGCTTCCAGCCCTCGGGGACAGGTGCCGGCCCCTTGACCACTGGTGGAGGCGGCCCCGGCTGTCTCTGTGGGTGCTTCTGAGCTGCCTCTGTGTGTCACTAGCACACTGGTGTGAGACGCCGTGTGTGCCCATTCTCTGTCTCCACCCACTGAGGCCATGGCCTGGGTCTCTTCCCCACTTTGTTCTCAGACAAACTCCCCCAACACTTCCTGTCCTGGCACAGCCTTGTGTGTCTGGGATGAGCCCTGGTTACTCTTGACATAAAAGTTGTATTTTGGAATTCAACTATACAACATCTGAAATGCTCCAAAATTTGTCACCTTCTGAGTGTCAAAATAACACCAGGGGTGGAAAATTCCACACCTGGTTCCATACAGCAGGTTACAGCCAAATCAGAGGCGCAGTAAGAATTCTCTACAGTCACCTTCAGCATCTTGGAACAAGGTATAGATGAAACATAAATGAAATATCTTAGCCTTGGCTTAGATCACCATGATATCTCATTATGTATATGCAAATCCATATGTACATACAGCATTATATTATGTTATCTCATATATATGCAAATCTATATGAATATGCAAAATCCGAAGAATGCCAATCTCAAATACTTCTAATCCCAAAGCATTTGGAGTAAGGGACTTGTCTGTGCTGGCCTCTTTCTATGTTGTCCATCCATAGGTAGTGTTCCTTTGAGAGTTTTAAAACTATGGGACACATATTGTTTAATTGCTTTACAATTATACTTTCTGATATGAGATTAGAGGAACAAAGCTGTAGCCACACGTATACCCTCACCCTAGACTTGTATCCTCAGCGCGCTATTACAAGTTCACCCAATGCTTGTTCCACAGGCACCTGACCCATGCACACCCCCCACACATATACACCACACTCAAGTCCATCAGATACACAAACTCCAGACTCGCATGATGCCTGATGCATGCACAGTCACCACCCAACCCCATCCATACATGTGACTCACATGTTTACACATACATACATACAAATAACACCCAAACATCACACGCCGTAGTGCCCAGACACACGGCACACACACATACTCCACATCCACCACAAACACACTTAAAAGACATACCACACGCTCCCGTAACATACAGCATACATATTCATAAGCATCTGTACCCATCACCACATATATATTCATAAGCATGCTGTACCCATCACCACACCTGCTGCACACTGGGGCAGCACACACACAGTACACACCACAAGCACCACATGTATCACACACAGATCCACACTGCCTGTACATCCCACAGACATCTGATGCTGCCTGAAAACACAGGCACAGATGCACATGGCACACACATACCCCATTCATGGTGCTCAACACACATGCATTACACATGACTCACACATAGACACCATGTGTCCCAGACACACCTCATATCTCACAGACAAAAGTATATACACACAATAGACATGCACACACTACACATAGGCACAGACAAATGCCACACACACTCACCACATAGGGCCTCCCCCGACACACACCTGCACCCCCACCCTCCCTAGCGGTGCCCCCAGCTCCTACCTCCAGCACACACGGGATCAGGATCCACTTCTCTTAACTCCAGACAGGCCCTTGTACAAAACTGCAGCGGGGGGAGAGGGGAGAGTAGGAACTATGGGTGCACTTTCAAGAAGCTCCCTCCCCCACCTCTAGCCCCAATCACCCAATCCACCAGAGAAGGCCCTCCCCCTCCACCCCAGCCCCACTCACCCAGTCCACGTGTGCGTGCAGGAGCGTGGATGGACCTTCCACCACCTCTATGTGGTCTGGGCTGTCAGCAATGGCCTCCAGCTAAGAGAAACAGCAGGTGGCTTGAGCCCCCCAGCCAGGGACTTAAGGAGGCACCAGGGCCTCAGGCCCAGGACACAGTGTCAACCCTCCTGCGTGGGAACAGTGGAATGTCAGATCTCAGGGTCAGACCCTGGTTGGCGGCAGCAGGAAGCCCTCTCCCTTCACCTTCCCACTGGGAGGGCTGAACCAATCCCGTGCCAATAACATGTTAAGTGGCAAACCTGGCCCATAACACCTGGGGTGGGTCAGTGGCCTTGGGAGCCCCAGTGGGGCTCCAGATGTCACCAGTTTCAGTTTCGTGTCCCTAGGTACCTGGTATTTCTCATAGGTCATCACACCCACCACGTAAATGTATGCCCCCAGGCTCCGAGCCTTTGCAGCCTAGGAGAAAGAAGGCCAAGAGGAGAAATCGCCAAAAGACAATAGAAGGAGCCAAGTGCAGGTGATGGGGACTGCGCTCACCTGCACCTTAGCCTCCTCAAATGAAGCTTGTGGGATCGGTCCACTGACCAGCGCGATGATCACACTTAAAACCTTTGCTGCAGAGAAACAAGGAGCAGGCCGCTGGGCCCAGTGCCAGCCCCAGGACTGCCCAAGGCTGCCAGGGTCACAGCACCCGACATACAGCCTGGGTGGGGCTCCCACACCTCGTCCTCCTGGCCGCGCCGCCAAGACCCCACCCCCCACGCAGAGCCCCAGCGTGAGAAGGGACCCAGGACCCCACCCCCAACGCAGAGCCCCAGCATGAGAAGGGGACCCGAGACCCCACCCACCATGCACAGCCCCCACCGTGAGAAGGGGCCCGGCCCGGCCCCTTCTGCAGAGGGGCTCCCTGAGGCACAGCAGGCCCTTCCCCCCAGGCGGCCTGAACCCCACTGTGCACCCACACACACAGCTGTAGGAGCTGGGTCCCAAGGGCAGCTCCCCCCACTCCCAGACAAGCACCAGCAGGTCATGGAGACAGTGTGGGGCAGCCAGACCCTCTCAAGGCCCAGGGCAGGCCTGGCTCCTGCTCGAGGTGCAGCCTGGGGGCTCCTGCAGGCATCCCTGGGCCCAGCGGTTCAAGACCCTGGTCAGAGGCGCTTGGGCAGTGGACTCCGGGCTCCATCTGTCCATTCTGCCCCCTGCCCAGCCCCTTCTCCTTCTTGGCACCAGCAGGGACCCACAGGGGGACAGGGAGGCAGCTCTGGCTGTGCACAGCCTTCCAGCCTGCCAGAGACCCGGGCCCAGGACGCAGGGGCACTGAGGAGGACAAGGCAGGGAGGAGGAGGAGGAGGAAGGCGTGGGCGCCAGGGGGCCGGGCTGTGTTTTCCACAAGGGGTCCTCAGGCTGCTCAAGGCCCCCAGAGCTGTTCTGCTTTCCTCCCAGTGGGTCCCCGGGCAGGGCAGGTGCCTCATGCTGACTCAGACCAACGGGTGCCCACGCTGGGTCCTGGTGCTTCCCACCCCCCCAGGGCGATGCTGGGATTCATGGCTACTGTGGTCCCTGCACAGTGTGGAGCCTGAGGCTCAGGGGGGATGAGTGAGTGGCTCCATATGCCAGAGACAAGAAAGTCCCCCAGGTGGGATGTGCACCCAGACCAGGAGGCCCCGGTCCTGCTCTGTTCCCAGCACCTGACCTGGAGGAAGTGGCAAGGAAGCTTACCAGCGGAATTGGCTCGTTCCATCTGCTCAATAGCCTGTGAGGAAGTGATCACACATGGAGGGGGACAGTGAGAGGCCCCAGGAGCACTCAGACCTGTCCCTGAAGGTTCTAGCACACTGATCCTGTACCTGTTTCAGTCCCTCCTGCAAGTTTGACTCTGTACCCGAAACTGAGTAACCTTTCATTTCATTCATAATTCGAGCGAAGTTTCCTCTGAAAATAAGCAGAACAGGGGAAACAGGTGAGGAAGATTGAAGGTGACAAGATCCCAGTTTCCTGGCCGGATGGGAGAGGGAGCAGGCCCAGGAGCTCCACCTGACGCAATTGCTGGCTGTCTGCGGCCTCCCTGGCCCATCTCAATGTATCCTCAGCAGGACACTCCAGGCTTGGGAACTCACCAAAGGCCCTGCTTGGACTGCCCTTGGGGATGGTCCTGACACCCAGTGGAGCTGCCACTGCACCACTGACCCCTGCATAAAAGGCATTCCAAATCCTCACCCCATGCTGACCCTAACCCTAGCCATGAAGGTGCAGCTGAGGCAGCCGCTCTCACAGGGCCTCTGTCCTTCACCCTCATGCTGACCCTAGCTTAGGGGCTCCGTCCTGGGGGCTCTCTGCCGCCACAGGTCAGGCACAGCTGAGGGCTTCCTGCCACACCCCCAACTGCCCCCACCCCACAGAACCCTGACTCTGACTCCATTCCAACCCCGCATTGCCAGGTAAAGGAAGTCACAAATGTCTGCGTGAGGGAGCCAGGTCTCCGGACCCCCTGTGCTGAAACAGGGAGACCCACGTCAGGAGCCTGGTCCGAAGGCCGAGCACCAGGGAGCCTAGCGCCGCTCTGCTGGGGGTGAGCGGCCTGGCTGGGGCTGAGAAAGCAGGCCGGGGGCAGGGCGAGCAGCCTGACTGGACTGGCAGGAATGGGACAGGCAGGGGTCCCTAGGATCAGGCTCGTCCAAGGTGACAGCTGAGCAGGCACAGCCAAGCCAACAGAGGCCTGAGGGGGGCTTTGCGCCGTGGGCAGAGACCGCGGCAGGGCTGAGTCCTGTGCACAGGCCCCGGAGCCTCCCCCTCCTCCCCTGGGAGCTATGGGAGCTGTGGGTGTTGAGGGCAGGGCGGGGGTGGGGGGGCTGCGGCTGCAGGCCCCAGGGTGTCCTGGGGGACAACGACCAGGACGTGGGCCGTGGTTTGGGAGTGGAAATTAGAGGGGCCCCCGTCTAGGCCACCCTCTGTGTGCATGGGGACCCCACCCATGCCTTGGGGACCCCAGGCCTGCCTGGGAGTGCGAAGCGGCACTCACCTGTTCCCGGTGAGCGGCATCCTGACATGGGATGTTGTGGAGTAGGTGATGTAGGACATGCGCAGGGCAGGGCTGGGGGGAAGCAGCGAGCTGAGGGGCGGCGCCCCCTGGCGCCCACGCCTTCCTCCTCCTCCTCCCTGCCTCGTCCTCCTCAGTGCCCCTGCGTCCTGGGCCGTGGACTCTGGCAGGCTGGAAGGCTGTGCACAGCCAGAGCTGCCTCCCTCTCCCCTGCGCGGAGGCCGGGGCCTGCCTGCAGGGGCGGCCGTTTCCCTGCGTCCCCGGGCGGGTCTGCTCCGCGGTGCCTGGCAGCATCTGGACTTTGGGTGAATTACTGGAGGATTCTGAGGCCTACGAGATGGGGCCCATGGAGGACAGTGCGCCCTGAATGCATCCTCCCCTGTCCCTGTGTCAACGATGCCCCCAAGACACCCACAGCAGCACACAGCACACACGCCTTCTACAGACCACACACATACGTATACACACACACACCTACTACAGACCACACAAACATGTATACACACACCTACTACATACCACACAAACATGTATACACACACACACCTACTACAGACCACACACACATGTATACACACACACACGCTTTCTACAGACCATGCACACACGTATACACACACCTACTACAGACCACACACACGTATACACACACACGCTTTCTACAGACCACGCACACATGTATACACACACCTACTACAGACCACACACACATGTATGCACACACACACCTACTACATACCACACACACATGTATACACACACACACCTACTACAGACCACACACACACATATACACACACACCTACTACAGACCACACACACTCATTCCACATACACACACATACCCCCCCACACCTACTAAATACCACACACACACGTATACACACACACCTTGCACACCACACACACCTACTACAGACCACACACACACGTCTACACGCCCTGCACACCACACACACTCATTCCACATACCACACATACACATACCCCACACACACCTACTACAGACCACACACACACGTCTACACACACATACACACACCATACACTCATTACACATACCAACATACATATACCACATACACATGACATAGCACACACACACCGCACACACACACATATACACACACACCCTCCACGCCACACACACTCATTCCACATACCACACATACACATACTCCACACACACCTACTACAGACCACACACAAGTATACACACACGTACTACAGACCACACACACAAGTATACACACACACACCTACTACAGACCACACACACGTATACACACACACCCTGCACACCACACACTCATTCCACATACCACACATACACATACTCCACACACACCTACTACAGACCACACAGACATACACACACACACACACTGTACACCATACACACTCATTCCACATACCACATATACACATACCCCCCACACACATATCACATACCACACACATACTACACACACACCCCCCGCACACCACACACACTCATTCCACATACCACACATACACATACCCCACACATACCTACTACATACCACAAACACATATACACACACACACCATACACACTCATTCCACATACCACATATAGACACACCCCCCCACACACATCACATACCACACATACATACTACACACACACACCCCACACACCATACACACTCATTACACATACTACACATACACATACCCCACACACACAGCACATACCACACACACATAGTACACACATACACAATACACACGTAATACAGATGTGCTACACACAGACCCACACCACCTGTCCCATCCCCTTCTCCAGGAGCCCTTGCTTTCCCCAACCCCTCACTGGCGATGACCCTCAGCTCCCTTTCCCGGGTGTGCAGTCCCTGAGCTCCTGACCTGCCCCTCACAAAGACCCCTTGACCATGATGTTGCAGAGCACCCCTATAACTGGTTTTGCTTCCGGGGGGAGACCCCCAGGAGCCAGTGCTCTGCCCTCCTTTCCTGCCTCAGTCACCTGGGCTCTGGATCCCCCTACCCAGAAACTCCCACACCCACACATCTAAATGCAGCGCCCTCTGCTGGCCGGAGGGGTGCTCCGTGCTGTCCAGGGGGACCTACTGCAGGTACTTCTCCATCATGTCTTCCCAAGCCGAGTGCACGCCAGACCATTCATCCAGGGTGTTGGATCTGAAAGCAAAGGAGACTTGCATGGGAAAGGGGTGTGTGGTGTGTCTGTCCAGGGCAGAGTCCCTGCCTTGCCCAGCCAGGCATCAGCCTTCTAACCAGCACAGCACAGCTGACCCCAGGGGTCAACCCGGGAGGGGATCTGCAGCGGGGTGAACTGTGGTAAGAGGGGGACCCAGCAGAGCTGAATGTCTGGGCCCGAGAGACTCCGGGGACAGGGATGCCTTGTGTCCACCCAGCAGGGCTGACCCTGCAGGGAGGTGCTGTGTGCAGGTGACATGGGGGAGGGCGTACAGGCTGCAAAGGCCCCAAGGGATGCTGACCTTGGCTCTTCTGGCCTCCCCGTGCCCTCAGGCTCACCCCTGCCCAGCTCCCTGTGATCCCTGGGTGACTCTGGCAGTCCTGGGCATCAGACATGTCCCTTAACTGGGGGATCCTTCTGTGCGCCTGACCCACACCCCTTCCTCACCACACCCCAACTCCACTCCCTGCCCCCATTCCACAGCCCTGCAGAGCCACGTGGAGACAGCCCCCGGGAGCCTGGGTCTCGGTGTGGCAGAAAGGGACCCTGGCTGCCTCCTCTGCCAGCCTTGGCACCAGCCTGCCCAGCTGGCCCCGCTGACCCGGAAAGCCTCTGCCAACAGGACTGCCGGATCCCAGAGCACAGTGCAAATTTTGAGACCCAGGTTCTCTGTTTCCAACCAAACTCTGCCAATGCACCCAGGAAGCATGATTACAGTTCCTGCCACCTCTCTGGGAGACCCAGATGGAGATCCTGGCTCCTGGTCTCAGCCTGGCCCAGTCCTAGACACTCTGGTCATTTGGGGAGTGAACCAGCGGATGGAAGTTCTCTGTCTCTCAAATAAATATATAAATCTTTAAAAATTATAAACGTGTGTCATTGGGCAAAGAACATGTAAAGATGTGTGACACTGACAACATACATGACACTCAGTGCTGTCCAGTGGTAGAGGTTTTGTGTGCAAGTTGAAATTAAGTTGGTAGTGATTCAAGTGGATTGGCATAACTTTACATACATGTAATCCCCACAGAGTCATAAAGAAACTATCTATAATAGAATACACCCAGAAGGAAATGCTAGGGGAATCAAAATGCATCATCACACACACAAAAAATCAACCGAACACAAAAGAATAGACATGGAGTGGTAGAAAAAAGCACACACAGGAAAAAACGGCAAAATGGAAAAAGCCAGTCCTTTCATAAAAGTGACCATTTAATTGTAAATGGATCAAACGGTCTAACACACACACACACACACAGATCGGCAGACTGGATTTAAAACTAAAGGGGAAAGAAACCTACGATCTGACTAAATGCTGTGTACCAGACACTCATTTCAGATCTAAAGGCACAACTAGGTTTGATGCAGAAGGATGGGAAAGATGCTGTGTGCAAACAATGCACAAAGGGGCCTGGGGGGACGGCACTGACGTGAGACCAGATGGAAATGCCACAGAGAAACTGATACAAACACAGAAGGACGTTAGGTACTGTTGGGAGGGTCGATGTGCAAGGAAGATCAAACGATTACAAGCAAATATGAGCCAAAATTCATGAAACACACATGAACAGAATTGTTCTGATCATTGCAGGTCAGTTGAGGGACAACTTCAGTAAAGAAGTGACAGGAGCTCTGAGCAGCACAGACTCCAAAAGCCACAAGAGAGAGAGGAGGGGCCTGCGCTGTGGTGTAGTAGGCAGTGCTGGCATCCCATACGGGTGCCGGTTTGAGTCCTGGCTGCTCCACTTTCTATCCAGCTCTCTGCTATAGCCTGGGAGAGCAGTAGAAGATGGCCCAAGTCCTTGGGCCCCTGCACCCACGTGGGAGACCTGGAAGAAGCTCCTGGCTTCGGATGGGTGCAGGTCCGGCTATTGCTGCCATTTGGGGAGTGAACCGCAGATGGAAGACCTTTCTCTCTGTCTCTACTTCTGTCAGACTGTAACTCCTACCTCTCAAATAAATAAAGTCGAGAGAGAGAGAGAGAGAGAGAGAGAGAGAGAGACAAAGCACGCTGCAGCTACTACTCCAGCTCCCAGCCAGAGCAATGCCATCTTGCTGAGCAAATCGAAGAGGAAAGTTCTGGAACCCCTACCGTGGCTGCAGGCCACAGCCCTGACTTCAGGATAGACCACAGACTCACTGGCTTCAGATCCACTCTGGAAAGCTGACTGGGGGCTGGGCAATGACTTCTGCTTTGTCTTCCTCACCCCTGGAGAGAGGGAGGGGCTGAAGGAGTTGGGCCTGGAAGCTCAGGGTAGCTGTTCTGTCCCATCCTGCAGATGGCGCCGGGTAAAAAGGCTGCTCCCTCTTCCTGGCTCCTTGCCTGCATTATAGTTGCTTCATGGCTTTCCTGTGTGGCCTGAGTCCCAGGCACCTTCCCTGTCATCCTCTTTTTTTTTTTTTTTTTTTAATTTTTTTTTTTTAATTTTTTTTTTTTTTTTTTTTTTGACAGGCAGAGTGGACAGTGAGAGAGAGAAACAGAGAGAAAGGTCTTCCTTTGCCGTTGGTTCACCCTCCAATGGCCGCCGCGGCCGGCGCGCTGCGGCCGGCGCACCGCGCTGATCTGATGGCAGGAGCCAGGAGCCAGGTGCTTTTCCTGGTCTCCCATGGGGTGCAGGGCCCAAGCACCTGGGCCATCCTCCACTGCACTCCCTGGCCACAGCAGAGAGCTGGCCTGGAAGAGGGGCAACCAGGACAGAATCCGGCGCCCCGACCGGGACTAGAACCCCGTGTGCCGGCGCCGCTAGGCGGAGGATTAGCCTAGTGAGCCACGGTGCCGGTCCCTGTCATCCTCTTGTCCCTTCCAGCAATTCCTGTGTCCATAAATGCATCGTGCTTGTATGTGGTGACACCTAGGTACCCAAGGTAAACTCTGCCCCTCTGTCTCCATATATCATCACCTTTATTCCCATTCTACAGATGAGAAAGCTGAGGCTTGATGGTGAATAGGCTTGTCACAATTTTCCCAACTAGCCTGGTTCCGAACATGGATCCAGCTGCCCATAACATGACTCCCCATTGTGCCTGGCACTTCCAGGTGGCACTGGGGTGCCTGCGAATTGCTAAGGAGCAAACCTCCAGATTGAAAACCCCTTCCCATCCTGGACTTTGCCCTGGCCGGCCCCCTGCTGTGTTATTACGTGGTGCCCCTTTTCCCCACGATCCCTTCCCTTCTCAGCACTCTGGTCATGTCCTTTCCTGGAGTGCAAGGGGAGGTTTATGGGGGACAAAGATCTTTGATGGACTCCAACTCTGTTGTGCTTCCAGTTTGAGATGCTTTTCAAGGAAGCTCTGGATTCCGGAACACGGAAGAAAGCCAGCACTCAGGTGCCAAGGTGAGGGTCCCAGGAGGGAGAAAGCAGGGAACAGAGCCAGCCATATACTTCCTCCCTCAGCACACACGTGCCCACCATGGGACGGGTGGGCCTCTGACTTCCTGTATGACAATACCTAACAGTAACATTCTTAACGATGAAAATCACAAGAAGTCCAAAGGAACAGAAAACCACGGAGCATTCAGTGGAACTAAAGAACTGGACAGAAGCCCCCTCAGAGGCACACTGGCCCAGGCGTAGAACAGCCATTGCGGGTGTGCTCGTGGATTTGAGTGAAAACGAGGACAAGGCAGTCAGTGAAGTCAGGGAAGCTATATAGAAACAATGGGAGGCTGCCGACGCACGCAGACCACGGAATTCCTATCGCCACGGAATCAAGTGGGAAAAAAAAGCACATCAAACAGCTGAGGGCCAGTAAAAGCCCTGCTCAGCAAGATAGTTATAGCTGCAAGCAAACATTTAAATGAAAGGTTATAATCTTATGAATAGTGGTCAGTGCTTGTGGCACAGCAGCTAAAGCTGCCGCCCGCGGTGCCGGCATCCCATATGGGCACCAGTTCGAGTCCCGGCTGCTCCACTTCTGATCCAGCTCTCTGCTGTAGCTTGGGAAAGCAGTAGAAGATGGTCCAAGTCCTTTGGCCCCTGCACCCGCGTGGAAGACCCAGAAGAAGCTCCTGGCTCCTGGCTTCAGATTGGCATAGCTCCGGCTGTTGCGGCCAACTGGGGAGTGAACCAGTGGATGGAAGACCTCTCTCTCTCTCTGCCTCTCCTTCTCTCTAACTCTGACTTTCAAATAAATAAATCTTTTTTAAAATTATTGTAATTTCTTTGTATTAACAAGGAACATTGCGAAAATGAAATTTAAAAACCTGTTTTATTTATAATGGCGTCAACTGAAAAAATACTTGGGAACAAATTTAACCCAAGAGACAAAAAAACATGTACTAAAAACTATACAACACTGCTAGAAGAGTGTAAAGGTACACAAATTAAAACACATCATGTACTTAAGGACCAGAAGACTCAATCTTGTTAAAATGACAGTACTAGCCAAAACCATACACAGCTTCAATTTTAGACTATTTAAAAATTGAAGGGGCATTTTTGGGTAGAAATAGAAAACTCCATCTTAAAAGCCATGTGAAATCTCAAGGGACCCAAATACGACACCCCAAATAATCTTAAATAAAAGGGACATAGTTGGAAGACTCACATTTCCTGTTTTCAAAATATATTACAAAGCTACAGTGACCAAAACTCTGTGGTACTGTCATAAAAATAGACAGCAATAAAGAGATGAAGAGGCCAGAGTCGTCCAAATGTTCCCAGGAAGGGCATATTCTCAAACAAGTATGCATGTATTTCAAAGCTTTCTTGCAGCAAAATTGCCTTGCAGTGACTTGACACATGGGGGTGGGAGCTGGATTAAGGCACTCAGAGGCGTTAGACCTCAACGCAAGGAGAGCCCCCGTCAGAGCAACACGGATTGTGCCAGAACTGAAGGCGAACAAGCATCAAATGGATGGTGAGGCTTGGGTGGGATAGTGACTCACTGATGTCTCCTGAGCAATTCTGGAGACAACTTTCCTCCAGAAATCAACAGCCACGCCCATCTGAAGAAGGGGTGGGATACACGGACGATGGAGCCAGAGTGGCAAGTCCCCGTCGGTATTGTGGACAATGAACCTCGCCCATGCCCTCACGAGGAAGACAGGATCACCAGCAGAAACAATGGCCAGCACCTCAGACGCCCTAGCAGATCATTGTGGAGATTTGCAGCCCTGCACTGCCTGCATGATGGGTGCCAGGAGTTCTGTGTCCAGATCAGTTCTCAAGAGCAGAGCTTTCAGTGGAGTGGGATCAAGATCCCGATGCCTTGCTTCAAGAACTGAAAGACGAGATGCCCCATCTTTTCTTTGTCTGCACTGAGTGCTGGCAGATCACAGGGCTTCTGGGACAGGAGAGCTCAGAGCTTACCAGGCACTGACCCTTGTGCATCGGCTGGATACCCCTGCGCTGCCTACCTGGCTCTAACACCGTGGGTAGCTCCCTGGAGCAGGGATTGGCACATCTCACGTGCTCAATTTGCGTCTTTGCCATCACTCACCTGAGCCCTTAACCCTTCCCATCCACCCCAGGGCTGGGCTGGGTCCCTGTGGGCCTCACTCAGGAGTCCTAGCACAGTGACAGTGGGAGGGGTTACCAGGTGGCAGCTGAGAAGACCCTCTCTGGAAGGGCTGGTCCAGCAAGGCTGTCAGTGCCCACAATGCCCATGCATCCTCCATCCCGGGTGCCCCTTGGCAGCCACCATCCCCCTGGCTGTGTTAAAGAGCAAGACCTGGGGAGAGGCTTCTCCTCCAGTGGGCAGGGGCTCCCATCACTGCTGGCTTTGGCTTTGCTTAAGTGCTGCTGGGCTGGGCCCACATCCCCCAGTCCTCCGTATCCGTGGAGAAAGAGGACGCCCAGAGGGACTCCGGCATGGACAGTAGCCTGAGCCTGGTCCCTAGTACAGCCTCAGCGCACGGCACCCAACCCCAGGAGCTCACAGATGGAAAAGCACCTTCTCTCCCCCACACTCCGGGAGGGGCCTGAGGGCACCAGGTGTGGGGTAGAAGGACTCTGGGGACCGGGAAATGCAGCCGCGATGCTCTGGCAGTGCTACCCCTGTCACAGCTTCCTCCCAGCCCACGAGGAGCTGAGGGTGGCAGCAAGGCATGCCCCCCAAGCCTGAGACCGCCCCTTTGCCTTCTAGCCTTCTCTCCTTCTCTGAGAGCCAGAAGGTGCCTCATGCCCTGCCGGGCTGCCCCAGAGCCACACCAAGACACCACAGCATTCCTGAAACAGCAGGGATCCTCATGCGTTCCCCAGGACTTAGGACACAGCAGCAGGCACCAGGAAGCACCAAGCCAGGGGCTGTGATGACGCTGTTCACGCCCAGCAGAGGAAGTGCAACTATCTCATCGGGTATGTGGGCAAAATCCCAGTGAGCTCCAGAGGGAAGCTCCCAGCAGCCACTTCTTAAGGGAAGTGGGGTCCCAAGATCCAAGCCCCATGGGTGCTGGGCAGGGTGCCTTTCAGAACCCCTGGGGAGGATTTTTCTTCCTCCTTCCAGGAATCAAGAGTGCCACAAAGACTCGGTTTTCCTCGCGCGAAGACAGTGGTTCCACATCTCTCCTGACGGTAGCTGGCATCCCTCCTCCCCTCCTCCAGGCCATGTCCAGCCTGTAGTGACCTGGGGGATGTGAGCTTCAGGGGGCTTCTGGAGCCATGGCAGGCAGGGCCACTCACATGTCAAAGACGAAGTACAGGTCAAAGGTGCCTTCGCAGTACTCCATGATATGCTCTCCTTCATCTGAAATTCCCGACCTTGCTAGCACATCCTGGTAATTGTAGCCATGTATAATAGCACCCTGGCCATTACCACCATCCTGGTAATCACTGACACTTACAAAGTCCCGGTGATGGTCATCACTGTGGTTACCATGGATGCTTACGAAGTCCTGGTCACGGTCATCATCCTCGTAATTGCTGACACTTACAAAGTCGTGGACATGGTTATCATCATGGTAATTGCTGACACTTACAGAGTCCTGGACATGGTCATCATCCTGGTTACCATAGATGCTTACGGAGTCCTGGACATGGTCATCATCCTGGTTACCATAGATTCTTACGGAGTCCTGGACATGGTCATCATCCTGGTTACCATAGATGCTTACGGAGTCCTGGACATGGTCAGCATCATGGTAATCACTGTCACTTACAGAGTCCTGGCCATGGTAACTGTCCTGGTTATAGTGGACATTTTCAGGGCCACGGTCATGGTAACCATTGTGGTTATCATGGAAACTTGCAGGGTCCCAGTCCTGATCATCATCCTGGTAATCACGGACACTTACAGAGTCCTGGCCACGGTAACTGTCCTGGTTATAGTGGACATTTTCAGGGTCCTGGTCATGGTAACCATTGTGGTTATCATGGAAACTTGCAGGGTCCCGGTCCTGATCATCATCCTGGTAATCACTGACACTTACAGAATCCTGGTCACGGTCATTGTTGTGGTTATCTTGGACACTTGCAAGGCCCTGGTTATGGTCATCATTGTGGTTACCATAGATGCTTACAGAGTCTTGGTCACGGTCATCATCATGGTAATTACTGACACTTACAGAGTCCTGGTCCCGGTCATCGTCCTGGTCATAGTGGACACTTATAGAGTGCTGGTTGTGGGGCTGTAAGAATCTCCAGTGAGGGCCGAGGTCCAGGAAGCTCTGAGCTCTGAACTGTGGCAGACAGAGCAGCAGCAACAGCAGCAGGAAGAAGAGTGAGGAGCTGGGCACATGGGCACTGTGGCTCCCCATTTTCTTGGCCATCCCAATGATCCCACGTGCTCTTTGGTTGCCACTTCAGGGCCCAGGTGGTCTAAAGTGCTGGTCTTTTTCTTAGCTAACTCCACCTGTGCCCAGGGACTTGGGCCCTCCTACCCTGTCGCCAATGTGCCCTACGACCAGCACCAGGTATGTGCTCAGAGTGCGGGGACTTGGGCGAGCAGCTGGCTCTGCGGTGAGCTTCTGACAGCTACCTGCACAAGTCCTTCCCCCACCTTAGGGGCAGAGCTCCCTGGTGTGGAGATTGATGCAAAGGTTGACATGGTGACTTTGTGACCTATAGCTCTGCTCAGTGCCCTGCATATTGACTAGCCAGTGGGAGTCACAGGATCCTCTGTCACCAGGAACTGAACCTCTTCCACTCCACTGGGGTTTTCCCTGTGTCAAGACTCCAATTTCCTCTTTCTTTGCCCAGCCCTTCCTCACATATCTTCAACAAGGTTTTCACACCCTCTTCTATTCCACAGGACTCCTTGGAAAAGTATTTGAGCAGATTGTGTTTGAAGAACTGAAAACTCTGACCTTTAACTGTGAAGTTAAGGGCTTTTGCATCGTGAGTACCATGGACCTGCACCACGGACAGGGGGTGTAAAATTGGGGGCTATTCTGGGAATGTAGCCCCACCCCTACATTCCACCACTCCATCCCCACCAATACAGCACCCCTGCCAGGCCTCTTCCAGCCAGTGGTGAGTGCTGCAGGGAAATTAAGGCAGGCCCCTGACAGCCCATGCATTCCCCATCAGCAGGTGAAACTCCTTGGAACTGCTCTACACTCTAAGGTCTTCTTCCTTCATTTTCCTTCCTCCATTCTCTTCCAAAAATCTCTCCAGATTGGTGATGGTCGCTAGTTTCCACAAAGTGGTCTCCCCTAATCTGTGGCTTACATGTTTCCATTTCAGTTACTTCTGGTCAACTGCAATTAATCTTAAAAATATTACATGGAATGTTCTAGAAATAAGCAATTCGTAAGTTAGCAACGTGTGTCCTTCTGAGTAGTGGTGATGAAATCTTGCACCCTCCTGCTCCTTCTCTCCTGGGATGTAATTCTCCCTTTGTCCAGTACAGCCATATCACACTAGGAGACTGGAAAAACAGTCAAGGAAAACAGAATTCAAAGATAAGTTTCTTTGGGTGCAAAAATGTTTGAAATCCATGCACATGAGGTAAAAATGTTCATGGGATATGCCTATTCTTTGCATGGATTTCAAAACATTTTGGTGCCAAAGTAAAGATCTTTTACTAGAGCTCTGTAGTATCTCTTAAAATCAGGTATAGGATGGCATCAGATTTCTTCCTTTGATTCAAGGTTGTTTCAGCTCTTCAAGGTCTTTTGTCTTCTAACAGGATTTTTTTTTTCTAGTTTTGGGAAGAAATGTCATTGACTTGTTGTTGGGAAACCATTGATTCTGTGAATTTCTTAGGGAAGTATAGACATTTTAAAAACATTAGGTCTTCCATGTTTATGTGTCTTCTTCAGTTTTGTCAATATTTAATAATTTCCATTGTCAAGGCCTTTCAGTCCTTAGATTAAATTTATGCATATGTATTTTATTATTTGTAGCTATTATGTGCACAGTGACTCCTATTGTTGATTAAACAATTAACACTCTTATTTATGACATCAGTGATCCTCCAAGGCTCTTAACATGAGCTGCCAAGGCTATGGAAGCCTTTTGAGTCCACAAACTCCATTAGTATCAGACAGGGCCATAAGCAGAATGGAAGTTCTCTCCTCCCTTCAGAGAAAGGTACATCCTTCTTTGGTGGCCCCTTCTTTCCACTGGGGTCTCACTCACAGAGCTCCTTCATGTAGAATATTTTTTGCCAGTCTTGGCTTTCCATGCCTGCAATTCTCTCATGGGCTTTTCAGCCAGATTAGAATGTCTTAAGCGCTAATTCTGAGGTCAGAGTGCTATTTAGGGCATTTGTCATTCTATGAGCCTGCTGTGTGGACTGCTTCCCATGTTGGAACATTCTCTTCTTTTCATTCTATCTATTGTTATTACCAGACACTTGGTCTTATTTATGTGATCCCTTTGACACTTAATCCTAACTATATGATCAATTGCACACTTAATATGATCACTTTAACATGTAAGATGGCATTAATACCACCCAGCTTAATGGGATTTCTAATCATGTTTATTTTCTACAATTGGGTGTTTTAGCATTGAGTCACATATATTTCAATCATTCTGCCTTTGAATCGATCCTTTGATCATACATGGTGAGGGTCTTTAGATTCACTTTACAGCTTTTGTCTCAGAGTTTTGTTTTGTTTTTATTTTCTGTCTATATAAGTGTATCCACTCCTGCACACTGTTGGTCTCCATTCTCATGGAGTACCTTTTCAAATAGTTCACTCTCAGTCACTGTGTCTTTTCTGGCGAGGTGAGTTCCTTGTAGGCAGCCTATCTTTGGGTCTTCATTGTAATCTGGTTACCCATTTATCTTTTAACTTGGAATTTAGTCTCTTTACATTCAGGCTGTTACTGAAGCAGTCTTAATGCTAAAATCTTTGTGGCTTACTGGATTGATAAGGGTGGATTCTTTTCCTGTTTCTCTATCTGCTCGTCTAGTGGGCTTTGTACTCCACACCTTCCTGAGATGGCAGCGACCTTTGGCTTCTGGATACGCAGTTCCCTCACCCCAACTATCTGGGACAGTGTTTCTCCTGCATTTCGGAAGCATAGCTTTGCTGGGGATCATATGCTTGGTTGGCCAGGTTTTTTCCATTCAGAACTCAGACTCTGGAATTCCATTTCCTCCTGGCCTATATGGTTGCTGCTGAGAAATCTGCTATTAGTCTGATGGGTTTCCCTTCAAGGTGTCTGGGTTCTTTTCTCCTAAAACTAGTTTTCTCTCTTCATGCTATACTTTCAACCATTTCCCTTTAGTATGACATGATGAGGGACCTCCTTGACCTAGGTGCCCACATCTTCCCCAGGATTGGGGGAGATTTCAGATACTATTTCTCTTTATAAGTGTTCTATGCCTTTCCACTCCTCTTAGCCTTCAGGGACCCCCAACATTCAATTATTTGCTCATTAAATAGTGACCCTAATACCCTAATGTGTTGTCACAAACCATCTTAATTTTTTGTTGTTTATGTGTGCTTTTTTTTTTTTTTTTTTTTTTGCAAGGGGGAAGGCTGACTGGAATATTCTACAGTATCCTTCTTCAACTTCGAATATTCTTTTTTTTTTTTAAGATTTATGCACCTGAAAGTCAGAGTTACAGAAAGAGAGAGGGAGAAACAGAGAGAGAGAAAATCTACTACCTGCTGGTTCATTCCCCAGATGGCTGCAGCAGTCAGTGCTGGGCCAGACTGGAGACAGGAGGCTGGAGCTTCATTTGGGTCTTCCACATTGGTGCAGTGGCCCAAGCACTCGGACAATCCTCTACTGCTCTCTCAAGCCATTAGCAGGAAGCTGGCTAGGTAGAGGTGCAACCGGGACTTGAACCAGTACCCAAATGGGATTCTGGCATTTCAGGCAATGGCTTTACCTGCTAAGCCACAATGCTGGCACCCACATATTCTTTCTTCTACTTAATCTATATATGTCTTCCAACAGTATTTTTAAATTCTGGTTTATTTATTTGAAGGCAGAGAGACAGAGAAAGGGAAAGCTCCCATCCACACTGCCCCGGGTGCGGCCCCAGAGGAGAGGAGGCTGAAAGGGGTGCGGACAGGGACGCCCGCCCCTGCACTGCCTGCTGGCTCTCCTGCCTCCGCCCACGGGCCTGACCCCTAGTGGCAAGCACAGACGACCTCACTGCGGCGCCTGCAGCTTTACAGAGGGCTGTGACACTGGGGACTCCATGCTCGGGGCACCCGAGCCAGCAGGAAAAGCAGGGCCATCTGTCTCCCCGCAGAAAGCAGCAGGCCGGGCAGGCACCGGGCAGAGGAAGCGCTGCTCTCCCCCTAGCGCTGGGAGGCACGGGCTCCTCGCTGCAGGCTCTGTTCTGGCCTCAGAGGCCGGTCCATGTCTCTGAGGCAGGAGCGGGGCGCAGCGCGTGTAGCCTTTAACAAGGGCACTCGAGGGTCCCAGTGACCCGGTTCCCTCGTCCTCCCCACCCCTGAACCGGAAGAGGAAGTGGCAGTTCAGGCGGCTCAGAGGACATCAGCCTGGAGGATCCCTGGCCCTGACCACCCGAACGGACCCCACCTGGTAAGGCCATGTGCGGAGAAGGTCCATGGGGTCAAGGACTCCTGGCCTGCGCGGCCCTGCAGCGGCTCCTGTCAGTCCCGCCAGAGCCCCCGAAGCGGTGAGGGTGGGTGCGTGCCGGGCTCCCAGCGTCCGCCCGGACGCCAGCCCCGGGCCAGGGGGCGCCTGCAGCCCACTCCCCACGGGGGTTGTTCTCGGCCCGCACCTTTGACCCGGGTGAAGGAGGCTCCCAGACAGCCAGGTCCCTCAGGCCTGGACTACTCTGGGCTCGGAGGCGGGGCCTCCTGACCTGCGACCCCTGGGGAGGCGGGCTTGGCGACAGACTCGGGGTGGGCGGAGCCCGGGCGCTGGCTGCCCTCCGGAGCTGGCCCCTGCCTGCCTGCCCAGCAGAGCGTGAGGCCACGAGGACCCCCACCCCGCCCAGGACCGGCAGGTGTCCAGTCCCCACCGCCCTTGCTGGGAGGGAAGCTGCCTCAGCACCTGTCACTGTTCAGCTGCATTAAATTAAGAACTTTCCTGGTGTGGCCACCTGTGAGGATGTAGCAGCACTTGGAGTCCTGGATACTGTGCTCCCGGGCCCCTCCCTGAGGAATGCACCTGGGAGAACAGCCCAAGGTGGCCCCAGTGCTCCGCTCCTGTCACCCTCGTCCCAGACCCGGATGGACCTCCCGACTGCCGCCTAGCCTATGAGGCCATTTTGGGAGTGAACCAATAGGTAGGTCTCTCCGTCCCACCCCTTTCCATCTCGCTCTGCCTCCCTTCCTTTATTTTTAAAACGTACATTAAATTACTAGGCGCAGACAGAAAACCGTGACCAAGCGTCCTGAAGGAGGCGGAGCCGAGAGCCCTTGGCGCTGCTGGGAAGGAGGCTGGACCCCCTCAGTGGTGAACGCCTCTGATGGCAGACAGGCCGTGGTTTCAGACACTGCACAGCACGGAAAGCCAAGCACCAAACTCCCAGTGCCCGCGCCTGATGCTGGCCGAGCCGTGTCGTGTATTGCTGCGTATTCTGAGACGTCTATTTTAGATTTACTTGGATAATCTTGAGTATCTCACTCCTGTAAAAAAAAACTCGGGGACCCCGCCCACTCTCATGCCAGCCACTCCCCCTCCCAGCTACTAGCCAGCTGCCCTCTCATGGCCGGTGAAAGCCTGGCTCCCTCTCAGTGTTCTGAGAGCCACCCCAGAGGGGCTGGGGTGGGGACACTGGGCACCTGGTCTCCCACCCCCTCCAAAGACCCTACAGCTCCCACTTGCCATTGCCACGTGCAGGGCCCTGAGCAGAGCCGCAGGTCACAAAGTCACCATGTCAACCCCCCATCAGTCATAACCCCCCGGGAGTTCTGCCCGCTGGGTGGGGCAAGGGCCGTGCGGCAGCTGGCAGCAGGTGGCCCGGGAGCCAGCGGCTGCCCCTGTTCCTGTGCTCTGAGCAGGTGCCACGAGGAGAACGCAGAGCACATTGGTGCCAGGCAGGGGGGGCCGGGTCCCTGGGGAGCAGGTGGAGGTGGCTGAGACGGCCACAGGCAGCCAGGGCTCTCAGCACGCAGAGCAAGTGGGGTCCCAGGGACAGCCAAGAAAATGGGGGGCCATAGTCCCTGTGCACCTGGCTTCCCCCTCTTCTTCTTCTTGCTGCTGCTGCTGCTGCTTCCACCGCTTGTTAGAGCAGGGAGTCTCCCGTACCGTGGTCCTGGCTGGAAAGTCTTCCAGCGCCTGGGCATAGGGTCCAGACTCTTCCAGCATCGCCAGGGCCCCGGCGGGAAGCCACAGTGGCGCCAAGCAGAGGAGGAGTGCCACGGATCCTTCGACCTCTACATAATCCTGGACAAGTGAGTACCCCTTCCTGGCCTGTCCCCAGGCCCTCAATCATGGTGGCCGGAAAACAAAGAGACAGGACTTCTGCGAGGGGAGAAGCAAGACTGGGCTGTGTGTTTCCTGAGGCAGGAGGAATTCACTGGCGTCGCTTCCCTGGTCCTTGTGTTTTGGTGGGAAAACATTCTAGGTAGTTCTCTGCCCACCACCCATGGGGCTTGGATCTTGGGATCCCAGTTCCCTTAAAGAAGTGGCTGCCGGGAGCTGCCCTCTGGAGCTCACTGGGATTTTGCCCGCACATCCAGTGAGATAGTTGCACTTCCTCTACTGGGCGTGACAGTGTCACTGCTCACACAGTACTTCCCAGTCCCCAGAGTCCTTCTACCCCACACCAGGTGCCCTCTGGCCCCTCTCGGGGTGTGGGGAGAGAAGGTACTTTTCCATCTGTGAGCTCCTGGGGTTGGGTGCCATGCCCTAAGGCTGTGCTCCGGACCCGGCTCGGGCTACTGACCACACCAGAGTCCCTCTGGGCGTCCTCTTTCTCCACAGATACGGAGGACTGGGGGATGTGGGCCCAGCCCAGCAGCTCCTAAGCAAAGCCAGCAGTGATGGGAGCCCCTGCCCACTGGAGGAGAAGCCCCTCCCCAGGTCTTGCTCTTTAGCACAGCCAGGGGGATGGTGGCTGCCAAGGGGCACCCGGGATGGAGGATGCATGGGCATTGTGGGCACTGACAGCCTTGCTGGACCAGCCCTTCCAGAGAGGGTCCTCTCAGGTACCCTCCGCCCATTGCATAGGGCTCCTCTTTGAGGCCCAGCTCAGCCCTGTTTTGCATGGGAAAGGGTTCTAAGCACAGTTGGTGCAGTATACAACAGCATTCATTGAGCACTTGCTGTGTGCAGAGGCACTACTGTGCATTTTAGACCTCTCAGCAGAGAGTTCCAATCTCACCCTTCTGGTTGGTGAAATTGAAACTCTCCAAGGTCAGTCAAAGCTAACTTCCAGCCAAAAGTCCGAAAGTGGGAGGGTGGTCTCCTGTTCTTTCTCCCAAGGATAATGACGTCAGGGATTGGGAAAGGACCAAGAAATGTTTTCCTGAGCCAGAGGTCCCCACTCATCACCCCTAGCCCTGCAGGCATCCTTAGGCTTCCTCCATGCTGGGTGCCAGGCCTGGCTCCTGCAGCTGTGCATGGCTATGGGTGCAACATGAGGGAAGGGGCCTGGCTTTGGAGCTGGGAGGTCCCCTGTCCACCAGAGCAGGCTCTAAGCTTGAGGCTGCTGTACAGGGCACACCTCAGCCCTCAGGGCCAGCTTTGACATTTGCCATCCCTGCCCATCAGACAGGTGCCTGCTGGATACGGGTGGTAGGAGGAGGTGCTAAGGATACAGAGGGGAGCTCCCTCCCATCCCTGCTCCCCAGCCCAGGCTGTCAGAGGTGAGAGGCTGGAGTGGGCCACAGGGGGCCAAGGAAGTCTTGTGGGAAACCACAGCAGCATCCTCAGCCCCAGAGAGGTAGCCCACCCTTATCCCAGGGAGCTGCCTCCCCGCAACTGGCTATGTCTCAGGACTGGAGAGTGAGGCACCCCCTTCCGGGCAGTCTAGATGTGGATATGGAACGTGGCTGCTCTGTGGCTCCTGGGAAAAGAATGGCAGCTGGGTTTGGAGTCGGCCAGACTCCACTCACCAGCCACGTGGGCTGGGACAGGCGGCCTCACCCTTCTTTTCCCCAATGTCCCCATCGGACAGGTGGGTACCTTCAGACCCACCTTGCCAGGTGTGACAAAGACGAAGGGAGAGCTTGTGGCTCAGGTGCAATGAGTGTGATGCAAACTACCAGGTGAGGAGAAGCGTTGGCCGGCGCTCCCTGCACTGCAGGGACCCCTGATGCTGGCTCAGAGGCGACAGCTCTAGGCTCTCCTCACACACGCCTCTGCCCCGGTTGGGGTTCAATGCATTTAGGCTGGGGCTCAGGCCAGGCACCCCCAGGGTCCTCTGGGATCTTGCATGCATGGGAAAAGCTGGCCTTGGTCATTCATTCCACCATGATTCATTTCTTTGTTCAGGAAGGCTTTCTGGACAGCTCCTCAGTGTCAGTCACTGCCCAGCAGTGGGGGTGACACAGGGAAGAGCAGTAGATAAAGCTCCTGCCATGCTGGGACTTCCGGTTTAGGACAGAGGTGACCAGCCAATCACAGGAGGAAGCACTGTGTCCAGTGGGGAGGAATGAGCATCCTTGGGGACAATCCTAGCAGGGGTGGGTGGTGCTGAAACGGGGGTCTTCCAAAGAGGGAATCAGAGAAGGCGGCTCCCTGCACTACAAGGGGAGGGCCCAGCAGGTGTCTAGGAAATTCTGCATGTCTCTGTCATTTCTCAAGGGCAGCTTCACTGGCTGTAACATGCTTGGCTGGACGTTGTTTTCTTTCAGACCATGAGTATATTGTCTCTCTCTCCTCCAGCCTGCCGGGTTCCTGCTGGAAAGGCTGCCACGAACCTAATGGGGCCTCCTTCGTATGTAACTCGGCATTTTTCTCTCACTGTTTTTAGGATTCTGTGTCCTTTACTTTTTGACAGTTGGACTATCATGTGCCTTGGAGAGGGGCTTTTTGGTTGGGATCCTTTGTGTGTCCTTTATCTGAATGTGCATATCTCTCTCAGCACTTGGGGGGTTTTCAACCCTTATTTCATACTCGATACCTTGTTTTCTTCTCTTCTCCTTCAAGGATCTCTAGAATGATTGTTTCTTTACTTAATGGTGTCTCATATGTCTCCTAGGTTTCCTGCCATTCTTTTAAACTCTTTTCTCTTTATTGTTGTATGGCTGAGTTATTTCAAAATCTTGTCCTCAGTATTTGAAATTCTTCCTTCAAGTTGGTCTAGCCTGTTGAGATTATATTTAAATGGGATTCCAAAAGTGTGTATCTTCAGTGGCTGGAAAGCTGGGTGCGATCACACTAGGGTTTGTGATGGCTGTGCTCATGTTCCTAGCTCTGTGGGGCACAGAGGTGGCTGCTGCCTTGTCCCACTAGGCAAGCCTGAATGATGCTGGGGGCTTTTGACACCGATAACGGAGGCCTTGGGTCTGTGTGATTGGGGAAGAGAAGGGTGAGGCTGCCTACCCAAGCCCACGTGGCTGGTGAGTGGGTCTGTGTGATGATAGGACCTTCCCTAGATCCTGCTGGATGGGAGTTGATAATGCTGGGGCATATAGCACTAGAAACCCCAGTGCATACTTGGGGAGTGACGGGGATGTTTTTTGGTCCCATGGGGTAAATACAGGTTACGCTGGAGATTGTCTGCTGGCCTAAGGTGGTGGAATTCAGGTAGGATCTTCTCTAGGTCCTGCAGGGTTGGTTTCTGTGTCTTTAAGGATTGCAGTACCAGTAGTCACAGCCTTGGAGCTTCAGGACAGGAAGGGCACCTTGTCCAGATCCCGCAGGGAAAGTGTAGGTTGTGCTGAAAATTGCACAATTGTAACCAGGGGCCTGACGCAGTGGAACAAAGACAGAGCCTTCCCCACTTCCCACAGGACGTGCACAGTTGTTCCTAGGACTTAAAGAGCAACCAGTCACAGCCCCAGAGATGCAGTGGAGACCTTGCCCAGGTCTCCTGTTTCATGTGCAGGTCATGCTGGGCATTGTGCACTGGCAGGCATGGGTCTGTAGCAGCGGGGTGCAGATAGGATCCTCCCCAGGCCCATGGGGAGAACTCAGGGGCCTCTGGAATCTAGCTCCAGTGACCTCCGTCTCAGAACTGCAGGACTTGGAGAGGACCTGCCTCATGTCCCAACTATTGATCACAGATTCTTCTGGGGATTGTGCACTAGCCACTGCAGGCCTAGATCAGAGGGATGCTGGTAGGGTCCTCCATGGCCACGTGGAGAGCAAAGTCGCCAATCCAGAGCCGCAGGGCTTGGAGGCTACCCTACCCAGGTACCGGATAGTGATTGCACATTATATGAGTATTGTGCACTAGCAGGTGGAGGCCTTGAGCAGAGGAATACAGACAGGGCCTTGCTCCAGGCCCCAAGGAGACATAAAGAACCAGTAGTCACAGTCCCAGAACTCCAGGGTGCAGTGGGGTCTTTACCCAGACCTTACAGATCAAGGGCTGGTTATGCTGGAGCTTGTGGACTGGAAGCCCTCAACCTGAAGCAGAGAAATGCAGACAGGGGTGCTCCAGTTCCCACAGGTGAGTGCCCAGGGGATTGTAGAACCAACATGCACACATCTAGAGCTGCAGGACACAGAAGGGATTGCCCCAGCTCTCGTGGAGTATGCAAGGGTGATGCTGCGCGTTGTGCTTTGGCCACCCTGAGCCATGATGCAGAAGGGGACTTTCTCGAATCTGGTCCTCTAGGGTCGAACATAGCTGCCGCTGGCTGTGAGCTTTGAGCAAAGTCATTGCGCAGACCCCAGTCAGCTTTCCAGAGTGGATCTGAAGCCAGTGAGTCTGTGGTCTTCTGCAGTCAGGGCTGTGGCCTGCAGCCACGGTAGGGGTTCCAGAACTTTCCTCTTCGATTTGCTCAGCAAGATGGCATTGCTCTGGCTGGGAGCTGGAGTAGTAGCTGCAGCGTGCTTTGCCTCTCTCTCTCTCTCTCTCTCTCTCTCTCTCTCGACTTTATTTATTTGAGAGGTAGGAGTTACAGTCTGACAGAAGTAGAGACAGAGAGAAAGGTCTTCCATCTGCGGTTCACTCCCCAAATGGCCGCAACAGCCAGACCTGCACCCATCCGAAGCCAGGAGCTTCTTCCAGGTCTCCCATGTGGGTGCAGGGGCCCAAGGACTTGGGCCATCTTCTACTGCTCTCCCAGGCTATAGCAGAGAGCTGGATAGAAAGTGGAGCAGCCAGGACTTGAAATGGCGCCCGTATGGGATGCCAGCACTGCCTACTACACCACAGCGCAGGCCCCTCCTCTCTCTCTTGCGGCTTTTGGAGTCTGTGCTGCTCAGAGCTCCTGTCACTTCTTTACTGAAGTTGTCCCTCAACTGACCTGCAATGATCAGAACAATTCTGTTCGTGTGTGTTTCATAAATTTTGGCTCATATTTGCTTGTAATCGTTTGATCTTCCTTGCACATCGACCCTCCCAACAGTACCTAATGTCCTTCTGTGTTTATATCAGTTTCTCTGTGGCATTTCCATCTGGTCTCACGTCAGTGCCGTCCCCCCAGGCCCCTTTGTGCATTGTTTGCACACAGCATCTTTCCCATCCTTCTGCATCAAACCTAGTTGTGCCTTTAGATCTGAAATGAGTGTCTGGTACACAGCATTTAGTCAGATCGTAGGTTTCTTTCCCCTTTAGTTTTAAATCCAGTCTGCCGATCTGTGTGTGTGTATTAGACCGTTTGATCCATTTACAATTAAATGGTCATTTTATGAAAGGACTGGCTTTTTCCATTTTGCTGTTTTTTCCTGTGTGTGCTTTTTTCTACCACTCCATGTCTATTCTTTTGTGTTCGGTTGATTTTTTGTGTGTGTGATGATGCATTTTGATTCCCCTAGCATTTCCTTCTGGGTGTATTCTATTATAGATAGTTTCTTTATGACTCTGTGGGGATTACGTGTATGTAAAGTTATGCCAGTCCACTTGAATCGCTACCAACTTAATTTCAATTTGCGCACAAAACCTCTACCACTGAACAGCACTGAGTGTCATGTATGTTGTCAGTGTCACACATCTTTACATGTTCTTTGCCCAATGACACACGTTTATAATTTTTAAAGATTTATATATTTATTTGAGAGCCAGAGAACTTCCATCCGCTGGTTCACTCCCCAAATGACCAGAGTGTCTAGGACTGGGCCAGGCTGAGGCCAGGAGCCAGGATCTCCATCTGGGTCTCCCAGAGAGGTGGCAGGAACTGTAATCATGCTTCCTGGGTGCATTGGCAGAGTTTGGTTGGAAACAGAGAACCTGGGTCTCAAAATTTGCACTGTGCTCTGGGATCCGGCAGTCCTGTTGGCAGAGGCTTTCCGGGTCAGCGGGGCCAGCTGGGCAGGCTGGTGCCAAGGCTGGCAGAGGAGGCAGCCAGGGTCCCTTTCTGCCACACTGAGACCCAGCCTCCCGGGGGCTGTCTCCACATGGCTCTGCAGGGCTGTGGAATGGGGGCAGGGAGTGGAGTTGGGGTGTGGTGAGGAAGGGGTGTGGGTCAGGCGCACAGAAGGATCCCCCAGTTAAGGGACATGTCTGATGCCCAGGACTGCCAGAGTCACCCAGGGATCACAGGGAGCTGGGCAGGGGTGAGCCTGAGGGCACGGGGAGGCCAGAAGAGCCAAGGTCAGCATCCCTTGGGGCCTTTGCAGCCTGTACGCCCTCCCCCATGTCACCTGCACACAGCACCTCCCTGCAGGGTCAGCCCCACTGGATGGACACAAGGCATCCCTGTCCCCGGAGTCTCTCGGGCCCAGACATTCAGCTCTGCTGGGTCCCCCTCTGCCCACAGTTCACCCCACTGCAGATCCCCTCCCAGGTTGACTCTTGGGGTCAGCTGTGCTGGGCTGGTTAGAGGGATGCTGCCCAGCGGGGAAGGCAGGGGCTCTCAGCCACCTGCCCCTCCGTGCATTCCCCACATCCCTCTCCTCTTCTTTCTTCTCAGGTCAGGCAGCGTGAACAACAACTGGATTGACATTTACGTGTTTGTGGAGCAGTTGGTGGAGAGATTCCAGCAGTAAGACTTTGGCCCTGCAGGCTCCACTGGGCTGCAGGGAGCGCTTCCTCTGGCCAGCAGGGGGCGCTGCATTAGGATGTGATGGTCGTGGGAGTTCCTGGGGTGAGGAGCACAGGGCACTGTTGCAGGAAAAGAGGGCAAAGCACAGGTCTCCTGGGGTGGCTGCAGTGTGGTGGCTCTGTCCTGAGAGCCAGGGGAACAGTGAATCTTTCAGGACCTCATGGGCTGGGCGAGGTGGTAGGCGTTGCAACAGGCAGGCCTGGGGCTCGGGGACTGACCACCAGGATCCGTGGAACTGAGGGACATTGCCAGGGAGGGGTCGGGGAACAGCAAGGACTCCTAGAGGAGCAGGGGATGGGGAGAGGTGGTGTGGCTGTGGGAGGGCTGGGGGGAGACGGGGCGGTGGCTACCATCATGGGTGCTGCAGTGCCCTGGGGACAGGGGTGCCCAGGGGAGGCTGGGCAATGAGGCTGACAGCTGGCAGCCACACCACAGGGATAGGGATTTCCCATGGGAGTCACAGGAGCCGCAGAAGGTTCCTGGGTAGGGGGAGTGGCGCCATGATGGTGGAGCTCCAGGAAGACAGGGCTGACGACCTGGGGTCAAATGAGTGGGCACAAGAGCAGGTGCAGTGGGGCTGAGCCAGGGTGGGGGCAGCAGGTGCACAGGGGAGACTGAGGGTCAGGGTCAACAGGGGAGGTGCAGCAGGTGTTCGTGTGTGTGTGCACGCATGTGCAAATGCCTGCCAAGAGAGTAGGATTTCTCAGAGCTGGAAGGAGGGTGGGGAGGAGGCCAGGGGGCGAGATGCAGAGAAGTTGAGGATAGGATAGAAGCCAGTTGGGGGCAGGCTGTCGTGAAGGAGTGTGTGTGTATGCATGCATGAGTGTGTGGGTGTGTACGTATGAGTTTGTGTGTGTGCATGAGTGTGTGTATTTTCTGTGTAGTGTACGTGTGTGTACATGTGTATGCATGAGTGTACTGTGTGTGTACACATAAGTGAGTGTGTATGTGTGTGTGCCTATGTATGCGTGAGTGTGTGTGTGTCCCTGTAGGTCTCTTGGGCTCCATTCACCCTTGCTTCCACAGGACCCCACACCTCCATAGGCCTTGAAATCCCTCATTCCTGGTGAATCCCTCATATTCCTTGTGTCTGAAGGGAGGAGAGGATTGGGAAGGGAGGAGGGGACTGGTTAGGGAGGAGGGATATGGGCAGGCCCTCTCCCTGGCTCTGGCCGCCATGTTCCACCTGCGCCCTGGCTTCTCATGATCACATGTTTCCTCTCCAGCCCAAAATTGCGGATGTCCTTCATTCTCTACTCCGGAGATGCCTATACCCTCATGCCGCTCACCTCGGACAGGTAAGTGCTACTCTGAACCCGGAGGCAGGACCAGGGAGCCGCAGGGTTTGATGAGAACCCAGGGAGTGTGTCTGTCAGCTTTTCTTCACCGTAACAAACATACGAGAGGAGCGACTTGGGAAGGAAGGACAAAGGTGGATTTCAGCTTGTGGCTTTGGAGGTTCCCAGTGCAAGATCGGGCAGCCCTCTCAGTCTGGCATCCAGTGGGGGGTGGGGGGGATGAGGCCAGGAAGCCATGAGAGGGGCTGAGCTGAACTCTGCTGCTGTAGCTGATCGTGTTGGGAGGCTTGCCTTCCACAAGCACACCCCCAGTGACCCAACATCCTCCCATGAGGCCCACCTCCTAAACACCATAATGGATCAAGCTTCCGCCTTAATCAATCAATCATTAACATTGTCATTAACAAGACTTTGGAGACCTTTGGGGAACACACAAACTATAGCAATGGGGCCCCATCAAGGGTACCAAGGGACCTTTTGTGCCAAACTTGACCCCCAGCCCAGCTCGCCAGCCCCCACTAGCTACTGGCTGTATGACTGCCCAAAGACCTACCCTGTGCTTCCAAAAGCTCACCATTCCCTCTTCCCCTGTCTTGGTTCCTCCCCTGGGAACTAGTAAGGAGGATCCCTGAGATTCAGGGAGGCCGGTGGAGCAGATGGGTGGTCCCCACATGACCACAGCCTGTGGAGGCCCAGTAGGGAGCTCAGCACACCCTGCTCTGGCGCATGGGCCAGAGGCAGGATCTCCCCAGGGGAAAGGGAACTGGTGCCCCTGCAGGGTTTCTAAGTGGGAAGACTCACAGGAGGGCCCAAACCTCAGGCTGGGTTGGGTGTGAGGGAGGCTGCAGGTGCCCACACGGTGGACACCAGGCCAGGGTGGGCTGCCTCCGGTTGGCAGGAAGCTGAAGGAGGTTTAGGCACTGCTCCTGGAGTCCACCCAGGGGCCCAGAACAGAGCCGAGGGCCTGCTTGGCTGCTGGGATTTGGGGCACAGAACTGCTGTGAAGGGCGTTGGGAGCAGCCAGGGTGGAGGTTTGAGGCAGCACCTGCAGCTCGCGGGGAGGAGGTGGGGGCTCCAGGGCCTGTGCATAGGACTCAGCCCTGCCAGGGTCTCTGCCTATGTCGCAAGCCCCCCTCAGGCCCCAAGCCCCAGCTGGCCTTGCTGTGCACGCTCAGCTGTCACCTTAGATGAGCCTGATCCTAGGGACCCCTGCCTGTCCCTTCCTGCCAGTCCAGCCCTGCCCACTCCAACCCTCCCCGCCGCGCCCCCGCCTGCTTTACCCTCAACCTCTCAATTCATCCGTTTCATTTTCTTTTTTTCCAGAGATAAAATCCGTGAGGGGCTTGAAAAGCTTCAGCAAGTGATCCCTGCTGGAAACACAAACATGCACGAAGGACTTAAAAAGGTACAAACCGCTCAGAGCTCCGAACGTCCCCCTGACTCAGGCTCTGAGAGCCTTCCTGGGCCCCTCATGGACCTCCCCCAATATTTCCTCCTTCCCTTGCAGGCAAATGAGCAGATTGAAGAAGCCAACTCTGGAGGTAAGCCGCCCGGCGTCTTCATCCTGGGCACATGCCGCGAAGGGTCCTGAGGCAGGGGACAGAGCAGGACCCTGGCCTCACCGAGGTCTGGGTGCACGTCCCCCCTGGGCCTTTCCTGCCTCTGGCTCCTGGAGCAGGCCACTCCCCCTCTCCCAGCCTCAGGCCCCACACTGTGCAGAGAGCAGACCGCTCTGCCCCCAGCATGGCCCTGGGGGGAATCACTGGGACCCAGCGTGGGCACCCGTTGGTCTGAGACAGCATGAGACGCCTGCCCTGCCCTGGGACCCACTGGGAGGAAAGCAGAACAGCCCTGGGGGCCTTGAGCAGCCTGAGGACCCCGTGTGGAAAACACAGCCCGGCCCCCTGGCGCCCACGCCTTCCTCCTCCTCCTCCTCCCTGCCTCGTCCTCCTCAGTGCCCCTGCATCCTGGGCCCGGGTCTCTGGCAGGCTGGAAGGCTGTGCACAGCCAGAGCTGCCTCCCTGTCCCCTGTGGGTCGCCACTGGTGCCAAGAAGGAGAAGGGGCTGGGCAGGGGGCAGAATGGACAGATGGAGCCCGGGGTCCACTGCCCAAGCGCCTCTGACCAGGGTCTTGAACCGCTGGGCCCAGGGATGCCCGCAGGAGCCCCCAGGCTGCACCTCGAGCAGGAGCCGGGCCTGCCTGGGCCTTGAGAGGGTCTGGCTGCCCCACGCTGTCTCCATGACCTGCTGGTGCTTGTCTGGGAGTGGAGGGAGCTGCCCTTGGGACCCAGCTCCTACAGCTGTGTGTGTGGGTGCACAGTGGGGTTCAGGCCGCCTTGGGTGAAGGGCCTGCTGCACCTCAGGGAGCCCCTCTGCAGAAGGGGCTGGGCCAGGCCCCTACTCACGGTGGGGGCTGTGCATGGTGGGTGGGGTCTCGGGTCCCCTTCTCACACTGGGGGCTCTGCATGGGGGGTGGGTCTCGGGTCCCTTCTCACAGTGGGGGCTCTGTGTGGGAGAGTGGGGTTTCAGCGGCTCTGTCGGGAGGACGAGGTGCGGGAGCCCCTCTCCAGCCTGCATGCTGGGTGCTGTGGCCCTGGCAGCCTGGGGCAGTCGTGGGGCCGGCACAGGGCCCAGCAACCTGCTCCTTGCTTCTCTGCAGACGAAAAGGTTGCCAGCATGATCATCGCCATGACGGACGGGACGCTGTTGCCAATGCCCTTCGAGTTGTCTAAAGATGAAGTGAGTGCCGCCCCTGGTCATCGGGTTCAGGTCCCTTCGTGTCCTGTGGGGGTTTATGCTGAAAGCCTTCTTTCTTTCAGGCTGCAAAGGCTCGGGAAATGGGGGCGGTCATTTACACCGTGGGCGTGAAGGACTATAACAAAAAGCAGGTAACTCAGAGCAGGTAACCAGGCGGCAGGTGGAGTCCTGTCGGGGAAGGTGTCCAAAGGGGCTTCCCCAGGGGCCCCCAGCTCGGGGGGTCTTCCAGCCAAGTGAGAGATGCCATTGCAGATGGGATCAGCACTAGTCTGGCTCAGACCTCCCAGCTGGGAGGTGAGCGGGGAGGCGAGCAGGGAGGGCTTGCTGCTGCCGCCAGCCAGGGTCTGCCCTGCGATCGCTGACCACAGGCAGCAGGGTGGGCACTGTGTCCCAGGCCTGGGGCCCTGCTGCCTCCCCAGGCCCCTGGCTGGAGAAGGTCCAGCCACCTCCTGTCTCCTGTAGCTGGAGGCCATCGCAGACAGACCAGATTACGCGTTTGGGGTAGACAACGGATTCAAAGCTTTGAAAGACATTGTGGACTCGGTGAGTGGGGCAGGCAGTGAGCAGAGGCAGGGTCCTCTTACTGGTGCGCAGTCCTCACTCCCGGCCCCCTGCCAACCTCTCTGTTCCAGTTGGCTACCCAGTCCTGCATTGAAGTCACCTCAATGGAACCTTCCACTGTGTGTGTAGGCGGTGAGAGCTGGGAGCCCTGCTGTGCACAGAGGGGTGTGGCTCAGGAACACGTATGTGCGTGGGATATGCATGTTCCTCAAGTTCTGTGTATGCCCTGTGTGTCTGGTGTTGGGGGTGGCCATTGGGGTCCTTCTTAATGTGTGTTACACCTGTGTGTGGTTCGTATACATAGCACGTGTAGCAGATATGTGTGCAGGTGTGTGGGGGGTGGCAGTATGTGTTCTTTGTGTGTGGTGCATACATGCCAGGTATGTGTGCTATTTGCCTATGGCAGTGCATGGTGTGTATGCATTGGGCGTGGCGTGTGTGCCTATGGTGTGTGTGCAGGCTGTCTGGTGTGTGGCATGTGTGTGTGTTGTGTCTATGTGCAGGGGCAGGTGTTCCTGTTGTGTGTTGCATGGGAGGTGAGGGTGGAAGTACTGCATGAGGAAAGGAATTGGGGGTGAGCATAGCGTGTGTGGTGTGTGTGCTGCCTGTGGCGTGCATGTGCACAGCGGTGACTAGGACGAATGTGGTGCATACGGATTTGCATTGTGTATGGCTGAGTGTGCATGGTGTGAGTAGATGTGTGTGCCTTACACCGGCCTTGTATCAAGTATGCAGAAGGATCTGGTGCAGGTGACCAGGATGGGTGTGGGCATGCAAAGCTGCTGTTTTAATCTCGTTACCAAAAGTTTCACTATAAGCCTAGGAAAATATATGTATTTAAAAACTGAAGGAAGCAGTAGGAAAGGGGATGGAGCATCACACACAGGGTAGGGAGGGGCGTGCCGTACTGTCAGGGCTCATGCCAGACACAGGAGGTGTCAGGGGAGTTTGTCTGAGAACAAAGTGGGGAAGAGACCCAGGCCATGGCCTCAGTGGGTGGAGACAGAGAATGGGCACACCGTCTCTCACACCCGTGTGCTAGTGACACACAGAGGCAGCTCAGAGACACCCATAGAGACAGCCGAGCCACCTCCCCCAGTGGTCAAGGGGCCGGCACCTGTCCCTGAGGGCTGGAAGCTGACAAGGAGGCCCCTCTGCCTCCAGCCTGGGCCCCTGCTCCAGGGCGCTGCGGTCAGGCAGGTGCGGCTGTCGCCCTGAGGAGCTCTGTGCAGGCTGGGGGCACACGGCTGCCACTCGCCCACTGCGGTCCACAGGGAGAAAGGAGCCACGGGCGTCCTCCCGCGCTGGGGACGGCGCCCAGCCCAGCCGGCTGCATCCAGGCCCAGGCACTGGGTTCTGGCCTGCAGGTTCCCATGTGTGAGGCTCTGTGACACTGGGCTGTGGGGACAGACAGGGCTGTGCCCCCGACGGGAACCAAGTGCCCAGTGTGTGGGGGCTGCCGCCCTGCCTACAGTCCACAGGGGCCCTCGGGGTGCTGCTGTGAGACTGAAGCCATGGGTGTGTGCAGTGAGAGGTTTGGTACGCAGAGGCTGCTGGGTGCCGGCCCCTGGAACTGCCCCTGGTCCTCCCACCGCCCTTCCCTGGCCCTGGGCTCCCCTGCACACCCCTGGGTGGGACACAGGTTGGGTAGGGGGTGAGCGCAGTACTGGGGGTGGGGAGAGGCTGCCTCCTCGGGGTGTCCTGCTGCTGCTTCTGGCCTGCACTGCTTGGATTCTGCCCCTTGGTACACACAGGCCTTGGCGCTGGGGCGGCAGGGAGGATGGGAGTCAGGGCTCCTTCCTGGGGTGCTGAGCCCAAGTGACAGGTGCCCCCGGCTGCCAGCTCCCCCATGGCTTCTACCTGTCAGGCTGTGTTGTCACTGGCCTGACTGTGAAACTGGGGGCCTTGTCCAAAGCTGCCACACAGGGGGTCCCAGCCACGAGAGGGCAAGGCTAAGGCAAGAGCCTGACCCCCAACCATCACCAGGAGCCGATTCCTCGGGCTGCCATTCAGACCCCAGGGTGCCAGCAGCCTAGGCAAGGACTGCTGGGCCAGGGGTGTCCCTTGGCCACATTGAATCAGTGTCCCTTGGACCATCTCAGGCGTCACCGGGCATAGAAATGGACCAGGGCTAGATCAGGAGGTAGCAGTGCAAGCAAGGGAGTTGGGGCAGTGGCTGGACGATTTGCAGCCATTCTGCCCAGTCACCATGGGCCAGCTGTGTCCCTGCTCTCCCTGTGTCCCCTGTGGCCTTGACTCAGGGGCAGGTAGACAGCACACAGGGGAAAGGGTTTGCTGAGCCCCAGGCTGGGTGGGCGTGGTCCTTGAGGGTCAGGAAGAAGCGGGGGAGGAGGACCAGGCTATGGTCTGAGTACCTGCAGCTCAGACCGGATTCTCCTCCTGTGAGGCATTCTGTGAGCAGGTGCAAGGTGCCTCACCTTCGTCCCCAACACAGGTCATGATGGCCTTAAAACTGGAAGTTCTTGTAAGGTGGTGGCTGAGATGGCCCAGGTGGGGGCACCGAAGCAGGCTTGTAGAGTGAGACCCTGAGAGGGACAGCCTCCAAGTGAGCAGATCCCAGCCCGACCCTAAGCACCGATCACCTGTGACATCTGAGGATTTGCAAGGCCCGTGGGCACGGATGTCTCAGACGCACCTGCTGGCCATGGGAGCTGCCCAGGAGGGGTTTTTAGAAGGAGACCACTAGGAATGGTGATATCTGAGGGGTGCGGTGTTAGCTCTTCCTCACTCAAACATCTGAATGGCGCTGTTACAGAGTCCAGCCAAGTGGTCATCAATGGAAAAGGCTTTCATAATGCAAAGGATCAGGACCAGGTCATCTGCAGATTCACGGTGGAAGAGAGCATGGTTGTGGGTAAGTAGCCCCTGGGAAGTCTGAGTTCCCTGCAGTGAGTGTGTTCCTTAGCCTTTCGTTACTATCGCGAAATACCCGAGGCAGCCTGTCTCGCTAGTGCAAAGAGGTTTATCTGAGCTCAGATCCAGCGGGCCCCAGTGGGGCAGCCTCTGGTGATAACAATTGTGCTGGCAGAGACCCAGGGTGACACTGGGCATCACACAGCAAGACAGGGAGCCCGCTCTCTGGATGGGCCTCACAGAGCCACCAGATCTACTCTTGGGGACTCCACCCAAAGGCCCCTCACTTCAAAAATACACAATTTGATTAAGTTCCCATTCTCTTAGTACTGTTAACACAATTCGCTGGAGGCCAAAGGCTGTAGAGGACAAACAGTCAAACCACAGCAGCCAGCCAAGATGCCAGCCACAGCTGGTGGCTCCCAGTGGACGCTGTGTGGGTGAGAGGCAGTGTGGACACTGGAAGCCGGGGCCTGTCTGGCTCACCAGCCACCTCTTCTTGCATCTTCAAAGGGAGAAGTAGCAAGTCTCCCAGCGCCCCAAGTCCTGTGGGAGCATGCTGGGCATGGTGCTGACTCTGCTCTTAAAGCAGTGTCTGCCCCACTCTGTCCTCAGCCCTCCCTTCTCTGGGTGGGCAATAGCAGCAGCCCCAGGTCTCTGAGCCTGGCCAGGTGCACAGGGGTATGGACAGACCTTGGACTGGGGAGGTACCCACAGTCAGGCATGGGCACTGGGATCCCAGCTCAGGCACACCCAGGCTGTGTGACCTTGACCAAACACCTGCTCCCCTGGCAGCCCTAGTTCTTTTACTGTGGGTGGAGCCAGTATGGCAGCCACACCGCCTGAGCCAGGAGTCTCTGCAGTCCAGGTGGTGCAGAGCAGAGCTTAGAAACTCAGGTCGGAGCCTACGATCCGGTGGCACTCAGCTCCGGGCACCTCTGCGGTGGTTTTCAGGAAGCACAGGTCAGGGGGACTTGGTGTCCTTGGGGCTGAGGTGGGTGTGGCCTTCCCCAGGGACTGCCTGGGACACTGGGGACTTGCTGCACCCTCCTCAGCTCCCCCACGTGGCCCCCAGCTGCCTCCCCCTGACTTGAGGACACTGTTTGCAGGCGCCCCTCCCCCCAGGAGGCTCTGGGCCACCTCCTCCCCAGGGGTGCACAGGCTTGTGCAGGTGGCTGTCACTGCCTCTCCCCCACTGAGCAGCGCCGTGCACGCGGCCTCAGCAGCTGTGGATACATTCGGCTCATCACCTTGCTCTGGAGTGGCTTAGACAGTGAGCGGCCCCTGCCTATGGGAGCTCATGAGTATGGAGCCCTCCTTACCCCAGGCCCGCCCAGCCTGTCACACCCTGTCCCCATGGAGCCCACAGCAGCCCTCCTGGAACTCCTGTGTGGGTGGAGATGGGGCGGGGCCAGGGAGGAGTGTGCCCCAGACACAGCGGTGGAGCTGGAGCTGGGAAGAGACCCAGGGCTCTGCCAGTACAGTCAGGGCTCCCTGCCTCCCCAGGGTGACAGGTTCTGGGAAAGGCGGGGCCCAGCCGACACCCACAGGCTCCCTGCAGATGATCCCTTAGGGACCCATGGGCATCCTGGGTCCCCATCTGGAAGTCACTGGTTTTCTCTCCATGGTGGGCCCACCCCAGGGACCCCCCAGGAGAGCTCAGGCTGCAGTGCCGGGGCTCCACAGACGGCCACCTTCTCCTGGCGCGCAGCTAGGCCCAAGGTGGCCACTATCAGCTGTTCATTACAAGGAGCTCAGCTGCACGGACAAGGATGGTTTTGCTCATTTCAATAAACATCCTCTGGAAAACATTCAGGTACCATTTTTGAGAAAACCAGAAAGCAGGAGAAGGAAGGCAGATTTCAAAACGTGTGTTCCTGTCGGAGGGAGCCCTCCGAAGCTCACGGGAGCTGCTCGTCACCCTTCATCATTCTCCATGAGCTTCTGGAATCGCTCAGGCCTCATGACCTCTCTTCTGCCTCTGTCAGGGTTTTATCACTTCAGAGGAAGATGTTTATTGTGGCAGGCCAAGCAGTGGGCTTCATCAGCTGATCTTGGTTTAAAAACTCTGCTCTGCTTTGCCTGACTGCTGGGCCCTCAGTGTGCCAGGTGCACCTGCCCAGAAGTCTATGGTCCATGTTCTGTGTAGTGAGATGTCTGGCCACAGTGCATCCCAACCATTGCACCCTGAGCAATGAGGGCTTTCCCGTGAGTGCTTAGGACCAGTGTGGCTGAAGCAGTGAATGGGTTCAGAAGCTCGTGGGTAATCCGGGGAGAATGCCAGCAGTTGAGCCACATGGAAATTAGTGAGTTTGCGAGCTCCATACCTGAGCTACGATGAGAAAGCAAAAGCCAAGAAAGTTAATTTTCTGTGCAAAATGTCCTTATGTTAGATAATTAGAATCATGGGTGTTGCTTTCAACTCTGCCCGTGCTTTGTAAGTTATTCATTTTCATTACAAAATCAGGCAGTGCAGCATCTCAGCCATCAGGTGATGACCTGCCACGCCACAGAAGGCTCGGCGTGCCTGCTCCTCATTGTCCCATTTAGGACTTCTTAGGGTTCTAAGAAGGTGAGGAGCAGCTATTTTTAAAAGCAGAAGAGACTTGTATTGGCAATGGGACAGCCTGGTAGGGGAAAATTAAGGTTGCAGCCCACATGGACAGCAGGCAGGGGTTCTAAGAAGAGGGTCGTCTCCCTAGGCAGCGGGCAGCAGCCTGTTTGTCCTGTGTCTTGGGAGGGGGCCGTGCATGTGCACTGTGCTAAGGTAGGTTTGAACGGGGAGAAGACTCCTGATCACAATGTATGAGCTTGTCACTTTGGAATGTCCAGGGCGAGCAGGCAGCTGTAAGAGCCAGAGCCGTCAGTCGTAGGCCACAGGTTCCATCGTCACATCCTCAGGGTGCTCCTCACTGGGGCTCTGGGTGCCAGGTGTGAATGTACCTTCTTGTGTTCCGGTGGCCTGGAGAATCCTACCGCTCCACACGTGCTGAGCCGCACATTACTCAGGCGCTGTGTGACGTGGCACCTTCTTGGAGATGGCCATGTGCGCTGCAGCTGCACCCCTTGTCCTATAAAAAGGATGACCCCAGCCGGGGAACTGCGGCCAGAGAGGAGCCTTCCCTGCTGGGTCTTCCCTGGGAATCAGCAAGTGCAGAGCTGCAGCTCAGGTGTCTGGGTAGGGGCAGCGCCACTGCAGAGCCTGAGGGAACGTGGGAGGTGCAGGGAGACAGGGCAGGGGCTGTCCTCCCACAGGCACAGGGGCCGGCCCACGGGGCCCTCTGTGGCCTGCACTCCAACCTGCAGCGGGGAGCCCTGGCCCCAGGACGCCAGAGCCAGACAGGTGTACAGCTGGCTCTCGGCTCCTCAGCACAGCTCAGGGGTACAAGGGAGTGGGCTCAGGACTGAGGAGACTCCGCCCACAAGTCAAGGATCTCCTGAGACCCCCCAGCTCCCACAGAGGAAGGAACAGAACCAGAACAGAAGCACGGAAAGCCCTTTTCCTCCCCCGGCTGCCCCATCACCTCAGTGGCACAGCTCCCCCCACTCGCTCTGCTCAGAGTCCTGGATGTCAGCCTTGAGCTTCATCCCCACACCTAGCTCCCTGTGGGTCCTGCTGCCTCTTGTCCAAGCTCTGGCCAGCACCTGTGCCACCTCAGCAGGAGTCCAACTTCAACTTGGAGTCCAACCTGTTCCCAGGAGGCCCCGCCCACCTCTCCTGGCTCCCTTCCTTCCCTCCCCAGCAAGCCCAGCTATGACTGCCCCAAGGCCTTGGCACAGGCCGCTGCACACTCCAGAGCGCTCCCCTGGGGTGCCCCATGTGGTGTCACTGCACCCTCCCCTCCTCAGAGAGGACGCCTTGCAGTGGCTGTGGTCAGCAGTACACAAAAGCAGCAGCGGGAAGTGCGTGGTGACCGTGACACACCCATCACCTGCTTCCTGCAGTCACCAGCCCCTGCCGGTGTCCTGACGCCGCCCCTGCACAGCGTGGGGAAGCCAGTCCTTGGGGTCGCATCATCTCACGGGCAGACCCACAGTCTCTCCAGAAGACAAACATGTCTGTGACAGATGGGACAGGTCACCCATGACTAAACAGCCGCCGCCGTCCCCCACCCCCACCCCCGGGTCCCCTGTCCCTTCCTGTGCTCATCCCTGTCACTGCGTTTGACTCTCGGGCATTTGTGTTGCTCTGTTGTCCTGTCTCTGTCACCCTCAGTCCCTAGCAGGTGACGCCCTGCACAGCAGGGCCTCCTCCTGCCAGCCCCTGTTAAACAGGAAGCGCTGCCCAGCGCCAGGGCCCCCCGCAGCACCCAGCAGGCGCTGTGAGCAGTAGCAAGCAGAGAGAAGTGGGTCGTCAGCCACGTGTGACTCCACCTGCCCAGGGCAGCACAGGGTGACTGCATGGTGGGACACGCACATTGCCATTCTTCTCCTGTCATTTTGTTTCAGATGAAAAACCCAGCAGTATGGACGAGAATGTGATAACTTGCCCTGTGCCAGTCATAGACGAGGCCAACAAGTAAGTGCCCCTGCGTGTCCTTTGCCCCGTGTTCCGTGTTTGTCTCCATTGGGTGCACAGAACAGGAGAGGCAGTGCCTGTCTGCAGGTGGCTAAAGGCACTCTCCCTGTTCTCCTGGGTGGCTCCCAAGGTGTCCTGGGCAGTGGCCCAGGCTGTGCTGAGAGGGCTGGGATGTAGGTCGTTGCCCAAGGAATGGCACCTGTGCTCTGGTCCCACCGGCAGCTAAGCCAGAACACCTGGGGAATACAGACGCGTGAGGACAGTGGCACTGAGCAACCCTCCCTGGCCCTTAACCATGGCTAGGATGGCTTCAGGCACCAGGAGGGCAGCTCCCGTCCTGATCCACAGGCCCTTGGTCCTTTCTGCAGAGCTGAGCCATCAGTGCTTTGCAGATGAATGCTCAGGACACATTCTCGGGCACCTGACCATGAAGAGAGCCAGGGGCTGTTGTTCCGCCAAAGGCAAGACCTGAATCTCCCGGGCTGTTTCTCACTGTCTCTCCTTTCTGGGCATTAGGCTGATCTTTCTCGAAGTCAGCCTGACCAATGGCAAAAGCTTCATCGGGAATAAACTCAACATGACCAGCACCCACTGTGTGAGTACCGGGGTGGGGCTGCCCTGTGTGCACACCGGAGGGTGGGGGGAGAAGGCCGGAAGGGCAAGAGGGCCAAGAGTGGGCAGATAAGCTCCTCCTACAGCTGCTTCCCGGGTTTCCACCTTGGTGAGTAGGGAGGGCAGGCCACTGTCTACCGGGAGCAGGGTCTTACTGTGGCGCTCAGTCCCCTCTGGGGACATCCCAGAGTTCTGGAGGGTTGGCCCGGCTGTAGCCAGGATGGTGTGCCTCAGAATCGGTGCCCAGCTCCTGAGCCCTCCCTAAACCCACTCACGTGGCCCTCGCCACGCTCTAGCGAGCACCGGCTGTCATTCTGTGGCTCTCTCCACCCGTCCTGCTTCTCCTCCTCTCTAGTGCTCTCCAACTGTGTCCTCTGATGCTCTCTCTGAGCTGCAGTGGTTTCTTTCCTGCACGTGGTGGGGCAGCTGGCAGGTGTGCGGACCAGTGCTCAGCTCAGGAAGGTGCACCTGGGAGTGGAGGTGTAGCTGTTCTGAGCTCCACAACTTCCGGGCACTTTGGCCCAGGGCAGTGTGATGAGACCACGTGCCAGGGTTGCAGGGAGGCCTGCTTGGGCTCCACATTGCCCTCAGCATGGGAGGAGCTTCCTGAATCTTCCCCTGTGTCTGCCTGGCTGACCCCACCCATCCACGCATGCATTAGTAGCTGCACTCACATGTGCATGCATGGAGTCCCGCCCACCGACAGCCCTTGTGGCAGGTCCACCATCTCTCTTGAGACCGAGGGGATCTTGGGAAGAAAGGTTTCATGAGCCATCCCAGACGCTAGCCAGGAGAAGGACCAGGTCCTGGGCAGCTGCTGAAACTACCGGCAGCAGGTGGAAACGCATCCCCCAGAACAGGGCATCGTTTTAGAATGGAAAGCTGGGGGAAGGAAGAAAGAAGTGGTTGACGTGGACCCTCTGTGGCCTGCAGGGAAGCAGATTACAGGAAGCGGAGACAGCTCTGGGCCACCTGTCAGTCCCCGTTGCCCTGGGTTGGTTGGAGTTCACAGTCCCAAGGCTTCTTTGTGTATACACAGTGGGTGCTGGTCCTGGTGGCCAGCTGTGGTGGGATTGCAGTGCAAGTTTCCACACAAACAGTCTTTTTGCCGCTTTTGCTGTCAGCTGTTAACTAATTTACTTCTCTGACTTCTTTCTTGGCCTTATTCCACAGGCCTTTGTTATTCAACTTAAGACATCTCAGAATATTCCTTTTTGTTTTCATTTCTCTCTTTCACCAAGATCTTGGGAGAAAGCATTGCCGATGAATGCTTATATTATGTTTTTTTTATTTATTGGTTCATTTGAAAATGAGAGTTACAGAGAGAGAGTGAGAGAGTGAGAGCGCAAGAGAGAAAGAGATCTTCCATCTGCTGGTTCACTCTCCAAATGGCTGCAACCACCAAACTGGACCAGGCCAAAGCCAGGAGCTTCCTTGGGATCTCCCATGTGGGTGGCAGAGACCCAAACACTTGGCCAGTCTTTTGCTGCTTTTCCAGGCCATTAGCAGGGAGCTGGATGGGAAGTGGAGCAGTTAGGACTTGAACTGTGCCCATATGGGATGCTGGCATTGCAGGCAGTTGCTTAGCCCACTGTGCCACAACCCTGGCCCCATTTTTTTTGTTTTATGTTTTTATCCACTAGTCCTGGTAGATTCAGAGCGTGTCCCATATCACTGGCAATGCTTATTCCTAGTGGCCATGTCCCATGGAGGTGAAAAAACTCTAGATATAATGTGGTGAGATGTGCATTGGCCCAAGTACTGGTGAGAAGAGAGTGGTGGGGAGGGGCAGAGAGCAACCAGCTAAACACTAGAGGATCTTAAGGGAATTTTTCCCCTAGCAAGTGGCTTCTTTCGGAAAGCCAGTTAGCAAGGATATTGTTGACTGCAGTTCAGTCCACCGACTTATACAGTTGGGGAGCACAAAGGGTACACTATTGAAAGGTTACAGCCACCAAAACAATGCAAAGTAGAATTATTAAATCCACTTACAATGCTTCTCTAAATAATGAGCCAGTTCCATTTGCTAACTAGCCAAACACATCATGCAAAAGACCTGAAGATTTATTTAGATTTATTTGAAGGGGAGAGTCACACACACAACACACACACACACACACATACACAGAGAGAGAGAGAGAGAGAGAGAGAATCCATCTGCTGGTTCACTCCCGAATAGCCATAATGGCCAGAATTGGTCCAGGCCAAATCCAGGAGGCTAGAGCTCCATCCGGGTCTCCCACAGGAGCCCAGGCACTCAAGCCCTCATCTTGTGCTTTTCCAGGTGCATTAGTAGGGAGCTGGATCAGAAGCAGAGCAGCCAGGACTCAATCAGGCATTCCAATGTAGGATGCTGACATTGCATATAGCAGCTTAGCTCGCTGCACCACGAAACAGGCCCCAAAGATCTGTTTTTCTTCCATCTTGTAGTTAGCGGGCATTTTGGCTGATTCTTCCCATGATTCTCCTGAAGTATTAATCCAGGTGCAACCAGCAGGGTGAGCCACTGTGAATATTCGTCCTTTTTCTGCTAACAGATCACCGAGCAGGGGTGGGAGGATTTTTTTCTGCCAAGGGACATTGAATATACATATATACATATATATATATATGTATATATATGTATATATATAAAACATCATATATATATGTATGTATACATATATACATATATATGTATATATAATGATGTTTTATATATACATATATATGTATATATATACATATATATGTGTGAATGATGTTTTATATATGCATATATATATATAAAAAACATCATTCACGGGCCATACAGCATTGTTAGCCTAAGAAATTAGCCTGCTACAGATTGAATTTCGAGCCAGACCAAAGGATGTCACATGCCTCACAGGGCCCACGGCCTGTCGTTCCCTGTCCCAGAGCAGCTCTGTTGTCCTGCACCAGGAGGCTTCAGAAACTCCTGAAAATGGACAGTGCTGAAAGACAACGCATGGACTTCCAAATGTTTGCACCCAGATTAACTTACCTTTTCCCTCCACTTTGCTGAGTCTTTTGAAGTGTCATGCAATCCAGTCGAGAGAGTCTGCTGACCTTGCGTGGGAAGCAAGAGCCTGGGCAGTGTCTTCTGCTGTTTGACAAATGGTGACAGAGAGATTTTTGGTCACATCCCTGGTCAGGTACGGTCCAACACTACGCATGAGAAACTCAGTTACACCTGCCAGTGTGCTCCTCTTGCTTCTCCGCTTGATGGAGTCCGGACTTTTGTGAGAGAGGGGAGAGGACAATCAAATGTCCTGGGAGGCAGTGTCCTCCTATTCTGCACCTGCAGCTGCTTTATTAGCAATGAGCAGGAGGCGGGGCAGGGCTGTCCCTGCCCCTGGACAAACACAGATCTTAGAGTAAACAACATGAGGCCAGTGCCGTGGCTCAATAGGCTAATCCTCCACCTTGCGGCGCCGGCACGCCAGGTTCTAGTCCCGGTCGGGGCGCCGGATTCTGTCCCGGTTGCCCCTCTTCCAGGCCAGCTCTCTGCTATGGCCTGGGAGTGCAGTGGAGGATGGCCCAGGTCCTTGGGCCCTGCACCCCATGGGAGACCAGGAGAAGCACCTGGTTCCTGGCTTCGGATCAGTGCGGTGCGCCGGCCGCAGCGCGCCGGCGGCGGCGGCCATTGGAGGGTGAACCGACGGCAAAAAGGAAGACCTTTCTGTCTCTCTCTCTCACTGTCCACTCTGCCTGTCAAAAAAAAAAAAAAAAACAAAAAAGAGTAAACAACACGAAACACAAAGCTGACCAGCTTGGCATAGCCTACAATAGGCCTACAGGCAGAATCGCCACAGCAACCGTAACACCTGGATAAGAGCTGTGTAAGATGGAGCCCTGGAGGTCCGTAGGAGCCCGGGCTGGACTTCTGGGTGGAAGCGGTTCCTTCACTCCGCCAGGGACTTCTCTTCCTGGTTAGACAAAACTCGACATTGGTGACAAGGGCATGGGGCCATCCAAGGGGCTTCGTCTTTTTGCAGGTGGGAAATGTGGGTCCGGGACCTCTTTCCCGCATGTTTGGCTTCCCAGGGATTCCCAGGAAGCGCCTGGAAAAGATTTCCCCACTGGGATCTTCCAAGGATGTGTTTCGTGGAGATTGCCAGGCTGGGCTCTGAGGGATGGAGGCCCTGTAAGGCATGGCTGGACTGAAGAGTGGCTTTTGTTAACCGCCTCAGTGAGCTCTTGACAATAGGTAACAATAAGTAAGAGACATGCAGACAGCTCTCTGCTGTGATTTCAAAGGGGGCCAGCCCAAGTCTGTCCAAGGTGGGAAGGCCAGCCCAGATCTGCCCAAGGAAGGGAGGGGTCAGCCCAAGTCTGCCCAAGTCTGCCCAAGGTGGAGAGGGCCTGCCCAGGTCTGCCCAAGGGTGGGGAGGGGCAGCCCAAGTCTGCCCAAGGGGCGGGGAGGGGCCAGCCCGAGTCTATCCAAGGTGGGGAGGGCCTACCCAAGTCTGCCCAAGGTGGGAGGGGCAGCCCAGGTCTCTTTTATGGCAGTGCCAGAGGATCCTATGCAGCTCCAGAAAGGCCTTTGAGTTCAAGCCAGGGGGTCATCCATTACAGACCTCATGTTCATTTCAAAAGAAAGAATAGCTAAACAAACTGTTTTTTTTCCTCCCGTTGCCATTACTTTGGCCTGGGGAGATATAACCCAGCATTAAAGCTATGCCCCCCTTAGAGGAAAACCTCACTCTGGTCCAAGTTTTTTGTAGAAAAAAAAAAATCTCAGCCTCAGATACACGCGGGGGCAGGAGGACTGACCAGGAAGCAATGGGTGGCAGTCTGCCGTCCCAGCGGAAGGGGCTGACTTGGAAAGCAGTTTGGTAGGACGCGCCTCACTCCCCACAGCCTCCATTGTTTCGTACTCTGAGGGAGGAGGCCCCTGGGACTGCCCAGGGTTGGAGGCAGGGCGAACAGCAAGGATAGGAGTTCAGGTGGGGTAAAAGCCAAGTGCAGCTAAGTGCACGTTTCTCCCAAGGGAGTCAGAGGAGGGAGGAGCAGCAGCCCCCTCGTTCCTCCCAGTCCCTTCTGTCCCATCTCTAGGGACCTCAGAGTGAGTTGCGGTTGAAATAAGGCGGCCACAGAAACCATAACTCTTTTTCCTTCATTTATCCAATCTCCTGCAATTAATTCTTTTAAAAAAAAGTGATTTAAAGAGGCAGAGACAAAATCAGAGAAAAGGAGAGAGCTGTCATTCCCCAGTTCACTCCCCAAATGCCCACAATACGCAGGGGGCTGAAGCCAGGAGCCAGGAACTGAATTCAGGTCCTGCTGTGAGTGGTAGGAGCCCAGTTATTTGAGCCATCAGCACTGCCTCCCAGGGCCCATGTCAGCAGGAAGCGGAAGCCAGGAACTGGGTCTGGGAGTGGAACTCAGGCACTCCCGTGTCAGGTCTAGTCGTGAGCACCGGCCAAACGCCCTCCACCTGTGGCCCCCTCCACCTGTGGCCCTTGTGCTGCCTGATTTTGGTGAATGATTCCGTACACCCTTCAGTTCCTTCATCAGTCTTAGAAAATCCTTACCCAGTCCTAAGCGATTGGAAACCCGCACGTCTGCCTGTCAGCACTCCTTTCAGCCCTTGTGAAACTCTTCAAAGACAACACAGTGTAGGCTCCTAGTTGCTTGCAAGAGGCTCCCAGGAAAGCATCAGAATAAAGCACGGAACTGTGGGCAAGACCTAAAGCATCCATTGTTAATGACCGGCTGATCGTTCACAGTTGACAATGGAATTTGATAATAACTTGATATTAGAATTATGAGTGGACCGGTGCCGTGACTCACTTGGCTAATCCTCTGCCTGTGGCACCGGCACATGGAGTTCTAGTCCCGGTTGCTCCTCTTCCAGTCCAGCTCTCTACTGTAGCCCTGGAGGGCAGTGGAGGATGGCCCAAGTGCTTGGGCCCTGCACCCACATGGGAGACCAGGAGGAAGCACCTGGCTCCTAGCTTGGGATCAGCACAGCGTGCCGGCCCTGGCAGCCATTTGGGGAGTGAACCAACGGAAGGAAGACCTTTCTCTCCATTTCTCTCTCACTCTCTATAACTCAACCTGTCAAAAAATAAACAAATAAAAAATTAAAAGAATTATGACCAACGCACGTTAGGTTACCAGTAATCTCTTACAGTGTCAGAACACACATTACTAATGCATTCATACAAATATAACTCAAACAAGGTTTAAAAACAACATTTTTATTTGATAATGCTTTCCATGTAATTCACATCAAATACTCATAAATCTATTTTTTTTCCTTCCGGCGCTACCTGGAAATGTCAAAGCTAGTTCTAGGCCCTAAAGAACTAATTTTAGAATTTAATTTCAGGACGTTTTTAAGTCTGTCAAAGGTTTAAAACACTTTGTTAAATAGGACCATTCCGGGGAGACTGCTGGTGGAGACGCCAGCGTCTGTGTTGGGATACCTGGCTTCCATGCCCAGCTCTGTCTCCCGACTCCAGCCTCGTGTGAATGCACACCTTGGGAGTAACGGTGACGGCTCAGGGATTGGGCTCCTGCCACTCCTGTGGGAGGGCTGGATGGAGTTCCCAGCTCCTTTCAGAGTTGACCTTGGCCCTGACCCAGCCATTGCAGACGTTTGGGAAGTGAGTTGGTGAATGGGATCTCTCTGCCCTCCTGTCTATCTCTGTGTCTCAGATAAATAAGCAAAAATTTGCTTTTTTAAATAGAATAATTTTGAAATAAAATCAAAGTGACCAAAACACTTTAAAGGCCAAAAGCACAGGAGATTACAGAAACTTTGTTTTCCATACCAGTTACCAAAAAGGTAGAGAAAAGCTCTCTTGGAGTTCCCTGGTGAAGGCAGGTGGAGGTTCCTGGGAACACCGCTGTTGCAACACAAGAGCTCGGAGCTGAGTTTCGCACCCGGGTGACCTCGATGCCTGCGCTCAACCCCCAGAAAACTGTCACTTTGGCCAACTCGATCACACAGAAACTTCCACAAGATCCACTCCTTTCCCTGAATTCCTCAAGCTTTCACAACTTGCCCAGACCCTGGGTTTTTGTCTAACACACCTCCTATCTTGGAACAAGCGGTCACCTTTAGAACAACAAAAAAAATTATTTTCATTTTCTCTCAACAGAAGTACGTCATCATAACTTCCATTATAAAATCCCTATAACATCCATTATAAAATCCTCATAGCTTCCTTTATAAAAAGCCTCATAACTTCCTGTGTAAGCCCTGTCTTGCCTTCCTCACACACAGCCGCTTCCTCCTTAGCTTCTGTCTTAGCTCTCGGTTGCCATCCTTAGCAACTGTGATCCCGCGTTCTGTACCCTAACACCACTGTGGAACTTTCTTCAATGCAGGCCTTCTCTTAGCACAATTTTTTAAATGTGGAAACTGGACACGTTAACTAGCAGACTCAAATATGCACATTTAATATCATACAAGCAAAACGCCTAAATATATAAATGTTAAACCTGCTTAATAATTGACGGTTAAGTGGTTGAGAAATGGCTTCAACATCTAACAAATATGTGGCTTAATATAACAGAACCTTAAGATGTCAAGGTACTGAGACTTTTCAAACTATGAAGAGCCCACTGACAAATGTCTAACCCAGCTGCATGTACTCAATGAACTCATGCTGAACAATTATGTCTGAACTGCTCATGGACATGCCGTCACGCCGCGCAGAGCTAAGTCATTCCCGTTAACAGCACTTGTCACCTAAGCGAGCACTCTCCCTACTGCAGATATCTTATGACTCAGAAAACAGGAGTTTTTCAGGAAACCAGCAATCTTAAATGAGACTTACTTGGGATTTTTCTGAAGTCATATAAACTGTAGGAAGCTTTGGCCTTCGTTTTGCTTACTTCATGGGCACTCACTGGTTTCTAAGTCAATGTGGTGCTGTGTAGACAGTGAACAAATGCAGCCCTGGGACACCAGCATCCCATGGTTGGAGGGCCTGGTCTCAAGTGCTGGCTCACTTCCCTCCCCGGCTTCCTCCCAGTGCCCGCCCTGGAGGCAGCGGCTGATGGCTGAGCCACCGTGGCAAGCCTGGGAGCCGGGTTCTTGACCTCTCTTCAACAAGAGATTCAGGAGGGAGTGGAGAGCCGCCAGCATTTGACTGGGAAAGCAAAGATCCACACCGCATGGCGTGGGGCCGCCTTGGAGAGGAACGGCCCTGGCCCTGTGTCGGAACCGTGTTTAACGTTAGAAGGGTCCTTTAATGAAAGGGGATGTTCATTCTAACCAGGAGGAGGAGGAATATTCACGATTTCCCTAGGAAGTCAGCGGAGATTTCCCGGCATCTACTGCCCCTTTTTGTTCCACATATGGTCTGATGTTTCCCGTCATCCAACACCCAGGTGGGACATTAGCATGCTAAGGTCTTCCATTGAACTTCATGGAGATCCACCTGGGTCAGCTTTGGCCCCCTAAACTGGAGTGAGCCTGGTCCAGGCAATGAGTCTGTGTAATTCAGGACAAGGAGAATTAAACACCTACCCTGTAGGTCTCAGGAAAACTAGCTTCCCTGCCTCTCTGCCTCGCTGTCTCAGCTGGGTCCCTACCACCCACGTAGGAGACTTGGATTGCGTTCTCAGCTTCTGCCCCACATATTCCTGGCTGTTGCAGGCATTTGGGGAGTGAACTCGCAGATGGGAGATTCAGTGCGCTCGCTCTCTCCCTCTCTCTCTCTCTCTCCCTCTTTTCCTCTCTCTCCCTCTTTCCCTCTCTCTCTCTCTGTGTTGTATGTCTCTGTCTCTGCCTTTAAAATAAATGTTTTCAGCCACATGTATAGACACAAGCGTCCATGTAAACATAGACTACAATACACATATGTACTCGTACATGCAGAAAAATATGGACAAAGCTAGGCAACCTTAACTTTGCATTTCCAACCATCTGACTCGTAGGTGAGAAAAAAGCTAGAGAATTTACACCTCAGAGACACAGCACTTAGATCTAAACACCATTATTTGCCGAGACACAGAGGGGCTCGAAAAAAAGCCCAGGTAAGACAAAATGGTCCAAGGTAAGGCTTGTTGGGTGGATTTTAAGTTCGTGGGCCTTTCTCTGTTATAGGACTCAGTGCCCACGGGAGATGCCCTCCCAAGGAGCCATGGTGGACTTCACGCACAGAAAGCATTGTCTGTGCCCGTGTGAGCGAGTGAGGGTTTCAGCCTTGATACAAATGTTCCAGGCTGGCCTTAGTCCTCTGCATACTGGAGTGAAGGGAGAGTTGAAAACTGGGTTTGAAGGAGGGGAGAGAGTTAGCATGGGGAGGAACGGCCCTTTCAGAGCCGTCCAGCGCTGTGTGGCCTCCTCTTGCTTCACTTAACTGTTTTAGCAAGACAGATGCACAGGGAAGTGTTTTTTGCGTCTGCGAACCCCACCAGCTGCCAGCTTCCGTGCACCCCTTGAAGGGAGCCTCCAGTCCTAACTGCCCAGTAGCTTTGAGTTCTAACGTAGATGGCAACAAACCACTCTGCTACATGGCTGGAGCCGTCTTCCCAAGCCAGGGTGACCCCTTTTCATGAGGTGTGAGCCCTTCAGGCCCATTGCTCTTGGACCGACAAGGAGGCAGGGGGAGGTTGAAGACTTTCGTTCCCCATCGTTTAGAGGGGCTGCTCCAGGGCCCCGTCCCCCCACCCACCTCCCTGGGAAGTAGGCTGTTCTGTGGGATGTCACCACGGTGTCACCAGTCACCCACCAGATGCTGTTTTGGGCGTCTGGGGGATCACGAATCCCACGCAGCATCTGGATACTTGAGGTCCTTGGAGAGCCATGCCCGGTATGCACGCTCTGGGTGAGCCAGATGTGTCCACCTGACCCAGGAACGGGGTGCGCTCTCCTGTTGGGGGCCCTATGGGACCCCTACTCACCACGGACTGTGTCCCAGCACTTCTGCGAGGCATCCAGCCATCAGGAAACAACCCCAAGAGAGCCAGGAAGAGCAATTTGTTTCTTGCTTCCAGAGTGAATTTTTATCATTCACCCTGGTCTGACAAGAGTATTTTCTGAGAGCCAGCAGAATCTGAGTTGCAGTGACACGAAGTGGCCACATGATGTCACTATGAGCTCAAAGTATTTCAGACAAACCACCCAGGAAAAAAAAGACAGTAACAGTAAATGCGTGGGGTTTGCATTTTAAGAAATTGTAATACCCACTTTGAGGCATCCCTGAAAAACATAGAGATTGAAAGGCGTCCCTTGGCCAAATATGAGGGCGTCCCCTCAGCTCATTGGTTTCCCAGATCGTCCCTTAGACGACAGACGCCCAGGGCAGCCACTTAGGGATCCTCAGAGACGAGGAGGGGGCCCCACAAGGCCCAGGTGTGAGGGCCATGGTGTGCGATGCTCGACCCTAAGGCCTGGGAATAGAGGCAGAGGTGTCCCCTCCTGGCCCCACTGACGCTCTCCAAAATCGTGGGCCTGTTTCCTGACAAGTTTAATCAAGAAAGGACCTGAGGGAGCCACGGCCCTTTGTGCCCTATCGGAGACCAGATCCCTTCACCGCCACCCTCAGGTTGAACAGAAGCCCCTTAGAGCCAAGGACCCCTGAAATGAGAGGGCTGGTTGAGGCGTTAGAGGTGCCAGCCAGAAAAGGGACCAGGTCCTGGGACACTTCCCGCAACTTGCACAGTGCTAAACACGGGTCCCCCCACCCCACTCCCCCAGACCAGAACTGAGAGTATCAGTCACTATGTCACTATGGAAATGTAGGGCGTGGAGGAGCCTGCATTGTCCGCAGATAAAGCAGGCGGGAGGGCTGGGGTTAGGTGCGTGGGGAGAGCTTAGGTCCAGGAAGTCAGCGTAGAAGCAGAAGTCAGGGTTGCTCAGGCTGGTCCAGGTTGGCAGCAGGAAGTGCAGTGTGTGTGTGTGTGTGTGTGTGTGTGTGTGTGTGATGGGGGCGGGGCAGCCCTGGTTATCTCCCTGCGTGAGATTTAAGCCAAGATTTCGACAAATGCAATCTTTTCTGGCTGTAACAGAGGGACTTCCTTCATGCCACCCCCTCCTCCACCTCCCAGCCCTTCTAATTACATGGAGGACATCTCAGAGTTTTTCCGTCATCATAGCAACAGGTGTTTGTAGACAAAGTCCCGGGAGCTGCAGCCCTGTGGCTCCAAGCCAGCTGGGGGCACCTTGGTCATCCTCACCGCGGCCTCCCCTTTTCTTCCAGGCTCACTGGTTTCTCTGCCCCGCTTCCACCCCACCCCCACCCCCCCGCAGCCCTTGGTTCAGCACAGCACTTGCATAGTGGAGGACCCAAGGGCCTGTGCCCGACTACAGCTCCAGGTCCCCATCAGGAAAGAACGAGCAGGAGGACAGGGCCCCTCCCCCCAGCCCAGGGGAACTGCGACAGCAGGGGCAGAGGTGGGGTCCGCCTGTCTCCCAGCCGCTGGAGGACAGGCAGCCCGGGGAGAAGGGGCGTGGACAATGGGGATGCTAGGGAGCTGGCACCGGGAGGAGCATACACAGGCCCTCTGCGGGCCTTGGCCTTGATGCTGTCTGCTACCTCTTCTCCCACAGCGAGCTGGTGTTGTCAGCAACCCAATCTATTTTTCATTCCTGCCCGCCCTGCTGCTGATCCCCTGCCTGCTGTGGTGTTGCTGGCGGCTGTGTTGTCGGAGGGTGAGTGCCAGCTCCTGCCAGCCCCAGGGACCAGGCACATACCCCCATGACAGCCCCGTGAACCTGCCTCTGGCCAGTTTCCCATCCGCTCCACGGTCATCACAAGAGCCAATGGAGTCCCAGACCCTGTTCTCGCGCTGCTGCACCTGACACAGCCTGGCCTCCCTCAGGGTCTCCTGCCTCAGGCTGGTCCCAGGGGTTTGGTCTGGAACACCTGGGCTATGGCCCAACACCCACCCTCGTCCCTGGAGAGGGGACACCCGAGCCCCTGAGCCCAGGAGGTGACCTCTGTGGGTCCTCTGGGAAGGCCTTGGGCCCCAGATGGAGGGGGAGGCAGCCAGGGAGGATGAGGAGCCCCCAGGGGAGGTGGGGCCTGCTGGGCACAGCGCCACAGGCACGGGGTGCCAGTTGGACACCCCCAAGGCCACACCCTGTGCTGCTACCCCAAACCAGGCTCCCACCCAGTCCCATGCAGCCCCCGTTTGTATCTTTACCATTCTAGAAAGTCAAGGAGCCACTACCGCTGCCACCTCCAGAAAAGGTGAGTGTGGATTTGGTCTTGGTTCGTCCCCTGCCTGGGGAGGTCGGGGACCCTCACCCATGGCATCCTGAGGCCCCTGCTCACCATCTCCCACCCAAGGGTCAGAGAGGGGGAGGTCTCAGGGCCTGGGACACACAGGGACGTCCCCAGATGACTCCCTCCGTGCTCTCCCCATATTTGTCCACTCAGTCCAAAACATAGCAGATCGGCCAGCCCTGTGCCAGGCCCTGGGACAAAGACGCCCTGTCCCTGGATGCCAGGGGCTAACAGGCAAGGAGTACACGTTGGTGTTTCTGTTTCTAGGAGCCAGAAGAACTCCCGCCACCCCCACCGCCTCCACCCCCGCCACCGCCCCCCATAAACACCTGCCCCACCGTGATCGTCTCCTGCTGCGGATGCGGTTGCACCAGTGGCATAGAGGTGGGAGGCGCCGGGGGAGGGCCCAGCAGCACAGGGGCAGCGGGCAGGGCCATGCGGGCCCTGGACTAGGATCCCTCAGAGTTGGGGAAATCCCCCGGGCCCACCCAGGAGAGGGGCCCCGAGGATGCAAAGGAGCCCCGCCCCCACCCCAAGCCCATCTCAAACCAGGGATTCACCTGCGGCAGGGCCTAGCATGAAGACATGGGACTGACCTCAGTGTCACCGGGGATGTCCCCAGCTCGGGCAGTGGCTATGGTGTCCAGCTTGGGGCCTGCAGGTGCATAAGTAAGAGAAGCCACACAATGCAGGGATGCACAGAAGAGCCCCACTGCCCTCTGCCCAGCGCGATGCTCCCCAGAAAGGCCGGGCCCAGCCAGCCCTGGCTGTGGGCTCCATGGGCTGGGGGGAAACAGCTGTCCCTGGCCGTGCTGCCTGCTGAGTGGGGGGCACTGAACTGGCCCAGGAGGGGACACGGGACCCTCAGGGGCCATCATGAGCTCCCACACAGCAGGCTGTGCCCGGGGATGGACACACGGCAATTGGTGTGAAAGCCGCTGCCTCCCACAAGTCCCTGGGTCCATTCTCGGGAGGCAGAGACTGGCCAGGCAGCAGCCTGGGGTCCCAGGAAAGGATGGAGGGACCCCCCAGTGGCCAGCTTTGGCAGGAAGACCCCAGGACCAGCTCTGACTGGGGTGGGGATCCTCGCGTTCTCCTGCGAGCTCCCGGCTTCTCTGCAGCCTCAGAGGGCAGCTGTGAGGCCGCCCTCCCTGTCCCCTGACCGTGCTGGACACAGAGCAGCCCGGCCACGCCCTCCAGGGAAGGAAGCCGACCACTGCTCAGGCCTATCAGCCTGCAGGGCGCGGCCCTGCCCAGGAGGAGGCTGCAGCCTGGTCCCAGGATTCTGGAGGTGGGGTCCGTGCTCAGGGCCTTGCTCACGGCCATGTCTGCTTTTCAGGGCACCGTGGACGGCTTCTGCAACTACATCCAGCCCAGCTGCCACTCTTCACCGATAATGTGGTGCCGGGCCAGGGGCCAGGTGAGCCGGGCTCAGGGACGCTCCCCGGGAGCACACAAATGCCACTGCTTTTGCCCTTGACACTGCCCTCTGGGACCATGGCTCAGAGCCATGGTGGGCAAGTGCCAAGAGGAATGTCCTGGACACAGAGCTGACAGCTTCTGCACATGGCCTCTATATGTGTCCATGGCTCATCCCTTGGGGCAGCAGTCTGGGGACATGATTGTAGCTGCTGTGTGGCCAGCACTGACCAGCCCACCTGGTAGGGGATATTCCTCTTTTGTCACCTCCCGGTGGCTGTAAGGAGAAGCCACAGTGTTGGGATTTTCCTCCTGGGGATCTCCCAGCCCTCCTGTGGGTCAGCTGCTGGCCTATGCAGCATCCCTGTGGTCACCTAATTCCCTTCTCGGAAAGCTGCCAACAGGTGCTGCTGTTTTCCTGGTCTACCAGGAAAGAGAAAGCAAAGAGAGGGTGACTTGTCTCAGGTCACAAAGCTGGACTTGAACTCTAACTTGGCTCCTGCCCTTCCCACTGCCTGGCCGCCCATCAGGTCATCCTGGTGACCTCACGAAGGGTCCCCCAAACCTCTCAAGGCTTCCCCTTCCTGATGTCGGTCCCTGAGAGTCCTCTCAGCAGTCATCTGCCTGGGGTTTCTCACACTCCGTGCAAACAGACCCAGGAACCTGGGTGACTCTTAGTTCCAGGGTCTGTGTGAGGCTGCATTCCCTGAGTCAAGCCCACCTCAGTGGCTGATGGAGAAGACTTTTGGAAGGGCTATGCAGGCTGGGAGCTCTTAGACATTGCCTGAGCTGATTCAAGGCTCTGTGTCAATAAACAAGGCTCTCTGGCCTGACCGTGCTTGCCCCTTGTCCATCTGATTTCCCAGGGGCCTTTCCCCATTGCTATTGCCCAACTAGTTCCTGGGCAGCACCCCAGCCTGATGGCTCTGAACAGAGGAAATTCACACCTATGGATTCACTCAGGTCTGGGAAGAACAGAACTAAATGAAGGGGTTGAACATGGGACACGGCATGCAGAGACCAGAGGATGGGCATGGGAGAAAGCCAAAATTCCTTATTGCCCAGCAAGATGAGGGCAAGGGGTTGAGTGACTACAATGGTCCCTTCCCACCTTTTTTTGATCTAAGATTTGGAGCAGGGTGGCAGGGTCATCACATGATGGACGGCACTTGCAGCCACCCAGGCCCCTGTCCTGAAGTCGTGCTTATAGGAGTGGCCACTCCTATATCAGTGACAGCAAAACTAGGGCCACGAGAGATCCAGGAGGTTGTCCAAGGCCAGTCAGAGGGTACGCAGCAGTGTCGAGGATTATGTGAAATCAACCCCAAATCTTTCCTGAACCCTGGGAGGCCTGAAACTGTGCCCATACATCTGGGCTCCCCTCCAGCTCCTCTGCTGCCATCTAACTTGACCCTGTGCCTCCCAATCATAGTCCCGAGGTCCTTACTGGGTATTCTGTAAGATTCATGTTGGGTGCCCAAGCCCTGAGTCAGACTGGCAGGAGCTCAGGTCATTCCTCTCTGTGTCGTCAGTGTACTGGTCTGAGGGCTTGGAGTGAGCCGAGCGCTGGAGGGGATGGGTGTCACCTGGGCCCTTCAGCCCCCTGCAGAGGGCTCAGAGATTCTTCCGTTTGATCTCATTGGCTGTTGAGGCACTCAACTAGACTTTTTATTTTATTTATTGAATTCTTTAGCTCCAGAATTTCTGTTTTGTCCTTTTTATGATCTCTCTTTGTTGAATTTCTCATTCATGTTATGAATTGCCTCTGATGCCATTGAATTGTCTGTGTGTGTTTTCTTGTATCTCATTGATTTTCATTAAAATCATTACTTTGAATTCCTTTTAGGGAAATCCATTGATTTCCTTTCCTTTGGAGGTCTGTTACTAGATATTTCATTCCTTTGGAAATAGCATATTGCCTATTTTCCATGTTCCTTGTGTCCCTACTTTGACGTTTTCTCATCTGATGGGTTGGGTGCCTCTGCCTATTTTACGGAGTAGCTTTTATAGTAAGAGATTTTCTCTTGGTGATATGTCCTAGGGTGTCAGGTCTGTAAGCTGTGTTGGCTTTGGCTCCAGGTAGATGCTTTAAGGTAGCAAGCATCTTTGTAGCTCCCTCAGCTTTGATCGACATTAGCAATGCCTGTGGGTGACTCGTGACCTGGGCCGTAGGGGTTCTGGGGTGGCCGGCTGGGATACACCCTCTTAGACTGGCAGCTCTGGACATGGTACTTCTGGCCATATGAATGGAGCACCCTTCAGTTTCCAAGGGTCGTAGAGGGGTAGGGAAGCTCCAGGCAAGCCTGGTGGGTCTGGCACAGCACTGCCAGCAGTGGTGCAGAACACATGTCAGTGCCTGAGGGTCAGGCAGGTCCCAAGCCATACCAGGGGACCAGTAGGGCACGTTTCCATGTTCCAGGGCTGCACAGGTGACTTCACAGGCCCTCCATGGGTTAGCTGCTCGGGGCAAGGTGCCCCGCTGCTTCCTGGGGCCAAGCATCAGTAAGCAGGATCCTATCCTCGTCTCAGAGCCCCGCAGTGGGCTAACCTGGGATCATTGTGGGGATGGTAGGGGAGTTGCCTGAGCACTTTCCAGGGCCCCAGTAGGCCAAGAGTCATCATTATACAATAACCCAGATGCCTCTCAGGGCCGCAGGAGGGCGAGCAGGACTTCCTAGATGCTCCCCAGGCCCTCAGTTGGCTGCACTTTTCAGGACAGGTTGCCCGTTGCTTTATATATATACCATGAGAGAGAGAGAGAAGAGAGAAAGGTCTTCCTTCCATTGGTTCACCCCCCAAATGGTCGCTACGGCCGGCGCTGCGCCAATCCGAAGCCAGGAGCCAGGTGCTTCCTCCTGGTCTTTCATGTGGGTGCAGGTGCCCAAGCACTTGGGCCATCCTCCACTGCCTTCCTGGGCCACAGCAGAGAGCTAGACTGGAAGAGGGGCAACCGGGACAGAATCCAGCACCCCAACCGGTACTAGAACCCAGGGTGCTGGCGCTACAGGCGGAGGATTAGCCTAGTGAGCCACAGCGATGCCCACTGCTTCTTGAGGCTTCAGGAAGATGGGCAGTGCCTCTCAGGACAGGCTGCCCGGCTGTTCCCTTGGGCTGAGGGCAGGTAGGTGGGGCTACTCATGGTAAGGAATCTATGAAAAAGAAAAGGAGCAAGGGAAGATTAGCCTTTAACACATTAAGCTCTAAAGATTAAAACAATAGGCCCATTAAAATGATGGCTCCATATCCACAAACACCATCCAGAATACATAGATTATATATTGGATGATGATAGTCCTTGGGGAACCTATAGATGTTTACTGATTGTTTAACAAATCATTTTGTGAAATTTGGGAAAGGCACATACCAAAAATAAAGCCCAAATAGTCTTTAAAAAGTTAAACAGGTAAAAATTGCACTAAAAATAACTAAATATTTGATCTCAGTATAGGGGTCTAGATAAACACAAGGGCTACTGGCCTTGTAATGCGCCAGGTTAAGCCACCGCTTACAATGCTGGCATTCCATATGAGCACATTGGTTCAAGTCCTGGCTCATCTGCTGCTGATCCAGCTTCCTGTTAATTTACCTGGGAAGGCAGCAGACAATCGCCCAGTGCTTGGGCCTCTGCCACCTACACGGGAGACTGGGATGCAGTTCCAGGTTCCTGGCTTCAGCTCAGCCTAGCCACAACCATTATGGCCATTTGGGACTGAACCAGGGGATGGAAGATGGCTCTCTATCTCTGTTCTCTCTCTGTGTCATTTTGCCTTTCAAATAAATAAGTAAATCTTTTCTAGATAAAATAGATCCACATAGGGGCTGGCGCTGTGACACAGTGGGTAAAGCCACTACCTGTGGTGCTGGCATCCCATACGGGCACTGGTCAAGTCCTAGCTGCTCCACTTCCCATCCAGCTCCCTGCTAATGAACCTGGGAAAACAGCAGAAGATGGCCCAAGTCCTTGGGCCCCTGCATGCACGTGGGAGACCTGGAAGAAGCTCCTGGCTCCTGGCTTTGGATCAGCGCAGCTCTGGCCACTGTGGCCATTTGGGTTATGAACCAGCAGATATGCCATAACTCTGCCTTTCAAATAAATATAAAAAAAGCATGAAAGCAGTGGAAGGAATTCACAATGGAAAATATTCATGGACTTAATCTTATCCATATATTCAGCAAAGATTTATTGCATGTCAGAGACTGGGGAGACAAAGTGAGCTAGAAGAAGAATTTCCCATTGTCATGCCAGGACTTGCATTTCCTGCAGAGGTCAGCCGGTGACAAATGCTGTCCAGACACTATGCCAGCAAATGCCCGACTCTCTGGAGGCAGACACGTCAGCGGAAAGTGAACTGAAGATAAGGAGGCAGCGGAGAGAAAATCAAGGGACCCTTCCATTAGGAAGCAGCCAGAAGAGTGCCCTGAAGTGGCTTGCACTTGATGAAGCAGAAGTCAGGAAATCTCTTCCTGCCTCCGTCAACCCAGCTGTCAATCTGCACTTGCTGCGGCTCCGCGTCGCATGAATGGGGAGGAGGGGGCAGTTGTCAGGCGCAGGCTTCCCAGCAGCAGTGTCTTACATCCGGGTCCCCAGGCGCAGGATTCTCCACCCATGGTGAATGAATGGTCGGACGAAGGAAGAATGTGGAGCTCTGCAAGTCGGACGCGGGCCTGTGAGTACACTCTCGGTCTTCTCCCTGACACAAGGAGGCATTTCAGGTCTGCAGGGTGTGAAGGCACAGGAGTCAGTGTTGGAAAAGGAGCGGCCCCTTTGGCATTCTTCAAGGGCGTGCGCAGAACAACTTGGCTCAGCAAGGTTGAGCGGCTTCATCCTTCCCGTCTCGACATTCAGGATGAAATGGCACCCCACGACCCGAAGCATGCACCTGTAAAGAATGTCAGGCAATCTGGGAAAGCAGTGGAAGATGGCCCAAGTCCCTGGGCCCCTGCACCCACGTGGGAGACCTGGAAGAAGCTCCTGGCTCCTGGCTTCAGATCGGCACAGCTCCAGCCACTGCAGCCATCTGGGGAGTGAACCAGCGGATGGAAGACCTCTCTCTCTCTCTCTCTGCTTCTCCTCTGTATAATTGACTTTCAAGTAAATAAATAAATCTTAAAAAAAAAAAAAATAATGCTAGGCCATGCTGTGGTGAAGCTTAAGGGAGTGGTCAGGTGAGCCTGTGTGTCCAGGTGAACAGGAATTCCTGGAGCCCAGTCTAGCCCACCTGCCAACAGCCTGCACCTGGGGGCCGTTGTCAGCGTGGGAACAGGTGATCCTGGCTGCTCAGTTGTCTGGGATGAGAAGAAAGGAACAGCAGAGCGAGGACTCTCCCTTGTGAACACAATGCCGGTCTCCTCTTAGTGCGTAGTGGAAACACACTTATAGATGGGGAGGCCAGCATTTGTCCCCCTGCCCCCATCTGGGAAAAGCAGCTGTCTGCCATGTCCTCCTCCTCAGCCCCCCTCCCCACACGTGGAAAGATGGCCAGCCTAGCCCTCCCCCCAGGAGAGGCAGGGTCCTCAAGGGGTTGACCCTACGAAGCAAAGAAGAAAGCACCCAGCATCGAAAAAGAAGGAGGTGTTCTGGGAATGGAGGAAAACAAACATCAGGGAGGAGGAGCCTGAAGTTAGAGTGTTTCTGGATGCGATGCGTGTCTCCCCTGGAGGCCACCTCGATTCCAATCTGGGTGGAAGGCAGGCTAGGGTGAATGGGCAGCAGTCAGCAAGTCCCAGGAAGCTGGGTGCCGCTGGCCTGCTGCCTGCCTCCAATGGCACTGGCAGAGACACAAGTTTGATGGCCCCAGCCACTCCTGCCTGTTGACCAAGAGGCTCAGGGGCTCAGAGAAGGCGCCTGCGGCTCACTAGGCTAATCCTCCACCTTGGGGCGCCGGCACACCGGGTTCTAGTCCCGGTCGGGGCACTGCATTCTGTCCCGGTTGCCCCTCTTCCAGGCCAGCTCTCTGCTGTGGCCAGGGAGTGCAGTGGAGGATGGCCCAAGTGCTTGGGCCCTGTACCCCATGGGAGACCAGGAAAAGCACCTGGCTCCTGCCATCGGATCAGCGCGGTGCGTCGGCCACAGCGCGCTGGCCGCGGCGGCCATTGGAGGATGAACCAACGGCGAAAGGAAGACCTTTCTCTCTGTCTCTCTCTCTCACTGTCCACTCTGCCTGTCAAAAAAAAAAAAAAAAAGTGAAAGTAACAGCTTCTTGCAGGGCCAGTGCTGGTTCATGTCCCACGGCTCACTTGCAATTCAGCTCTCTGCTGTTGTGCCTGGGACGGCAGCAGAAGATGGCTCAAGTGTTTGGATCCCTGCACCTACACCGGAAACCCAGATGAAGCTCCTGGCTTCGGTCTGGCTCAGCCCTGCCTGGCCATTGCAGGCATTTAGGGTGTGAACCAGAAGATGGGAGATCTCTCACACTGTAACTCTGCCTTTCAAATAAATACATCCATCTTAAAAAAAATACCTCCATCTTAACAAGGACACCACATCTCCCTGGTGACTTCTGGCAAAATTTTTAGTTAACAAATCAATATTCTAAGAAAACATTATTTTAGCATAGTGGTCTGGATCTGGTTTTGAATCGGGGTCTTTTCGCTCAGCTTTTAGAAGGAAACTAACTACAGACAGCCTGATCACATTTTTACAAGATGTACTTTCCCTGAACTTTCAGAGACCTCCAGCAGTCTGCACGGCTCTGCAGACCTCACACCCCGGGCTCCAGTCTTGAGCTGGCACTGTGCATCTTTGCTTCCTTTCCAGAACAAGCCAATCACTGATCGAACAAAAATCCTATACTACTGCACAAATATTTTTCACACAAAAATAATTCTTTTTATCTTCCTTGGTTACCAAAAATAACATCCTTTTTTTAAAAGATTTATTTTATTTATTTGAAAGACAGAGTTACAGAGAGAGGTGGAGACAGAGAGAGAGAGGTCTTCCATCTGATGGTTCACTCCCCAGATGGCCGCAATGGCCAGAGCTGCGCCAATCTGAAGCCAGGAGCCAGGAGCTTCTTCCAGGTCACCCACCCGGGTGCAGGGGCCCAAGGACTTGGGCCATCTTCTACTGCTCTCCCAGGCCATAGCAGAGAGCTGGATCGGAAGTAGAGCAGCTGGGTCTCGAACCGGTGCCCATATGGGATGCTGGTGCTACAGGCCAGGGCATTAACCTGCTGTGCCACAGCACCAGCCCCCAAAAATAACAACGTTATAACTTCCTTCAAGTCCTTGTCTCACCCCCTTACTGTTCTTTTCTTCCTTTGTTTCTGCTTTCCTTCTAAAGCTACATTTGGAAATAATCCTTAAATAACTTTAGAATTAGACAAAATTAATTTCTTAGTAAAATAACACACTTGATGTCTTTCTTGCAGTTTTTTGAATCAAAACACATCTTAAGTTTCTTCCTGTACCCATTGCATATAGAAATACATAGATGAATTAGAATTTTTTTAACTCTTAGTAACCCTAATTTTAGAGCACATACCAGCATTTTAGATGCAGAGATGTGCCTGCTCATAGAGCAATTTTTCAATATACTAAAGTACATATTTATTAGTAGACCCAAATACATAGTTTTTCTGTAGAATTTACATATCCAAGAGCACTCAAATATATTTAGCCTCTGTGTTTTGGTATTTTAATTTATTCAGTAATGGCTCAGACATTTCATTGAATTTTTTTTTTATTTTACTTATTTACTTGAAAGGCAGAGTTACAGACAGAGAGAGGGAGAGACAGAAAGGTCTTCCATCAGCTGGTTCACTCCTCAAATCGCAGGAGCTGGGCCAATCCAAAGCCAGGAGCCAGGAGCTTCTTCCAGGTCTCCCACATGGGTGCAGGGGCCCAAGCACTTGGACCATGTTCTGCTGCTTTCCCAGGCCATAGCAGAGAGCTGGATTGGAAATGAAACAGGCAGGACCCAAACCAGGGCCCCTATGGGATGCTGGCACTGCAGGCAGCCACTTAACCCACCACGCCACAACGCGGGCCCCAAAGTCAATTCTTTACCAAAGATTGACTTGAGCTACAGTCACTGATGCTTGAATTTTAGCAAACTGGCTGAATTATATAAGGAAAAAAAACCTCCAGGCAGCTTTGACTGTCTTTTGCTGTCTGGTCTGATCTGCCTGACTTAATGCGTGTGGGCAGGGAAAGTCCTCCAGGGGAGCAGATTTTCAAAGGCGTTTGCTGTTTTCTGTCTTTTCTACACCTGTGAGGCAGAGCAAGCCGTCTCCGTGTCAGACAGAATGACCTTTTGCTATTGCTCTGAGCTCAAGATTTTAATCAAAGTATAAGGATGGTTGTTTAACAAGGAGACGCCCTGATTCTAGGACCTACCTTTTAGAAACGCTATGTAGTTCTTTCTTTTTAAGTTATTAACCTTTTACTCCAGTTCCTTGTCAGTCTAAGCAATTGGTTGCCAGGCAGACTTACATTTCTGTTTCTTAAACAGATGGCTCTTTGAGTGCCTAGGTTGCTGGTGGCCCTGGAGATGCTCTCGTAAAGCCATGAATCTTGAATGCATTTTCTTTTCTTTTCTGGGCTAGAACGTCAGAATAAAAGCAGTTTTCAAGTGGGCTTTGCAAGCAGCCACAGTCTATTCCTGGTTTTCATGTTGGTTTGTTTTATACAGACTATTGCAGCAGAATTTTATTTTATTTATTTTTAACATTTATTTATTTATTTGAAAGGCAGAGTTACAGAGAGGCAGAGGCAGAGGCAGAGAGAGAGAGAGAGAGAAAGTCTTCCATCTGCTGGTTCACTACCCAGATGGCCACAATGGTCAGAGCTGCACCAATCTGAAACCAGGAGCCAGGAGCTTCCTTGGGTCTCCCACGTGGGTGCAGGGGCCCAAGGACTTAGGCCATCTTCTACTGCTTTCCCAGGGCATAGCAGAGAGCTAGATCAGAAGTGGAGCAGCCAGGACTCAAACTGGTACCCATATGGCATGCCGGTACTGCAGGCAACAGCTTTACCTGCTACACCACAGCGCCGGCCCCGCACTTGATATTAATTTGATGGTCAGTTCATGGAAAATGAAATTAAATGGTAGCTTGTTGTAGTGCAAAAGAATTTTGAAACCCATGTGTGCAAAGGATCTTGTAAAAGTTCATGGAAAATGTACACCATGAAAAAAAATACATAGATTTCAAAAATTCTTGCACCACATTTAATTCCATTTTTTCCATGATATTTTGGGAATATCTCTGAGTAAGCAGAAAAGTCTGCAGAGTAGGGGGGCGAAGGGGAAGAGAAATTGAGAAGTCACAGCCTCTACAATGCCAGTGTGCCTCTCAGGTTGTGAAACTCTATGGCTGTGGTTTAAGAATGTCTTCTTGGTACGCTTTCTCCAGCGCTCTGAAGGTGTGCGTGAGCATGAGCCATCCTGTAGGCAGCTGGAAATCCCAGAGAGGGAGCTTTTTGCATGCTCTGGAATCTGGAGGTCCTGTTTTGTTTATAAGCAAAAGGAGAAAAAAAAATCCTCTGAGCATGTGAATGAATCATGAGGGTTTGAGCCAGGTGTGAGGCTTTGACAGGTGTACCTGGCAGAGGTTCCTTTGTGCACTTGCTGGACAGCCTTGGCCCTAGTAAGTCTGCCCTGTGACCGAGGTGTCCCCAGCTGCTAAGAAATTGCCCAGCAGGTGCCTGAGTGGTGACCCACGTATCCTTCCCAAAGGAGACTTCCTCTGCCCACATCAGAGGCCCCCGTGGATGGTCACGACTACCCTCAGGGCCTCTCAGTGGCCACCCCACGTTTATACTGGCTGTTGGGAAAAGTCCAGAAACAAGGAGAGAGCCAAATCATGCATGGATGCGCGGAATCAAAGCAAACCAAGGGCGCTCACAGAGCAAGAGGCGTGCAGAGCAAGAGGGAACTCACCAGGGAGATGTGGTGTCCTCGTAGACAGAATGCGAGCTCTCAGAACACTCAGACCAGAAGGATGCCTGCTCTCGGATCAGGAAGGGTTGAAGAGGGATGCCGGGTCTTTTATGCCAGGGGGTCCTACGCAAAACAGATCCCAAATGGAATCAGCAGGGAGCCTGTATCCAACAAAGGAGAAAAGAGGATCCTAGCCAGGGCGGAAAAACACTGAGCCATGGAGACAGCACAGAGGGTTCCACGTGGCCACCACCTGGGTGTCCTCCGAGGGTGATGTCACTTCAGACAGCAGAGAGCTGGACCCGAATACTAGCAAGAAGGGAGCTCTCCGGAGACATCAGGTGCATTCCAGAGCAGCCGAGCGTTGCCATGGGGACAGACAGGCCACAGGCAGCTAAGAGTGTGTGAGGAGGGGACCCACAGGGCAAAAGGAACATGAGGCAGACCACACAAGTTGAAGCAACGATCCTTGGCCACAACGATTGACAGCGAGGCTGTTCAAGGATCGGTAACAAGGCTGACGTGAGCCCAGAGCGGAACAGATCAGTAATGGCTACTAGCTATCCTCACAGAAGGACAGAAGTTGCCAGCGTCTCCAGAGCTTTGAGGTCTTTCACTCTGTGCAGGGCCATGGCCGGCACAATCTTCTATAATAATTGTCAGGTGTATGCACGCAACAGCCGTCACTCACAGCCTTCTGGCTCTGTTTATTTTGTTGTATTTTTTGGTAGGGCTTGACGTGAGTGACTCCATTTTGATTGGGATTTGATTGGACTCCCAAGGACCTTCACCAAGGCCCACCCGGCGGATCCTGACCCCGACCCCTTTGAGCCAGACAGCAGGAGGCTTCTGGTGCAATTGATTCCCTCGGGATCTCGGTGACCACCTCTCTCTCCTCTTCCCCGCAGGCAAGGTGCACCAACTTGGCCCTGGTGAACAGTCGATGCGCACAGGCCCCCTGCAGCCCGAAAGTCTGCCTTCGACCCAGTAGGGAGTGCTTTCACGTCCCCACGCCGTGCGACCCACAGATCTGTCTCCAGCCCAGCCAGGAGTGCTTCCCTATCCCACAGGCACCGTGTGGCTCCAGGATCTGCCTCCAGCCCACCCAGGAGTGTGTATCCCTCCCACAGGTACCTTGCGGCCCCAGGATCTGCCTTCAACCCAACCTGGAGAGCCTGTCCTCCATCTGCCATCCCCAGTGCTACGGCCTCCCTGCCAGGTACTCCGTGTCTTCCTCCAGGATACTGCCACTGCTCTCTCCCAGGAACCGGCAATCCCTCTATAGACACCAGCCCCGTTGTCCAACCTCTAAATGACCCAAAACCCAAGATTAAGAGGCCTCTATTTGCATATGCATTGAGCCTTGGTTTGTAGTCAAAAAACGGGTGGGCTTTGTTGCTAACCTACAAGGGTCTGTTGCCTGGATGGATGCCCCACGATACAAGATGTATTTATACGGTAGTGTGTGGATGCTAGGCACGGACCAGTGTCACTCCCGGCAGCTCTGTCCCCAAGGCCTGGGACACATGGGGACATGTGCCAAGTTCTATAAGAAAGAGAGCCCAACAGGTCTTTGAAACATCAACACAATGCAGTGTCTCCTTCCCTAATTTTTGCCAAAAGGAAACCTTGAGCCCCTCAGGCTTCTTGGGAGGCCTCCGTGTCCCCGGTTCCCATCTTGGACACCCAGATTCCAAGTGTGTTGGAGAAGGAAGGGAGGGCCCTTCAGGAAGGCAGACTTCTCTCTCCTGCACCCCCAAGTGCAGGGGAAACCTCGGGCTCCTGTCCACTTCCCCGGAGAAGGTCAACCCACTGTGTGCCCTTTGCCACCACTAAAGCAGCCAAGGCTCCCACAGGGATGAGTGTCACATGCGTGTGTGACCCAGGCCTGTGTGTGTGACCCAGACACCTGACACAGCACGGTCCCTGGTGGCCACAGCCCAGGCTGCCTGGTCATCCCTAACCTACCTTGAGAGTAAATGAGACGGCCCTCCACCTTCCCCGTGTCCTTGAAGCCTACATGTATGCAAGGCACCGGTAGGTAGAAATACCCACCAGACTTCTGGTTTTTAATCAGTATCAGTCGAATTGGTTGGACAGTGATGAACACGCTGTTCCCTGGGTTCCCAAAGGAAGTCTCTTTGGCCCAAGAACCAGACTTGAGAGGACTTAAGGAGTGCACCTGCTGGGAGGGAGGGGACAAAGGCAGGACCCAGGCTGAGCAGAGTCACAGGTTCAGGTAGGGCCCTAGGGGGCATCTCAGGTGAACCGGAGGAGGAATGAACGGTTTGGGGGTGAAGAGCTTTCTTCAGCAAGAAAAGCTGCTTGTCCTGGGGTTCTGAAACTTCCTCAACCCAGGGACCCCACAGAGAGGGGTGGAGGTGGCTCGCTCACTCTCTCTCTCTCTCTCTCTCGCTGCATCTGCTTCCTTCTCTCCCCGCTCTGCCCTTCTGTGCACTTAGCTGCCTGCCACCCTACAGTCCCCAAGTGCTCGTCCTCTGCCCAGACAAGCCGCAGAGGTGAGTGGACTGCTTCCCAGGGCCACATAGACTCGGGAAGGATTCTGGCTGGTTAAGGTGGTCATACCTGGTGTGCCCACCGTAGTCATTTCACGCAAACACGGCTGCGATTGGTCCCAGCGGGTAGCATGGGGAACAGTAGCAAGGATGTGGCTGTGGGCTGAGCAGGCACCCCCAACAGCGCTGTCTTCACATGTAGATGGAAATCTCCCTCTATCTCTCTATATATAACTCTGACTTTCAAATAAATAACTAAATCTTTAAAAAAGATTAAAGAAAGAAAGGAGACTTCAAGTTCAAGGTCAAGGCTGGTTTCCTCTGTGGCTTGCAGATGGCAACCTTCCCCTTGCCTCCTCCCATGGTCTTCCCTCTGTGTGCACCTGTGTCCTGCCCTCTCCCTATAAGGACAAAGTCCTGTAGAGATTGGGCCACCATCATGCCCTTCTTTAACCCCGTCACCTCGCTAAAGCCCCCACCTTCAGCTCTGTCCCACCGGGAGGCACTGGTGACACAGGACAAACACAATCCCTGGCAGCCCCGCCTTTCACAGTGACACTTCCCATGGTGGGTTCCAGGGGACGGCGGCACGCCCTGGAGAGATTTGAACAAGGTAAGTCCACAAGAAGCTTCTGCTGGACTCTTGCTACTGGGGCAGTTAGGCAGCCACAGGCAGGTCCCCTCCCACTGGCGGCGAGGTTTGCATGACGTTTCCTGCACAGCTCCTGAGTGGCAGCTCCCAGGCGAGGAGCTCGGGCTTTTGATGCAGCACTGGCCCAGGACGAGCTGCAGGATCTTGAAGGCACCTGGAGACACATCAACTCCTTAGGCAGATGAGGAGCCGTGGCAGGTGTCCTCACAGTTCCGGGAGCGCTGGTCCCAGGCCCCTGAGCCACTCAGGCCAGTATGCCAGCGTCTCAGCTCTCCAGCCCATAGTGGCCGGGGACTCTCAGATCCCAGCAAGGACTCCCTGTGACCTTGGGCATTAGGGTATTAGGGCCGCGGCCTCTGAGGCCTGGAGATAGAGATGAGAAGGGGCTTGTTATTCCAGGAGGGGGCGCTCAGAGCTCACATTTGTTTACCGATGATCACAGCCTTGTGGAAGGAATAGAACTGACTTGTGTTTCACCGTCTGGTCTGGCTTCATTCCCACTGTGTGTCCGCATCTGCCGTTGCCACCTGTGGGACTCACACATTCCTGTCTGGAGCCTGAAGATGTTTCTTTAACACATGAGAGAACGGAAGAGCATCTGGGAGGGGCACACGCCCCCAGAGAGCGCGTTACCCACCCACAGGCCTCCCCCAGCAGCTTCCTGCTCTGAGCCGAGCCCCCAGCCCCTCTGCAGCCTCTTAGCCTCTGGGGCCGGTGTGGTCAGGTACCGTGGAAGAGACCTGTCACTTGTCTGCACCGTGCTCTCCCCCACCCCCGCCCCCATCATTCTTCTCCCCCACACTCGCTCACGGCGGACTTGGACAGTAGCTGACACATTCTGCAGCCCATGGCCAAGATCAACCAGGGAGCCTCAGGACCCAGCCAGCACTGTGGCCTTCGTGGCTCCTTGTTGCTCCCTTCCCTGAACCTGTCACTCCCAAACTCACTATGGGGATCTCTCTCTCCCCTGACTCTCCTACCAGTACTGTGGAGGCTACCACCTCGCCTGACTCATCACTCCCACACCCACTATTTGCTCAGCCTTCTCAGGGAACCCTCGCCAACCTGGCCCCCAGAGGAAACCTGGCCAGGTGCATGGGGCCGGGTGTGCCCATCCTGGGTTACTAAGTGCTCCCGGGCAGGTTGGCACCCATGGATGTTAATGCTCAACACCCTTCAACCGAAGTCTCAGTGCTCAGCACGGCTTGTTAATGCAAAGTTCAGCTTTATTTATTTATTTATTTATTTTTAATAAATGTTAGAGGAGGAGACTCGAAGCCAGGATAGCCATGGCTGTAGAACCTTAGAGACGTGAGAGCAGGCCTGATGCCTGAAGGGTTAACAGGCTTTGCTCAGGGTGGGGCTAGGAGGCGAGGCCTCAGAAGCTGCAGTGGGCAATACAGCAGCCCCACGCAACAGGAGCAACAGGACAGAGGGCCACCCCCTCTCTCTGTCTGGAATTCTGCCTGCCTCTCGAGTAAATAAATACATCTTTAAAAAAAATAGCAAGGGAGGAGTTTACATAAGCTTCTTGGATTCAAAGTGCATTGGCCTTGGAGACCAGACACGGAGTGTGCACAGCGCAGATCGCGTGTACGAAGGAACTACAAGATGTTCCCGGAAAAAGTGGATCAATTTATTTTGGTGCAAAAAAAAAAAAAAAAAGTAAAATCCTTGCACATGAGGGAGTCTTCAAACATTAATGGAAAATGTATATTATGAGAAAAAAAATCTATGCATGGATTTCAATTTTGGGTGGGATAAACATCTTTATTTCCATCTTTTTGAAATTATTTACTTGAAAGGCAGAGTTAGAGATAGAGACAAAGAGAGACCTTCTATTCCCTGACTCACTCTCCAAATGGTCACATGACCAGGGCTGGGCCAGGTGGGAGCCAGGAGCCAGGAGCTTCATCCAGGTCTCCTATGTGGGTAGCAGGGGCCCAAGGACTTGGGCCATCCTCCACTACTTTTCCAGACGCATTAGCAGAGATCAGAAGTGGGGGCATCTGGCCCCCACCCACAGGGCCCCCTGGGGAGTCAGGAGACCCAAAGACCTGCAACAGGACCGGCAGTGACTGTAGGTTGACCCAGTGATGGATGGACTGACAGCATCCCACGGTGCCCTGCACCTGGCTTCTCTGGGTGCCTGCATTCCCAGGGTGTGGCTGCCTCCCAGCCTCCACTTCCTGGCCCCGCTCCATCCCCACCCACCCCAGCCACTCTTGCAGAGGGAGCAGGCTGTGAACACTGCGTACTGTGGAGCAGAGAGCACTGGGCCCAGGACTTGTCTCGGGGGACAGTTCTCAGCTGCATTGACCTAAAGCGCCGCGGGAGCGAAACTCCACAGAGCAGTTAACGCCGGCGGGGCCCCAGCAGCCCGGTGAAGCAACACCATAGAGCATGAACGGCTCCTTCAAAGAGATGTGGACAGCGGGGAATGCTCCAGGCGCCTGGGAAGAGGCTTCTGCCCCTGGAGAAGCATTTTTTGTTGAGGTCGTGGTGCCCTTGTGCAGGGTTGTGGTTAGCAGGTTCTGCTGTGGACTCACTGTCAAGGCCCTGGGCGGGAGGACCCTTCGTGACCTCCCAAGGGCTGGCTTCCTCCTCCCTCCCTCCTTCCCTCCCTTCCTCATTTTCTTCTTTCTTTCTTTCACTTGACACAAGCCATTCTATTTCTATTCCGACAATTTTCACCCCTGCAAGAATTTGATTTTTGATTTGCATTTTAAAAAAATCACCCTATCATGGGCCTGGATTTCACTTGGGGGCTACAGGACCCCTGAGGGTATATGTGTGTGTGTGTGGGTGTGTGTGTGTGTGCAGCTGTGGGTCAGGCCTGCATGGCCCAGATCTCCCCCAGCTCTCTCCACCCTGTGGCTCTGGGCACCCTGCCTCCAGCCTTGGCTCCCCTCAGCTGCAGTAGCAGGTGTTGAACAAGCAATGGGCCACGTTGGGTGCTCCTGGGTCCCTACCCCCACACCTACCTAGTCTGTGGGTGGAATTGTCTCTTATGACCCACTTTCCACACCAGCCCCCTCCCATCATGTGACAGGTAAGAGTACCATGGGAGATAACAAAGGAGTAGCCAGGAGTGGAAAGCAAGGAACGAGGGGATGACCCGGGCTGGGGGGGACCCCCGGATAGGGAAGGGGACGAGCGGCCAACAGGAGCACCCCTCTGTTATGGTGACAGCAGCTGCCCTCCCACAGGAGCCACCTGGGGAAGGGGAGGCGTGGGAAGAGCCACCGGGGATCAACCATCCAGGCTGGGGTCCAGGGTGGGCAGACTCTCCTGCCCCAGGCAAAGGGTGAGCTCTCCCTCGGGGTCCAGTGAAGAGCAGGAGACACGGGGGACCCAGGAGTGGCCTTTGTACAAATTCTCTAAGCACCAGAGCTGCTGCGTGTGTCTTATTCCCTGGGACATGGAACTCATCCCTGCCTCTTAGTGCTGCAGCCAGGAATCACAGGGACAGGGAGGTCCCGCACACGGCAACGGCGACGCCACAGCTGCGTCACCACCCCATGGCGCCGTGCACTACGTGGAAACCACGCCGTCAAGGACAGAACAGAGGCGTGGTTCTGCTTTTACGTGCTTGAGGTCTCGCAAACGCTGAACAGAAACAAGCCTTGTTCACTGTGCATGCCTTTCAAAGCTGGAACTCAGACTTTCCAGTCCCTGCAGCCACCACAGCCCAAACACTGGGCGGGGAGTGGAGTCATTCCCCAGTACAGGCTGGGGCGGTGCCTGGGTGGGGCCTGGGAGCCACAGGAGGGGGCCTGGAGCCAGGCAAAGACGAGGGAGGGGAGGAAGGCAGAGGTGGCCGGCGCTGGGCGGGGCCTGGGTGGTAGGCGCTGGGTGGGGCCTGGGGCCAGTTTGCACCGCACCCACCCAAGCCGCCTGCTCGGCAGCCAGCAGCCAGCAGCGGGAGCCAGCAGTGTCCAGTCTTCCGGCAGCTGCTGACCTGTGTCCATCTGTCTCGCTGGGACAGTCAGCCGTGAGGTGGACGAGATGGCCTGGTGGAAGGCTTGGGTACGTGGAGCCAGCAGGGGAGAAGGGATCATGATGACATCTGGTGCTGGTCCCCCAGGGTGGGGGTGGGGGTGGGGGGGCAGAACTTGGGCGGAGGTCAGCTCAGCCTACATCTGGCCGCCTGCTGGGCCAGCACAAGGAGAAACTGGGGAGAAGCTCCCCCAGGCCCACGGCAGTGCTGTGGGGATGGTAGCAGGGGATCAGCCAGATAGAGATGGCTGGAGAAAGCAAAGAGGGCAGCTGAGGGGCAGGGCGTGTCCAGAGGAAGGACCCCTGCCACAGTCAGGCCTCTGGTATGTGTGTGTTGGCAGGGGGCTGGGGAGGGTATCTCTGTTGAGCCTCGTGTGTGAATGTGTGTGGTATCTCCGCTGGCACCTGCATCTGGGGAGAACCAGGCAGACTGCGGGGTGCAGCGGGAACAGCAAGCGCAAAGGCACAGAGGGTGGGGAGCTTGCCTTCCGGCTTGAGGGCCCTGAGTGAGAAGAAGATGGACATGGAGAAGCACGCAGGGTGTGTCCCAAAGGCCCTGGCATGGCAAGTTGGGGGAGTTCCTGCTTTACCTTAAGATCAGTGGGGAGCCATAGGAGCCATGAAGCTGGAGAGGGACCTGCCTGGACCGGCTGAGACAGGGGGCCAGGGAAAGGGGATCCGGGATACCGGACTGGGGAGGAAGGAGAGTTAGCGGGAGGGTGTGGCTCCCTGGGGCCTTGCAGGCAGGAATCCAGGCCTGGGGGAGGGGGAGGGCTGGGGGTGGGGCACAGCCCAGCCCTAGCTGAAGGACTGGTGCTCAGGAATGCAGCCTGAGTTTGAGTCCCAGGAGTTGGAAACTCTGAAGGGGACGAGCAGAGGGCGCGTCCTGGGCAAACAGGAGGCTGCGTGCTCTGCGCACTTTCCCCACTTCCTCCCCAGGCAGCCCCAGGATCAGGGCTGCACCTCGTGCCCCACAAAGGAGGCTCACAGACATCAGGCGGCTCTGGGGGGCCTCGGTGGAGGACCCGGCTTCAGGAAGTCTCTGTGTGGCCCCATGTTGCAGCCTGGTGAGGGGCTCTCAGGTGCAGACAAGCTGGACTCTGGCCAAGTGGGACAGGCAGGGCGCCAGGGCGGGAGGGGCAGCTGTCCTGGCTCCAGGGAAGCAGCCGTCAGCCAGCACTGGGCAAGGGGTCCAGGGTGGCCTCCAGTTTCATCCTGGCTTCCGGGACCCAGCTTCAAGCAGGGGCCGTGGTGGTGGCAAGAGCCTAGCGCTGGGCAGTTTCCAAAGCCAGGGGCGTGCTGTGGCAGTCTGAGATCCTGGGACCTCACAGCCGATGGGGCAGGGGCGGAGGCCGGCCCCAACCCCTGCTGTGCCTACAGCACACACACCAGCCTCCAGGAGTAAGCTAAGAGCAACCAAGGTCGCCACAGTAGCAAGTGTTAGGGTCTGGGTTACAGCCTCATTCTTGGGCTGTGTGCGTCCCAGCAGAGAGAGAGGTTGGGGAGCAAAGTCTCAAGCAGACGCCGGGAGGAACCAAACGTCTCCTAGGCACAGAGCTAGGCCAGGAACAGGACCGAAAGGGAGGAAAAAGCCGCTGGAGGGGGCCCTGTCTTCAGGGGTGTGGCCCCTCTGTGCCTGGTCTCCCACAGGTTGCCCCATGACAAGGGAAAGCCAAGGTGTGGCGGTGGCCCTGTGCCCATCAGAGAATGCGTTCTAGATGAAGCGCCATGGGTTATCTGAGTCACCTCTTAAATGTGCCTGTCCAGACCAGCCCACCCCAGGCATGCCCCCACAAGATCCTGTGAGCCAGCACAGGGGTCTGTGACAGAAACTCCTGCTGATACCCAGGCCCCTGCCTCCCAGAAGGTCACCCCCTTGTTTCCTACAGAAAGGATAGGGGCTTCTCCATGCAGAGAAACCAGAGCCAGCCAGGGGGCTGCTGGCAAACTGTGCAGCAGGGGCAGGGCCACCTGAGTCCTACCTCACACCTTCGTGGCCTGGTTGGTCACAGCTCCCCAGGTGCCAATGAGGGGGCAGGGCAGCCGTGCAGAAGTCACCGCAGCCCAGTATTGAGAGTGGAGGCACTCCCAGACAACCTGCGTTCTGTGGGTGACACTTCCTTCAGTTACGTCTTCCCAAAAACCCACAGTCTGGGAAAGGCTGAGTCACGGGCAGAGTGGGGGAACTGGGTGGAGATCACATTCTGAGTCACACTGGGGATGAGGTCCCAGCACCACGGCTTCCTGGCTGCATCCCCTTGAGGAGCGGAGCTGGGGGCGTTAACACTAACCTGGTGCAACCGGCGCCAGCAAGCAGCCACTCAGGGTACTGACAGCAGCACACGGCTCCACAAACACAGGATGGAACAGGTGCACGCACAGCTGGGCCACCCCTGGGTCCACGGGGGCTCTCTGGATGGAATTCCCACAGAACTGTTTGTAGCAAATGCTCCTGCAGAACGTGGTGCTAAAACGGGAGACAGGCATTCAGTGACATGTGAAGTTCAAGCACAGGGGACAGAAAGAAGCCTTGCTCCTTACTCAAGACGAAAGTCTACAGATACAGCGTGGATGGGAGTAGTTGGCTCTGTATTTTTTTTTTTTAAAGATGTATTTATTTGAAAGGCAGAGTTACAGGGAGGCAGAGAGAGAGAGAGAGAGAGAGAGGAGAGAGGTCTTCCATTCGCTGGTTCACTCCCCAAATGGCCTCAATGACCGGAGCTGGGCCAATCCAAAGCCAGGAGCCAGGAGCTTCTTCTGGGTCTCCCATGTGGGTGCAGGGGCCCAAGGACTTGGTCCATCCTCTACTGCTTTCCCAGGCCACAGCACAGAGCTAGATGGGGAGTGGAGCAGCTGGGACTCAAACTGGCACCATATGGGATGCCGGCACAGCAGGCAGCGGCTTTACCAGCTATGCCACAGCGCTGGCCCCATTGGCTCTGTTTTTTTTTTTTTTTTTTTTTTTTTAATTTATTTGACAGAGTTAGACAGTGAGAGAAAGAGACAGAGAGAAAGGTCTTCCCTCTGTTGGTTTACCCCCCCAAAATGATCTGAAGCCAGGAGCCAGGTACCTCTTCCTGGTCTCACATGTGGATGCAGATGCCCAAGCACTTGGGCCATCCTCCACTGCCCTCCTGGGACACAGCAGAGAGCTGGACTGGAAGAGGAGCAACCGGGACTAGAACCCGGCACCCATATGGGATGCCGGCACCACAGGCGGAGGATTAACCAGTGAGCCATGGCGCCAGGCCCCGGCTCTGTATTTTTAAGATGTGACTCAGTGGTAGGGAGGAACTGATGGATAGAGGTGGACCCATGGATGGGTAGATGGGTGGGTTGATGAGTGGGTGGAAAGTGGGCAAGTGGATGAGTGAGAAGGTGGGAAGCTGATGCACAGACCCAGTGAGTGAAAGATCAGACTCAGTGCAATAGCGCCCTGCCCTGCAGGGTCCCTGACTTCACTGCTTTCAGTGCCTAACTCCAGGCCCCTAGAGTCCCCACCACCCCTCCCTCCAAAACACACCCCGAAGGGGGGGTCATCCGTCTTAAGAAGCATCTGGGAAATTCCACAGGTGCACATCCAAACGGGCCCCAGGCGGCCCACGGAGAGGCGGCTCGAAAGCCCTGGGCCAGGGTGCTGGGATCGCCTGGTTGATTTCACACTCTGCACAGCATCCCACGGCTCTTTTCTGAACCCAATCCTCTGACCCCTGTAAGCTGCCAGGATGGCCCTGGAAGTTCCTAGAAGAACCCAGGCCTTGGGAAGAGCGCAAACTGAGCTCACACCATGCCTTCTACCTCAGAGCCATGCCTGGCGTCCCAGGCCCCTCTGTACTCTCAGCACTAGGAAGCCTTTTCTTATGTGGCCATTTCCCTCCCAGCTTCCAGGGGCCTGTGCCTCCCCACTGCTTATAGATGGTGCAGCAGGAAGCTGGGTGCTGCCGGCCTGCTGCCTGCCTCCAATGGCACTGGCGGAGACACAAGTTTGATGGCCCCAGCCACTCCTGCCTGTTGACCAAGAGGCTCAGGGGCTTAGAGAAGGCGCCTGCGGCTCACTAGGCTAATCCTCCACCTTGCGGCGCCAGCACACCGGGTTCTAGTCCTGGTCGCGGCGCCGGATTCTGTCCCAGTTGCCCCTCTTCCAGGCCAGCTCTCTGCTGTGGCCAGGGAGTGCAGTGGAGGATGGCCCAAGTACTTGGGCCCTGCACCCCATGGGAGACCAGGAAAAGCACCTGGCTCCTGCCATTGGATCAGTGCGGTGCGCCGGCCACAGCACGCCGACCGCGGCGGCCATTGGAGGGTGAACCAACGGCAAAAGGAAGACCTTTCTCTCTGTCTCTCTCTCTCACTGTCCACTCTGCCTGTCAAAAAAAAAAAAAAAAAGTGCCTGCCAGGGTAGGTTATGAGCTGGGCAGGGAGCCTGGGCCATCCTCGCTGCCCCTTCCTGCTTTGAGCAAGCCTGGCTCTCTTGCAGGTTGAACAGGAGGGTGTCACGGTGAAGGGCAGCCCCCACTTCAACCCAGATCCCGACGCAGAGACCCTCTACAAAGCCATGAAGGGAATCGGTGAGTGGGTGCCCACAGCCTGGCCACCAGAGCGGGGGGGGAGGAGTGTGCCTCCTTGGGGCACTGCTGTGTGCTTGAGAAACTTCTATAGCACACAGCCCTGCAAGGTGGGTAGCAGGGAACAGTGGGGAGTGGGGCTGGCCCCATGATGCTCTTGGAGACTGACACCATTACTCAGCTCCCCCAGCAGCGTCAGCACCTGCACCCCCAAGGTGGGCAAGGGGGCTGGGCAGTTGCTCCTCCCTGAATCATGAGAGAAGTATGACAGAGGCGCCCTGCTGTGTGTCCCTGGGCAGGCGACTTGATTCTGCCAGCTGGGCTTTCTTGCAAGCACATTGACCCGTGCGGCTGGAGCAGTGCCGGGAATGGGGTGTAGACGGGCGTTCTGGGTGTTCTGCAGTGTGCCCCCTGCCCACTGGTGGTTAGCCATGGAGCCAACTTCCTTCCTGTCCCCAGCATGAATTCGAGGGGGAAGGACCGGCCTGGAAGCCTTGCTTCCTCCCCCACCCCAGCTGGGATTCCCCTCTCTGCTGGCTCTGCCTGGTGAAGAGGTAAATTCCTAGGCCCAACCATAATTTCATGTCCTGTACGTCCAGTGACATCTTCATTATTCTCTGCACTTCCCAAATGGGCAAACAAGACTCAGAGAGGGGAGGCTGCTTGTCCAAGGCCATGTGGGTCCAATGGTCCGGACTCTGGGTCATGACCCTTCCCCCACCATGGTCATCTCAAGGGAGGGCTGGGTGGGAGATGGTGCAAAGGCCCAGGGCTCATTCCCAGAGCTACCTGGTCCTCAGAGGCACCACCGTGGGGGCGGGGCTGGGGCTGTCACACCCTGACATGGTGCGCATGGGAGGTGGGACTGGGGAACATCTTCTTTACCTGGCTGGCTGCTTGGACTAGCCAGGTTGGGCAGGGGGAGGTGGTCCCCAGGGCTGCAGCCTCAAGCAGTTGCCCTGGGGACTCGGGGTGGTGTTGGGTGGGGCGCTCACGCCATGTCCCTCTGCAGGGACCAATGAACAGGCCATCATCGATGTTCTCACCCGGAGAAGCAGTGCGCAGCGGCAGCAAATAGCCAAGTCCTTCAAGGCTCAGTTCGGCTCGGTAAGGGGAGGGCTGGGCGGCGTGGGTTTTCAGCGACAGCCTTGGGGGGAAGTGTGGGCCTGCGGGACATCCTGACACCAACACAACTTCCTTTTTTCATTCCTCTGAAGTTCAAGTGTCCCGGGGCCTCTCCCTCTCATCACGCCACCCTCTTTGTCGCTCCCCAGGCCCTGCCTTCTGCTCACACTCTGGTCTGCACTGTGCTCAGCAGGACCCCTTGCCTGACCCCAGGGCCTGCAGCTTAGCTCCTCCCACTCCTGCACCTGACCCGCCCACTCCGCCCCACACCCCAGCTGTTAACCAGAACTGTTTCCCTCTGCTCTGCCTTCCTCTTGCTGGAGCTATTAGGCCTCATCCCTTCTGTCTCATGGGAGATCTGAGACCCCCCCCCCACCCCGATGGACAGGACACTTGAGGGTGTCAGTTAAGGCAGGAGCACTGAGCACTGCTGGAACTCCCCATTGGCTCAGTCCCCTTGGTTTGGAGATTTAATGCGGAAAGACCAGTGGGGACGCCTGGGCAACAGGAGTGCACTTTTACGGATTCCGGCCTCCGCCCAGCCGTGCGTATTCCCTGCACTCAACGTCCAGGGAAATCGATGTTCACAGGGGTTGAGGAACTTGCCCAGAGTCTCAGGGCCTACAGGCAAGGCTGGGACTTTCACTGCAAGGTGGACGAAGCCTGGATCTTTCTGCCGCTCTCTGCAGGTCAGGTGGCCCCCTGTAGAGACAGGCATCCATTCCCTCAAGGGGTGGGTGCCTGTGGCCACGTGACAGGCAGTGATGGTGAGCATAACTGCACGGTGCCATCCTCAGAGCTGACTGTGGGATGAGCAGCAGTGATTCCATTTCCCTGGGAGCTCATGAGAGGCCCAGCGCTGCTGTCGAGTGCTGAGCTGTGTCTCAGACACTACCGACCCCTAAACCATGTCTACCAAGCCCTACACCCCGTCCTGAAGCAGGACAGCCATTTTCTCTAACAGGTAAGGATATTGCTGCCTACACTGGACTAAGAGCTGGCCAGAGAGACCCCAGCCAGTGCATGGCAGGGCCTACGTGGGAATCCAGCCAGAGCAGCCCCTGGGCCCAGCCACCTCTCCCCTCAGGTGGGCCTGGCAGGTAACTCGTCACCTGTGCTTGTGCCTGCGTCAGGATCTCACGGAGACCTTGAAGTCGGAGCTGAGCGGCAAGTTTGAGAGACTCATTGTGGCCCTCATGTACCCGCCGTACAGATACGAGGCCAAGGAGCTGCATGATGCCATGAAGGTAACGTCCCCTGAGCCACCTGGTGGGATGGCCCCCTGAGCCTTGGCTGGGCGCCACGAGCCTGCAGGTGGCCGCTCAGCACCAGCACCCAGGGGCCTCGATGAAGCCAAACTCAGTCCTGCCCAGGACACAGTCAGACCAGGCTGCCCGCCTTGGCAGCCCCTGTGTGGTCTCCAGGGAGCCTCCTTTACATCTCGCCACTCCTGTTGCTTCTGCAGACTTGGAGGGAACAGGAGCCCTGTAGCAATGAGCATTTCTGGGAAAGGCAGCTGGCCTTGGGGGCAGGGGCTTGTGCTGTACACCTGTGAAGCCTCCCCCACCAGCGGGGTGGGGGCCGCCTGTTATCCGGGTCCAAGACCACCCACGTACATGCCACGGCCACCCCTGAAGGCAGACATGGGATTTCCCCTGGGAGCAGGCTCCGTGGGGGCTCCCATCAGAGCAGGGACTGGTTTTTCCTGAGAGCCCGGCATCCTGGGAAGGAAGAATGGCGATGGAGCGGGAGGTGACAGCACAGAGGTTTTTGTCCCCAGGGCTTGGGAACCAAGGAGGGCGTCATCATTGAGATCCTGGCCTCTCGCACCAAGAACCAGCTGCAGGAGATCATGAAGGCCTATGAGGAAGGTAAGGGAGCCACAAGGGTCTAGAGGGCACGGGGCTGGAGGCACCAGCCTCCCTGGGCAGCCTGGCGGGGAGCACACAGGCACCGACCTTCCGAGACTTTGCCCCACACGGGCGCTGAGCACCTACCGTGTGTCAAGTCCAGTGCCTGCGTGGTGAGATTGGACCTGACTCCAGTCCAGTCTAGAAGCTGGCCGGATGCTGGGGACTGGCCCGGCTGTGCCCGTGCCCATCTCCCTGCCCTTTGAGGGCCAGGGCAAGGCTACAGAGGACCATCTGCTGGGGCCCCATTGTGGTGAGGGGCATGGACCACAGCCCAGCTGTTCTGCATGGTCTATGGGATACCTGGTAGGCAGAGGCCTGAAATGCGCCATGCTGTGTGCTTGGCTCTGCCCAAGCTGGTGATGAAGAGGAGCTCGCTCAGCCGCCCCGGCCTGCTCTCTGCTTGTGTGCTGAACTTGACCAGGCGTCTGTATCACTTCTGGTTCTGAATGACCACACAGCTGACAAGGCCAAGGATGTGTCCTTCCCAGAAGCCTTAATGAGGGAACAAGAAATGGGGCTCAAAGAAGGGAGGCAGGCCCCGGCCCCCAGCCATGCCTCCCTGTCTTGTTTCCCTACAGATTATGGCTCCAGCCTGGAGCAAGACATCCAGGCAGACACGAGTGGCTACCTGGAGAGGATCCTGGTGTGCCTCCTGCAGGTATCATAGCCAGACCCCCAGGGGCTTCCTGGGCGCCAGGAGAGGCAGGGACAGGGGCACGAGACGGCTGTAGCAGCCTGGGCATATTGGGTGTATCTCAGTGTGGTTGGAGGGTCCTGTCTGCACTGTCCCCTCATGACCCCTGACTCAGCCAGGTGAGGGCACCCCGGGAATGGAAGAGGAGCTCCTTATCACCACGCAGGTCCTGCACTCAGGCAGCCCTGGTGCCCGGCCCATTGCTCACTGAATCCCCCAATCCCCATGAGGTGGTCCTTAGTGCTCCCACTGTACAGATGAGAAGGTGGAGGGTTTGGCTCCCCCTGCCTGCCCTCTGCACCCCGGCGGCTTTGGCCGGCCAGCCTGAAAGCTGCCTCCTCTGTTCCCAGGGCAGCAGGGACGATGTGACTGGCTTTGTGGACCCAGGACTGGCTCTCCAAGATGCACAGGTTAGACTGCACCCTGCTGGCACCCCAACCACTTCTGCACCCAGGGACTTTCTTTGAGGCAGGCTAGGCCCCTTCCGGCTCAGCAGCTCCCCGCAGGAGCCTTTTCTGGGGAAAGGGAAGGGGTGGGGAAACTTAGGGGAGGGAAGGGGCCTGGCAGGAGCAGCCCACGAGCCTAGGCCCTGGGATTCTGCCCCTCGCCTCCTTGGTCCCCTTCACCCGGCGGCATCCCAATGGCAGGATCTGTACGCCGCGGGCGAGAAGATCTGCGGGACGGACGAGATGAAGTTCATCACGATCCTGTGCACACGCAGCGCCCGTCACCTGATGAGAGGTACGGGGAGGGAGGGGCAGGGGGAGAGGCCACGCACGGGCTGCCATCCCCATGTTCCTAAGCGGAGCCCACCTCATCACAGTGTTCGAGGAATACGAGAAAATTGCCAACAAGAGCATTGAGGACAGCATCAAGAGTGAGACCCACGGCTCCCTGGAGGAGGCCATGCTTACCATTGGTAAGAGCCAAACCGGGCGGTAGGCTAGGCCGCTGGACAGCACGGCAGGTGCAGGGACCACACCCCCTCCCGGGAGGACCCTCCCCCAGCCTACACGCTCAGCCTGGGATCCTGGCACCACCCAAAGGGCTCCAGGGGGCCTGACAAGGAGTGTGCAGCCTGCGTGGTGCCCGGTGCTGTGTGGGTGAGTGCTGAGGTCCGCTCCCAAATGACGCCCCCAGGCCCTGGAAGTTCTCATCTTCCCCGCTTCGCACCTGAGTCAGGGAGGCCGAGTGACAAGGTCACACGGCGCCCTCTAGGCAGGGCTTGAGCCTGCCTCCCGCAAAGCCTGCAGCCCAGGGTTGGGTCGCCAGCCTGCTGTCCAGGCACCCAATCTGTAAGAGACACGCCCAGTGGCCCAGGGTGCCTCCGTTCATCTGTTCCTAAGTGATATGCAAAGAGGATCCAGGCCGGCCAGTGGCCCCCATGGCTGCCTCTGTGGAGCTGACTGGCAAGACCCTAGGTGGAGGCGTCTGGGTGTGAGAGCCCCGAGGCAGCCAAGGGTCTGAGCGATCCCTTGAGAGGCCGCGGCTGGTATCTCTGGCTGAGCCCCATGGTTCCCAGTGCATTTTTTTTTTTAAGATTTATTTATTTGAAAGGTAGAAATACTGAGAGAAAAGGAGAGACTGAGAGAGAGTGAGAGATGTCCCATCCAAATGGTTCACTCCCCAAATAGCTACAAGGAGCCAGGACCTTCCTTTGAGGCTCCCTTGTGGGTGCAGGGGCCCAAGCACAGGAGCTATCCTCTGTTGCTCTCCCAGGCACCTTAGCAGGGAGCTGGATTGGAAGCAGAGCAGCTGGGACTCGAACTGGCGCCCATATGGGATGCCAGTACTGCAGACGGAGGCTTAACCTTCTACACCACAGCCGCTGCTGCGCCCCCACACCCCACCCCAGTGTCGCTCCCCCTCTTCGTGGAGGAACGACACAGGACCCTGCGCTGTTCTTTCGTCTGCTCGGCCTTCCCCGGGTTTGCTGCTGGTTCTTCCCGGGTTGGCTACTATCCCTTCCACCTCCGTGGAAGGGCAGTTCCCCCTGGCCACATTCCCCACTTCCGCAGGGGAGCGGCACACCGCCGGCCGGGTCTCTCGGGGGCTGCACGGGTGTTCCTTCAGCTAGATGTTCCCCTTAGATGTTCCCCATAGATGTTCCTGGTGCATGCCGTCTCTCTCCTCCTTTATAGTCCTCCTCCGCCAATCCTAACTCGGCTGCCCACACGCCGAGTACGCTGCTCTCCTCCAATCAGGAGCAAGTCCTACAGTTTATTGGCTGAACTGGAGGCAGCTGTGCGGAAGCTGTTTACTTCTCTCCCAGCGCCATATTGTGGGAGAGCAGATGCATAGAATAAGTCTTAATTCCAGTAACTCAGTCTAGTCCGGTTGCTCCCCACACCCCAGTGCATTTTACATCTCACCCTTTCACCTGCCTGCTCTGGGCTTTTGGGGCTCTGCCTAGTGCCCCAGGCTTCCTTCCCTGCCCCGCCTTCCCCTGACACAAAGCCTCTCCTTTTGGGAGTAGGCAGGGCATAAAGAAATAGGCCACACCTTGCACAACCCACCCAGCCCTAAGACCGGAGGCAGAGACAGGAACAAAGGTGTGTGTGTGGCTCCGCCCACACTCTCCCGGTGCTAACAGAGCTTTCCTGTTCGCCAGTGAAGTGCACCAGGAACCTCCACTGCTACTTTGCCGAGAGACTGCACTATGCCATGAAGGTAACTGCCCCGTCCTCTGCCCCCTTACCACCCCTCCACAGCACCAGCTGTACCACGCCAAGGGGGACAGAGCCACCCCTGTCTTCAACGCCGGGCTCTCCTCATTTCCCAGCCTCTTGTGGATCAGAGGGATTTCGGTTCTCAGGGGGGCAAACGGGGAAGGGCAGGCGCTGTCTCCTGCAGGTGAGTCCAAGCAGGTGCACTCAGGGTGCTCATGGCACTGAACTTTCGCAAGGATCCTGTGAGACCCACATCAGGACTGCCATCCGAGAGGTGGTGACACTAAGGCCCAGGTTCAAGGCCATGGTGCTGCTGAAAGGCAGGGGACCCAGGCTCAAACCCAGGCCAGTCTGGCTGTTCTTGGCATGGCCTCATGTGGCCTCCTTGGGAGCAGATTGGCCACTGGAGATCACTCCAGGACAGTTCGCAGGGACATTGCCACTCACGCAGCTTGGTTTTCTTCAATCTGCCTATTGTCCAAAAGCCTGCACCAGCCAAAAACAAAACAGAAAACCAACCAACCAAACGAAAAACCCAGATGTCCAAACCACTCATCAGATGGCATTTCCTGTATCTGGAACCAAAGTTAAATGAATTCCCGGAGACGAAAGTCAGCGGCCACCTTCTCTGATTTATGGTTACTGGCACCACTTAAAGATGAGGTCCACACCAGCACCCCCAGGCCTCTGGCCACAGCTGCCCAAGAAATGAGGGCGGGCTTTGGCCATGCAGCTCCATCTGACACTGAGACGGGTCAGGGTATAAAAGTGAATAGGAAGGGCCCCTGCTTGTGAAAAGGCCAGTGGCATTGACCTTGGAAATGCTGCTGCCCCAGGAAGAGCTCTTCCTGGAGCCGTGGCTGGTTCACCTCCGTAATCCAGTGGCACAAACCAAGTGCAGCTTGAGGCGTTGAGTCCTAAGAAGAGGAGAAACCCGAGCAGGGAGTGAGAGGAGATTAAGGGAGTGGAAACCTTAAGCCACCAGAGCAGCTTCTTAGAGTTCCCCCTCCACCCTGGAACAGGCTCATTTCCACATAGGCTTGCCCCTCATTGCAGAGATGGATGTGAAAGGCAGGAGGGGATGGCTGATTGCCACTTCTCATCTAGGGAGCAGGGACACTGGATGGGACCCTGATAAGGAACATCGTGTCGCGGAGCGAGATTGACTTAAACCTCATCAAGGGTCAGTTCAAGAAGATGTACGGCAAGACCCTCAGCAGCATGATCATGGTAAGCGGGGGGCTCCCAGCTCTGACCCCAGCCTGAAACAGAGATGCGAGCAGGAGACCTGCACGCTCAGACTGACACCACACGTGTCCAGCCCCTTGGTGGGCAGCACCTGCTCTCTTTATTAGCACATGGCATGTGCAGAGCCTAGCACGGAGCTGGTGGGTCTCAAACCTGAGGGGGGTGGGCGCAGGTAGGAGCATGCAGAGAACAGATTGTGGAGGTCCCCACAGGTCTGACCAGGAGGTTGGCTTTGCATTTGAGTCATGGTTGTTCCTTTGAAAATACACCACCTCCTTGCAGACAGAACTAAACAGCCGATGAGTCCACGAGAGGACATAGTTTGGTAGGAGTGGAAGCAGCTGCTCATACTCAGATTGAAGCAGTCCTGAGAGCAAACTTTCTTTTGAATTCCAGAATGAGACTGACTGTGATGCCACATATTTCATTATTTATTATTTTCTCTCTGTTTATCTTATGTATTTAGAAAGCAGAGACATGTGTCCCATCCACTCATTTACTCCCCAAGTGCCTGCAGCAGCCAGGGCTGGGCTAAGCCAAGCCAGGAGCCAGGAAGTCAGTCTGGGTCTCCTGTGTGGGTGGCAGGGACCCACGTACTTGAGCCCTCACTGGCTGCCTCCCTGACTGTGCATCAGCAGGAAGCTGGAGTGGAGTTCAGAGCCAGGACTTGAATCCAGGCACTTCTGATACGGGACGGGGGCATCTCAAGCAACAGCCCAACGGCTGCACCAAATGCCCACCCCGGCAGCAAACATTTGAGGAGCTAAATCATGTGGGCTCCAACACATCCCCTAACCAGGTTCCAATTACTGAAAGTTCTGGAATCTTCTAGATGCACCTGTCACCCTGCTATAATTTCAAGAGAAATAGTTCACCTGGCAATTAATGTAAACTGAAGCTTGGACAGTCTCATGAGCAAAGGTCAAGTCGTGGCCAGTGTATCCTCAAATCTTCACCAGCTACTTAGTCAAGTTGCTAGTGCTTCCATAACTGTCTACCTTGTACTGCATTTCCCAGGACACATATAGCTTCCAGTACAGTCGGCCCTCCCTAGTGGAGCATTCCACACCCATGGGTTCAGCTGACTATGGATCAAAAAGTTTCAAAAAAAAGCCAAAGTTGCATCTGTACTATGTAAAGCTCTTTTTCTTGTCACTGTGTCCTAAGCAATACAGTGTAACAACCACTCACTTAGCATTTCCATTGTATTTGGGATTATAAATAATCTAGAGTTGACTGAATGTACCCAGTAGGACATGTGTAGGCCGGACAAGGGGTCTCCCCAGAGCTGATGGAAATTGTGCATTGTGAAGAAAAAAAAAAAAAAAACACTACACATGGATTTCAAAATCCTTCCCACATAAATTTACCTTTTAACTCCGTTTTCCATGAACTTTGGAAGTGCCCCCTTATGCCAACACTGCACCAATTTTTGTGAGGGACTTGACCATGGGTGTCCGGGGGAGGGGGAGGGTCCTGCACCAGTCCCCCTGTGTGTGCTGAGGGACAGCTTGAAGACACTTGGGGGTGGGGAACAGCAGCTAGGTTGGCGGGGTTGGAGGGTTGGAGTCATTCCATGTTTTGTTTTCGGCTTCCTGGCTGATCTGGTCAACAGACAGAGCGATAGTGACAAACGAGCCCGGGCAGGCAGATGAGCTGACTGTCAGGAATTCCTTCAATCACACGTGATAGCATACGCACCCCAGAGATCCTTTGCCTTCTGAGTTAGCTTCAGTTGTTCTTCAGAAGCAAGAAAGCCCTGCTCAGTAGAATGCCCGCTTTGACCTGTGTGGACCCCCCCGGTGGAGGCAGACGCAGCGGGTTAATGATTACAGGAGCAATCGACAGTGCCATCTCCAGGAACATGCGAGGCTCACCCGTCTGGATGTTTTTCTAAATTTAAGAAAATCCAGGTGGGAGTGTGAAAAGGCTGGCTGTCCATTTTCTTTCACTCTCTGTAGACAGTATCAAAGCAAAAAAACCCTTTGCACCTGTGCTACCAGTGTTCAAAACTCCCACATAGGGACAGGCGCTTAGCCTGCTGGTTAAGATGCTGCCCCACCTGCCTGCATCCGGGTTCCCAGCCTGGCGCTCGCTGCCCACTCCAGCTTCCTGCCGTCACAGGCCCTGGGAGGCAGTGGTGATGGCTCAAGTCACCGAGTCCCTGCCCCTCGTGAGGGGGACCTGGGTTGTGTTCCCAGCTCCCGGCAGCAGCCCAGCCCCAGCCGCTTCAGGGATTTGAGGGCTGGATCACTGGATAAGCGCTCGCGCGCTCTCTCTCTCTCTCTCTCTCTCTCTCTCTCAAATAAATAATTATTTAGTTCCCATTTAAAAATTAATAGGCAAATGTATTAAAATCCATGTATAGCTTATACATTTTAAAAACATACTTAATGCTTTTTTTTAAAAAAGATTTATTTATTTATTTGAAAGTCAGAATTACATAGAGAGAGGGAGAGACAAAGAGAAAGAGATCTTCCATCCAGTGGTTCACTCTCCAGATGGCTACAATAGCTGAGGCTGGGCCAGGCCAAAACCGGTAGCTTCTTCCAGGTCTCTCACGCGGGTGCAGGGGCTCAAGGACTTGGGCCATCTTCCACTGCTTTCCCAGGCCACAGCAGAGAGCAGGATCAGAAGTGGAGCTGCCAGGACTCAAACTGGCGTCCATATGGGATGCCGGCACTGCAGGCAGCAGCTTCACTTACTACATCACAACACCGGCCCCAATTAATGACTCTTTAAACAAACTATATCACCTAAATTGTCTTTAAAATAATACTTTAAAAGGGGAAATTTAAACATCTACAATAAAATTGTAGAGCCCAGACAAGCAAATTTTACTGCACTGTCAAGGAATAGGTAACACAGGTGAGATCCGTAATGAATCCACTCCCCTCTCTGGAGTCCTCTGTCCAGCCACAGAGGCAGGAAGCTGCGTAACTGACCCCGCCCCTAGCCCCTGGCCCTGTGTGCAGACCCTGGACTACCGAGTCCCTTCTGCCAGCAGCTCAGGAATGGGGCCCGGCGCTGGGCCTGTGGGGTGGGGCGGCCTTTGGGGGATGAGCATTCCTGAGCAGCCAGCACACCCTCCCCTGCTGCTCCCTTGCAGAGCCCACCCTCATCGACCTTTTGTGGGACGAGAGCAGGTCTGAGGGAGGTGAAGAGACTGCTCGGCCTGGGGTGTGTGTGTGTGTGTGTGTGTGCGCGCGCAGCTGCGGGTCAGGCCTGTGTGGCTCACTGCTCGGCCTGGGGTGTGTGTGTGTGTGTGTGTGTGTGCGCGCAGCTGCGGGTCAGGCCTGTGTGGCTCACTGCTCGGCCTGGGGTGTGTGTGTGTGTGTGTGTGTGTGCGCGCAGCTGCGGGTCAGGCCTGTGTGGCTCACTGCTCAGCCTGGGGTGTGTGTGTGTGTGTGTGTGTACAGCTGCGGGTCAGGCCTGTGTGGCTCACTGCTCGGCCTGGGGTGTGTGTGTGTGTGTGTGTGCAGCTGTGGGTCAGGCCTGTGTGGCTCACTGCTCGGCCTGGGGTGTGTGTATGTGTACAGCTGTGGGTCAGGCCTGTGTGGCTCACTGCTCGGCCTGGGGAATGCGTGTGTGTGTGTGTGTGTGCAGCTGTGGGTCAGGCCTGTGTGGCCCAGACCCCAGCTCTCTCCACCCCATGGCTCTGGGCACCCTGCCTCCAGCCTTGGCTCCCCCCAGCCGCAGTAGCAGGTGTTGAACAAGCAATGGGCCACATTGGGTGAATGAACGTTTGGGTGCTCCTGGGTCCCCACCCCCACACCTACCTAGTCTGTGGGTCTCTTGTGACCCACTTTCCACACCAGTCCCCCCTCCATCATGTGACAGGTAAGAGCACCAACAGGTGATGCAAAGGCCAGGAAAGAGGGGGTGACCCAGTATCGGGGAGCCCCCAGCATAGGAACCCCAGAGGAGCCCCGAGAAGCAGCCCTGGAGGTGTAACACCAGAAGCTGTGCTTGGCAAGCCGGGCCAGCCTCACAGACACCCCTCCCTCCCTCCTAACGCCCTGTGCTTCCCGCCCTCAGGAAGACACCAGTGGTGACTACAAGAACGCCCTGCTGAGCCTGGTGGGCAGCGACCCCTGAGGGCACTGAAGACTAAGAGCAAAGGCCAAGACCCCGCCAGGACCCCTGTGCCCTGCCTGCTCGACCTTGGCCGTGGCCCACAGCCAGCCCTTGCGTCTTCTGTCTCCATGTCCAGCCAGTGTTTCTGACCCAGCCTGGGGCTCCTCTCCCCACCTTGCTTCCAGGGCGCTTCCAGTGTGAGCGCAATGCTAGCCTTGGTGTTCTCTGCAGGTGAACAAAGGCGTTGGCATGGAGGGAGCTGGCTGGACTCCCAGAGAAGCAAAGGCGCCTTTGCTGTGGTTGGCAGAATAATAAAGCTTTCTATGTCCAGAAGTGTCTCTGGGTTTTTCAGCAGTGAGTAGAGTGAGGTCCATTTCATTTGTTGGAACCAAACCTTTGGGGAGTGAGCAGGCCAGAGTGTACCTGTGGGCCTGCCCCTGGGGACATGCGGCATGGGCTGTGCTGCCATCGCCCTGCACACTGCTCTTGGCAGTGAGAATGGTTTCTATTCACCTCATTAATAGCCCGAGTCCTCACACCTCAGGGTTGGGAGGGACTTCACACATCACATAGGCTTACCCCAACCTGCGGTCTGACTGCCCTACAGGACATCCAGCGTGGCGCAAGCCTGGGGGTGCTTGGGAGGTACCTAGTACACCTGGTGTGCTCAGGATGTACTCAGAGTACACTTGGAGTACCTGGTGTGCTCATGTACTTGATATGCTCGGGTATACCTGGTGTACGTGGGTATATTCAGTGTACTTGGGGTATGCTTAGTATACCTGGTGTACTCAGAGTGTAGTAGGGGTACACTTGGTGTACCTGGTGGGCTCAGGGTATACTTAACTATACTTATTATACCTGGGTATATTTGGTGTATTTGGGGTATACTTAGTATACCTAGTATACTCAGGGTGTACTTGGAATACTTAGGTATACTTGGTATAACTGGGGTATACCTAGTACACCTGGCATACTCAGGGTGTACTTGGGTGTACTGGATACACTTGAGTATCCCTGGTACACCTTGGTGTATTTGTGTACTTGGGGTATACTTAGTATACCTAGATTGCTCAGGGTGTGCTTGGGTGTACTTGGTAGACTCAGGTGTTCTTGGTATAACCTCCTCTGCAGGAGCTCAGAGCCCACACTGTTCCCACCTCCCCATCTCTGGCCCAGCGGACGCCCTTACCCTTGGCCCTACACACTGCAGCAGGTTCAGACGCTGTGGCCCAAGCCAGGCTCCAGGCAGGACAGTCACAGGGACTGGAATGTTCAGCTTTGATGGACACGTTGTCCTCCTTCGGATATCTGAAGTGTTGCTATTATGAAAGTACACGTGCCGTGGCCCCAGGTGGCAGAGTTGAGAACTATGGCACAATGAGGCAGGCATCGGCTCTGTGAAAGGAAGAATTCTATGGACTGCATTGGTTGGAGAAATACTGGGCTGCCCAGAGAGGCGGTAGCCCTAATCTTTGGAGGCAGCCAGTCCACTTCAAGTACACCAAGGATACCCAAGTACATGCTGAGTACACCAGGTGTACTAAGTATACTCCAAATACACCAAATATACCCAAGTACATCAAGTACACCCAAGTATATCCTGAGCCCACTAGGGTCTTCAAACCCTGGAGTCCCAAGTCAAGAGGTAGGTACCATGGCCGGTGCTATAGCGCAGAGGGCCTGTATCCCATATGGGCGCCGGTCCGAGTCCTGGCTGCTCCACTTCCAATCGAGCTTCCTGTTAATGCAACTGGGAAAGTAGCAGAAGATGACTCAAGCGTTTGGGGCCCTGTACCCACAAAGGAAACCCAAAGAAGCCTCCTGGCTCCTGGCTTCGGTGTGTCCCAGCCCTGGTCATTGCAGCCATTTGGGGAGTGACCCAGTGGATGGAAGGTCTCTCTCTCTCTCTCTCTCTCTCTCTCTCTCTCTCTCTCTGTAGCTCTGCATTTCAAATAAATAAATCTTTAAAAAAAAAAAAAAAGGTCGATATAAGAGGGCAGAAACATAATCCAATTACGGTGTTGAGTGGCAGGGTCTCGAGGGAGGTCCTTAGGTCACGGGGGACACACTCAGCTGTTTCTCATGAGGGGGCTGCTTTGAAAGCCTGCGTTGGGGGCACTCAGCTCTTTGCCTCTGCTGAGCCGCCCGCCTGGCCTGCACAGGTGTATTCTCTCCATTCAGTCATGTAGCCTCGCTCTCCCCCAGTCCGAGTGATTGCGCACTCTCTCTCTATCCCTTGGGTTCTGATGGATGTCCTGTCCCCAGTAAAGCCTTATTACTCCTCTAAGCAAGCAAGTAAGCACTGGGGCTAGCTTCCTCCCCTGCTTTGGGTCTTGCTGTGTGATCCATCCCCCGCTGTGCTCACCACCCACCACAGGCCCCTCACCACAGCCAGAGCCTCATCATGCCATGTGGACTCTGGACCTCCCAGACTGTGAGCTACACAAGCTTCTCTTTGTACACTTGCTGCCTGGGGTATTAGGTTCTAGCAATAAAAACCTGACTAATAATACGCCTTCACTTGACGATGCTCCCAGATCCTGTGGGTCAGGCATTCAGCCGGGACACCCTGCCCCTGTCTCCGCTCCAGCACGTCTGGGGTCTATATTGAGCAGATCTGAAGGCTGGGGTGACTCAAGGCCACTGGAATCATCTGGAAGCTTCTTCACTCCCAGGTTGGGCACCGGGGTGAGATGACTGGAAGGCTGGGCTCCTTGAGACCGACCCCAAGAGCTCTGACACGTGGCGTCTCCAGCATGGCGGATTTGGCATAGCAAGACTCCTTATACGACAGCGCAAGGAGGATTACTGGGTTGCTTCCTGTGAAGTGGCCTCTGGAGTCACGGCCCTTCACTTCTCTCACGGCATCGCAAGCCACCCCATCTGTCGCTGGGGAAAACACCAACAAACTGGGAGCAGAGAGCATGTTTTTTTAAAGATTGATTGATTTGAAAGACAGAGTTTCAGGCCGGCGCCGCAGCTCACTAGGCTAATCCTCCACCTTGCGGCGCCGGCACACCAGGTTCTAGTCCCGGTCGGGGCGCCGGATTCTGTCCCAGTTGCCCCTCTTCCAGGCCAGCTTTCTGCTGTGGCCAGGGAGTGCAGTGGAGGATGGCCCAAGTGCTTGGGCCCTGCATTCCATGGGAGACCAGGAGAAGCACCTGGCTCCTGCAATCGGATCAGCGTGGTGCACCGGCCGTAGCGTGTCGTCCGCGGCGGCCATTGGAGGGTGAACCAACGGCAAAGGAAGACCTTTCTCTCTGTCTCTCTCTCTCACTGTCCTCTCACGTGTCACACTGTGCCTGTCGAGAGTCATAAATAAAAAAAGTAAAAAAAAAAAAAAAAAAAAAAGACAGAGTTTCAGAGAGGAGAGACAGAGATCTTTCATCCTCAGAGGGGGATGGCTGCAATGGCCAGGGCTGGGCCAGGCTGAAGCCAGGAGCCAAGAGCTTCCTCCAGGTCTCTCATGCAGGTGCAGGGGTCAAGGATGTGGGCCATCTTCCACTGCTTTCCCTGGCCATTAGCAGAGAGCTGGATTGGAAGTCAACAGCCAGGACTGGAACTGACACCCATATGGGATGCCAAAGCTGCAGACCGTGGCTTACCCGCTATGCCATTAACACCGACCCTGGGGGAACATTTTTTTAAACCCCACCAATGGTGCTCCAAATATCTAACGGCTGCAGCCCAGCCACCCACCCAGATGCTGCCCCGTGCAGGGCTGAAGCAGAGCGCAGGAGGCTGGCTACAGGGGCAGGCTTCACTCCCCGCTGCTGGGTGGGGAGACCACCCGCCTGTGGGCCGCCAGGGGAGGTGCCCGGGGGTTGGGGACAGCAGCTCTGGGCAGAGGTAGCTTAGTCAGTGGCTGTAGCAAAATAGCAGCGCTGGCTGCTCCAACAACAGGCATTTGTGGCTCATCCCCTGGGGCCAGTGAGTCTGAGGTCAAGGTGCTACTGGCGCCGGTCCTGCTGAGGTTTATTCCTGGCTGGTAGACGGCTGGCTTCCTGGGGCACCCTCACACAGCCTTCCCTCTGTGTTCATGCTGCTGGGGGAGAGGGGAAAGAGAAAGACAGACAGACAGAGAGCTCCCTCTTCCAAGCCCTGAATCCGATCGATCGTGAGCCCCACATCTCCATGACCTCAGGGGAGCCCGAGCACCCCCAGAGGCCAGAGGCCCCACCCTCAGGAATGTTCAGTCCCTAGCACAGGAAGCAGGGCGTGTTGCCTGGACACGGGCGCTGAAGGGTGGGCGATGTATTTTTCCCCTCTTTTTTTTCTTTTTCCATCCAGACAGCTAGCTGTGTGGCCCCCTAGGAGCCTCGGGGACAGCTACAGCCACCGAGATTCCCCCAGGAAAAGCTGGCGCGTCCACGTGGGTGCCCCGCGGGGGAATCTGCTCCAGCAGAACCGTGGCGCCCGCCTGCCACTCCTGTGGAGAAGAAGGGGCACGGGCTGAGCCCAGCAGGGAGCGCCGGGGCAGGGTGCAAACAGGAGGTCTCCGGTTAGAGAGGACGCTGCCTCTCCCCGGGGTGAGCGCTACAGTGGCTTGGCCACGGGTGGTGCCAGTCTGCTGTCACCCACCTGGTGACTCTCCTGGCTGCTGGGGACAGAAGGGGACCTGACTGGGTGACTCTAGTCCCCTCTGCACCTCCTTCTGATCAAACAGAACCATCCCAAAAATGCTTCTGCAAAGGAGAAAAACGAGAGAGTAATGACAGGGACTCTATCACTAACCTAAATTTTTTTTAGATTTATGTATTTATTTGAGAGGCAGAGTTACAGAGAGAGGGAAAGACAAACAGAGAAAGAGAGAGAGAGAGAGAGAGAGAGAGAGAGAGGTCTTCCACCTGCTGGTTCACTCCCAGATGGCAGCAACAGTCGGAGCTGGGCTGATCTGAAGCCAGGAGCCAGGAGCTTCTTCTTGGTCTCCCATGTGGGTGCAGGGTCCCAAGCACTTGGGCCATCTTCTGCTTTCCCAGGCCACAGCAGAGAGCTGGATCGGAAGAGGAGCAGCTGGGACAGGTATCGACACCCATACGGGATGCCAGTGCCACAGGCAGAGGCTTAGCCTACTATGCCGCAGCGCTGGCCCCTGCCCATGATGACACCTTTAAAGTGAGACTCCAGAAGCTTCTTCTGGGACCGTGAGCACTTCCTGTGCAGCCCAGGTTGAGCGAGAACCCCCCACCCTCAACGACTGTTCACTCTGGACACCTGATCAGCTCCACGTCCTCCAGCACCCCCCAGATGATGCCCCCACACTCAGGTCTGTCTTCAACAAGATCCTGGTGGCCCACGTGGCCACAAGCCCCTCCCCGCTGATGCTT